TTCAGAACAAAATAAGAGTTTATTTGTAACAAATGCATATTTTACACCTTAAATAAACATATTTTACACCAGAACATGCATACATCTTACAATATTTTCTAAAATAGCAGTTGCAACAGAATACTCACAGCAGTATTTATCTTTAATGTTAGGCATATTTAGGAGTTCTGCATAACATGGTTAAACTCTATTATTGAAAAAAAGGAAGAAATGTGGAAGAAACATTTTATTTCTTTAAAAAAAATTTCTCTTCTTCAATAGCCTACGTGTGAGACACCTGCTGTACATGAACTTAGGGTCAGGCGCCTGCTACTGACCTGTGAAAAAGGCATATAACTAAAAAAATAAAACTACTCTGAAAAAAAGGGTGTGGTTAGTTAAGAAAATTTTTGTTCCAATACTGATTGAGCAACAATCCATTCAGCTGAGGAGAAGATAAAGAAGCAATTCTGTATTATGCTGACTCAGTTTCATCTGTAAAACGTTACAGATTTCACTTTCAGAACCACTAATTTTCCCTAGTTTTCAGTAGTCTAGTTTTCCTTATTTCTTTCTTAATGAAAATAATTTTTTAAAAATTCAGATGATTCTTTTTAAATCAAGCATTCATCGAAATTGTAAGATCTAAACGACAACAAAAAAAAAAATGAGGAATACCAGTATAAAACACAAAAAATCAGGACAAATAAAGGCATAACATTTTGTATCAGGAAAACTATAAACCCTGCAAATAATAAATACACTGAAATAAAGCGACCTATTAACTTTTCTTTTAAATTAATGTTACCTTTTAACTGCTCTGATATACATTCTTCTGGCATGTCAAAATCATCCTCTGCTTCTGAAAACAAAATTTTTATGGCTAATAATTATGTTTAATTCAAAATGCATGAATTTTAACAATTCTTTCTGAATAAAATATAGTATAGATGTAAGCATGGAATAAAAGAGATTACAATCGATGCACAATAATAAAAATATAAAATATTTGTGTAACATTATTCAGTTCCATGTTTTCTCTACATTTTGAACATATATATATATATAAATACTCAAGAGCCAAAACATTATGACCACCCCTACATTTTGCAATGAACTCTCCTGGAGGACCTGGAAGGCACATGATCAAGTGGAAGTGGTATTTAACTGTTGCTGGAGAGTTTGAAGAATCATTCTTTCACTTACTTCAGTGTGTGGTGGGAAAGGCTGCGGATCTAAGCGAATTTGATAGAAGGCAGATTGTAATGGCTCGAAGATTCAGAACAAGTATTTTTGAAACTGCACGACTTGTCATTCATCATGCCGATGGCCGTGTCAGGATACGCCGTCTTCCAGGCGAACAGTTGCTCCCTCAATGTACAGTTGGTCATACACAAGCCGGTGGTGGCGGTATTATGCTTTGGGGGATGTTTTCTTGGGCGTCTCTGGGACCCGTGGTTGTGGCAGAGCAGACCATGAATGCTACAGGGTATCTGAACATCATTGAGGACCAGTTGCACACTTATATGGCCTCTGTTTTCCCAGCTGGAAATGGAATTTTCCAAAAGGGCAACGCCCCGTGTCACAAGGCTTAAATTGTGTTGAAGTGGTTCCGGGAACATGATGCTGAATTCCAGTTAATGTCCTGGCCACCTAGCTCAAAGGATCTCAATCCGATAGAACACTTTTGGGATATCATGGAACGGCAGCTCAGAGTTCAAAGACCACTAAGTCGCAATATCTCGGATTTGCGTGACCGTTGCTTTAACATCTGGTACCATCTGTCTCCGGCCATCTACCAAGGACTTGTGGCATCCATGCGAAGGGGGGTAGCAGCTGTGTTGCGGGCTAAAGGTGGGCCAACTCGTTATTAAGAGGTGGTCATAATGTTTTGGCTCTTGAGTGTATATATATATATATAATTTGTAGCTAAAAAGAGGAATTCAGAGAATCATTTATAGTCAATACCATTTATATTCATGTACCACAAAAAATTAGTTAGAGAACTTTACATAAACAAGAGAAAAATCAGCTAAACGGAATTTTCTTTAGATACTAGGTGTTGCGACATCAATCACGAGAATGAAGAGTTAGTCTAAAAAATAATTGTAAGTTTGGCTGTTTGCTACGTAAACAAACGACTTTTCCTTTTTCTTGTCATTAATGTTTTTGTATTTTGTCTGTGAGTCAGTGGAAATAAAAGAAAATGGTTTTCATACAATTGCTGTAAAAGCTATCATTATGATGCCAAAATACTCAACCTTTCTACAGACCAGGATTTGAAAACAAAAATTTACGCTCCTTCGTTTAAAGAGGTGAGAATTTATTTACGCAACTTTATTTGTATTTCCTTTCCACTTAATCAGATTTTTATTTCCTTTCCACTTAACCAGAACGACTTCAATGCAAAATGATTTGGCTGACAAAATGGCGCTATGGAAGCGCAAACATAGAACAATTTGAGCTAATATTACTCGCTTCGTTAGCCAACTAAAGGACACTTTAAATTCCACATTGAATGCGGATATTGAATTTACTTGTAGTTTTGCAAAAATACTTAACGACATCAAAATATGGGATAATGATATACACATATTACTTTCGGATGCAGAATATGAAATTGATGTAGTGCAATGCCAAGAGCATATGGATAACACCAAGTGTGCCATTTTTGATGCCAATCGTGCTATGAGAGATGATCAAAACAAGAATGAGAGTGTAGATTCACCAAATACTACTAACTTTCCAATTGAAAATGCGAATTTTATGTCACCACAACAAAATGTAAAACTGCCGACAGTAAAATTAGAGCCATTTCATGGCGACATTGAACATTGGCAATGTTTCTGGGAACAATTTAAAAACGTTGGTAGTTGATAATCCAAATTTATCGTTGATTAATATACATGTCTTTCTCAGGGGATATTTAGAAAATAAACCAAAATGATTGGTTGATGGTATAATTATTATTGCAGATACATATGAAACCACTAATAAGCTACTCATGGGCAAATATGGAGACAAAAATAGAATTATTCAATCTCACTTGGATTTTTTTAGAAAATTTAACACCAATCTGCAACCCATCGCCGACATCACTGAATGAAGTTTATATTGAATGCAAAAGAAGGTTACAGGCTCTATGTGCTTCGAGAGAAGATATTGACGCAAACGATAGAGTTTTATCTCCTAAAATTTTATATATGCATTGTAGATCTCAAGATAAGAAAGTCGGGGAACTTGACACTGCAGAAGTTTACGATGCTAGAAATTACTGGATACAAATGGTTCAGAAAGAGTCATTTCCATTAGAACATGAAGCTTTACCAACATCCAAGCCACTGCCAAAAATTTCAAACATTACAAAATTCAACCCACTATTTGAAAATAAATTAATACGTATTGGTGGTAAATTACAGTTGTCGAGTTTATCAGAGTCCCAAAAACATCAAATTTTGCTGGACTGATCTCATCATTTCACAAGTCTGATAATATGTCAAACACGTATCAAAATGCACCNTACAAAAAGTTCAAATTGCCAGTATTTGACAGCAAGAGTAGTCAACTGATAGATTTAAACTTATCCTTCATATCTGTTGATTCTTATTAAAAAATTTTAGCAAAAGAGTTATTTGTCAGCAATCATAGACACATACAAAAAGAAAAAAAATCATAAAATCGATGAAAATTGCAAAAAATCAACAATAACTAAATAAGGAGCCGCGGAGGTTCAGAGGATAGAGCGTTCGCCTCTCAATGAGTTAACCCGCATTCAAATCCCAGCTATGACTGGCCGATAAGAATTTCTCCCCTAGCTCGCACAGACCACAGTTCTAACATAAAATATCATGAGTGGTAGACGGATCATGGGTTAGAGTACCCTTGCCACCAGGTTAACCGTGGAAGGTTTTCCTCTCCATGTAATGCAAATACAGGTTAATTTCATCAAAAAGTCCTCCAGAAAGGAAAATTTCTCCCAATACTTGATCCAGGAGTTCCTTTGTCTTCAGGATTGGATTCAACATTGCAAGGCTACGGACCATCGTAAACTCAAATTTGGGTCCGCTGTTCAGCGACAGTTAGAAAATAAAATATCTAAATACAAAAAGAAAGCAAAGTAATAAAGAATAGAAAAACTGAAATTTACAGATGAAGCTGATCGATGCAAGAATTACATTTTTCTTCGTTGGTAATTTTGAGCTCAGTAATTCTTTTGATGTTTTCCTTTTTCTCATGTTTTCATATGTGCATCGCGTTATTTTATTTACTCTGTAAATTAAGTAGGTCTTAGCAAACTATAACTCTTCATAAATTTAATATGTGACTCAAGGTTATGCAATTTCTACACTCTCGAAATTTTTCCACTCTCTGTTACCACATTGGTCAAATCTTGCTATTTTTCAAATAGCAATTAGATTTGAGTAAGAAGTTTTCATAAGAAATATGCATGATTTGCTGGAGTCATGGTAACAGAGAGGGGAAAAATTTGAAAAGTACAGATAAGGCGTTACTTTGAGACCTTGATTCTATTTACAAAGAGTATAGTTCATATAGTAAGTCAAAAACAAATAGTCTTGAGTAAAACTAAACTAAACTCAGTGGTGCGACAGACCTAGAGGGCCAAGGCCTACTGTGACCATCTCAGTTTTCTTGACCTTGGGCTCTGGGGTGCAGGAGCAGATGTTCTAGTTAGGTCGTCAGCCGAACGCGGAACCCCCACTGTTTATTTCCCAAGCATGCTTGGTACTCATTTATCGACCCACTAAAGGGATAAAAGGCTGAGTCAACCTTGCCCGGCCCGAGGATCGAACCATGGACCTGTGGCACGACAGCGCGAAGCGCTACAGTCTTGAGTAATATTGGCAAATTAAAAAAGATTACATCTGTACACAGCAACAATATTCTAAATAATACTATATTATGTCGATAAAAAAATAAATTGAAATGCCAAATTTTACAAGCAAAACAAAACAAAATATATGAGGTATGATGATTAATATTATTTAATCTAAATAACCAACCTTTAGAATTATCTTTCGGTGATGGAGGAAAGAAGTACATCTGCCAAGGGAAAAAGAAAATAGTAAATAACCTCTAAATCAGCTTAAATAACAATGCCAGATAAAATTTTCTACATGGTGGATAAATAAGAATAAATGTTAAATAAAAATCATAAATCACAAAAGATTAATATGCACTTGCAATTAAAAGAGCATATTTGATCAATAACTCCAAAACTAGTATGATTTAAATAAAGAGTAATAAATAAGATTACAAACCATGCATAATGGTGATATGCATGAGCATGCAAATGCATTTTAGTGCACAACCCTGTCAAAGCATAAAGGTATGAAATGGGTAACTAATTTTTTTTATATAAAACAAACAAACAAGGGATTTGGTTCCTTCCTAGTTAATCTCAAATGATATACTAGCCTCGCACCATGGTTTATGCACAAATCCAGTTTAGGTAATCTGGTCACAGATTATTCCCATCATTGAACTATTTGCCTTTCGGCTCTTTCAGATTGCCAGGTGAGGATGCAACAGAGCTGGACTTTCATTTGGCAAATCTGCATATTGGTACTTGTGCCAAACTGCATACTGATGCCAGAAAATTCATGTTTATTTGAAAATAATAATATAACACTTCCTCGTTATTCGTAAATGTGCGTCTATATACATATTTATGCATGACAGAAACTATTTTTTGCCTAATTGCCCTGGAAATAATTGGATTAACAGTTGTATTTGACCTCTTTTGAGCATTTTAGACACGTTTGACAGAGCTGATATGTAGACTCCTAGCTAGTGGCCATTATATAAATAAATTAATAAATAAAAAAATATCTTCACTTTCCGGAAAATCCATGTCAAAATGATAAAAGAAAGATTCTCCCTTCTCCTCTTGCACCATCAGCATGCTTGTCAGTTTATTGTTGCTTTGATCCTAATTTAGTACCTCCTTTTTGTACGCATCTAGCATAATCTAAGGGTCATATTTACTGACAATTAAAACAAAATCGGGGCAATCTCAACTTATGAAGTACATGCAGGCTTCTAAGACATCCCAATAAGAGATAAGATAAGACATATATTTTTAGGTCCGATTTCACTGAAACGAGTTGAATTTAACTAGGCTGCCACTAAATTTGAACCAAAATAGCAGATAATTAGGGACCTAATAATCAAAAATTATAAGTTTTTTAAAGACCTGGAAAAACGCATGCAAATATTTATACAAATATCAAATAAATTTAATAATGAAAGAAAACACTGAATATTTTTCTCTTTTTTAATTTAAAAAAATATCAACTGAATTTCTTACAATTAACCCATTTTAAGTTTGAGTGTAAAAAGAATGCTTGAGAAATAAAAACAATACACATTTTAGTGTTGTAAGGTACACTTCTATCAGTAGGATAAAATGGAACAGAGATTAAGGCAAACAGAGATTAGTAATTTGACAGAGGTTACGTTAACTAATGAGATAAAGATTCAGTTAAAAGAATACAGACACTAAAAAATGACAGTTAGTAAGCTAAAGGAATAGTAAATTCCCAAATATTTAATAAGTATGAAGCAGCTTTTAAATCTTTAACTATTAAATTTTTGTTTTTGCTTCTATGAAAGGTCTAAAAATTCAGTTCAAAATGTGTAATAAAATTGAGAATAGTGTGAACAATGAAAAATCAAACTTAGGAACTTAAATCCTACAGCGCTTGACTTCAGAGAATTATTTGGTGCACCTATTGGAAAAATTTCAGTGCATGTTGTGTTTCCAATTGAAGAAAGACCACTCTCATCTGAAATTTTATAAATCCCCCCAATTTTTTGAGAAGTTAACAAGGTTTTTTTTCTTTTCTTTTTTTTTCTTTTTTTGGTTCGTGGAAATAATTTTCTTGCCTGGAATAAAGATTGCATGTTATCTGTGCTTTGTAAAAAAGAATTGTAATTTGGAAGCGGATTCATGGAAGAAAAAAAAACAGAGTCAACATGTTTGAATTCAACACACGGAACACATGAAGCCAGTCGATGAAAAATTTAATCAATAATCTTGGGAGGAAAACTTTTGTCTTGCATGATAGGTTTAAAGTAATTGATTTCATACCTCAATAGGTTAGACAAAAGTCGTTGTGGGTCAGGAGATAGAGCATTTGCCTTCCAATAAGGTGAACCGGGTTTGAATCCCAGCGATAGCTGGTCGACACGAATTCCGCACCCGGTTCACACCGACCACAGTGCTGACGTTTAATATCCTCAGTGGTAGATCAGGGTGCGTAGCCAAATTATTCACAAAAAAATAAGCACCTTTTAAGCACTTTTCAAGTACTCAAAAAATATTTTTAAGCACTTTAAAAAAATATAATAATTAGGCAGGGTTGGAAAGTTTTTGACAATTGACGGTTTTATCTTGTTTTAACCGTCATGTCAACAAAACAAAAAAACTTTTGGCATTGTTTTTTACAATTGTCAAATATTACAAAATTTTGAATCGTGTAAAAAGAATGGCGTTCTCATACGCTACGGACTGACAATACGCCGGAATAGATTGGGGTTGAATTATTTGTAAAAATATTGAATAGGGCTGCGTCTTTTTGCATAATTCGAAGCGAAAATCAACATGGTAATGGAAAAATCTCATTTTGAAAAAGAGAAAAATTAAGCACTTTTTAAAAACACCCAATGAAAAAAGCACTTTTAAGGGCTTTTACAAACGAAAAGCGAATCTAAGCGCCTTTAAACACTGTTTAAAAATGCTACGCACCCTGTACAGGGTTGCCACATTAAAAAATGAACAAAAATAGTTTCTTTTAGTAGTCTCCAGCATGAAAATAGTTGCCTAAAACTATAAAAATAGTTGCCTGAACAGGAACAAAAATTATCAAAAGTAGTAGCCAAATAACTAAAATTATACCTAAATTGTCAGAAACTATTACTAGGACTGGGTGATGTCAGAAATTTTAAATCGTGATACATCGTCAGTTAGACATCACGCTATAGTGATGTATCGCAATTTAGCATATGTTCAAAAATTACCGATGGGAAATCTTTAAATCAATCAAAAATAAATAAAAAAGGAATAAATCTAGTACAAAAGAAAATATTAATTCTAAACATATTCTACTATGACATCAATATCATTGCTTAATTTTTTCAATTAAATTAATAAAGTCAAAGCAAAAGCAAACCCAAGCTTTACTTCATTTTTCTTAAATTAGAAATGATTTAAGATTTATTGGTTTAAAAATAATAATACTGCAACAAATTATTTTACGTACATGCATTAAAAATTAAAAGAAGAAAAAAAACGAAAGTGGAAAACAAACCAAAGAAATGTTCACTTTAGAAAAAAAAGCATGCTTTTGAATCATCATTAGACCCTTTTTAATTTACTTATTTAAAATAATAAAAAGTAGCATTAACTAATGGTCAAATTCTGTACTTAATAAATGTAAAAATATTTTTACTTATTTATTATTATTTTCATTTTTGAAAATAAAATCGACTAAAGATTTATTTGTTTAAAAATGATACTGACTATCTAACAAATTATAAAACAAACAAGTATTGAAAGAATTTTAATAAAAATTTTAAAAAAATACTTTAAGTACTAATGTAAAATAAATTGGAAACCTCAAAACATTACAAACTTTTTATTTGATTCTAAAAAAAAATTTGTTTTAACTAAATAGCCAAATTTTCTTAAAACTTTGTTTTCATTTTCTCAAAAATAAAAGCAAATTAAATAAAGGTAAGCTTTGTTTTAATTTTTTTATAATTAAAAACGACTGAGCATTTATTGGTTGAAAAACAATCAAATTATTATACTTAACTACATTTAATAAATTTAAAAAAACTAACTTTTAATAACAAAGTTAAATACAAAATACCCCTATTAAATTGTATCGCTTAAAATAAAAAACAATAATTAAAAAAAATCAATGATTTGATCTATTGAGTTCAGAACGAAAATTTAAGATAACAGCGATTGCGCAGCAATCGCAAAGTAACAGTAAGTCTACTAAAAATAATTGACAAGAATCGTTAAACCCAGACAGAAAAAAATGGTATGAAATAATGCAGAACGAAACGATCGCTGCAAAAGTCTCACTGAAAATAATTTGCAAGAAACCCGACAATTATTTCCGACGAAATAAAATGCACAACGATCGCAAAATGACTTAAGTCTCATTGAAAATAATCTTCAAAAAACGCAAAATCCGAAAGACAAAAATGGACATAAAGAAACTATGCATTGTGTTCTATATTACAACACTGATCCTCGCACGAAACCGGGAGTTCTGATTCAATTCGCTCTTCGTCACTCAACATCACAAAACTAACATCATCTTAATAGCAAAATCTCTGCAGCTAGACGAAATCAAAATTGTCTTCGTTAGTGCGGTAACAACGTTAGCTTAGTCAAGGATCCTTGCATACTAAATCGTTAAATCACGATTGTAATCTAATTCCGGTGGCTCAAATCAAATTTCTGATGCATTGCCTAAAACGAAAGTCACTACAATCAGCCTAAAACGAAAGTCACTACAAGTCGTTAAATCGATATTTCGAGATACATCGATTTATCGCCCAGTCCTAACTATGCTAAAAATAAAAAAAAGTTTTGTACAAATATAAAAGGTTAGATAGACAAATATATTAGACAAATATATTAGAAAATAGGTACCTAAATAAAAGTCGAATTACAATAAAATATGAATGTTAATGGAAGGAAAAAACAATTAAAAATAACAAAACTGCCCCTCAGAGAGAATGTATAACAAGTACTTTATTAAATCCAATGGAAATTTAAATGTTTGGCTGTTTGGACATAAATGATTGCATAAAAGTTTGCTTTCTTTTATTAACGTTCTGAAAAGTAACGTTCACTTTTGCGAAAAAAACTTCGCCAAGAGTAAAAAAAGTCTCCTAATAGTCGCCTATTCCTGAAAATAGTTGCTTTGTAAGCCTTCTCAGGCAAACAAAGTAGCCATAGTCGCCTAAGGCCGAAAATAGTAGCAAATAGTTGCATTTTAGTAACCTGTGGCAACCCTGCTGTAGATGAATCATGGGTTAGAGTCCCCTTGCGGTGGGAGGTTTACATGGTTTTCCTCTTCGTGTAACACAACTGCGGGTTAGTTCCATCAATTAGTCCTCCAAAAAGGCAAATTTTGCCCAATATTTAATTCAGGAGTTCCCTTGTCTTCTGGATTGTGTTAAAAATTACAAGACTATGGAGTCGAACATTAGTAGTTATAAACCCAAAAATTGGGACGGTTGTTCAACAACTGTTATATAATAGGTTAGGCAAGGAACAAATATTAAAATCTCCATAAACCAAGATATTTAAAGGTTGTAATAATAGTAGGATGACAGCAAAAATGGTTAGAGAGTAGAAAAACAGCAAACGTTTTAAGGTGCAGAGTGAGGACAGACATATTTTTGGACAATAAGTATGTCTAGAAAAGGAAAGCTGCTGTCAAATTCTCTTTTAGAAATGAGTTAAATCATGGGTGCATTTATAAATATATTTAATTCAACCATGCATTTAGTTTGGTGTCTTCAATTCAATTGAATACTTAACCTTAATCATGCGCAGAGTTGCATAGGGTCATCTATAAAATTGACTTTTAACAAATCAAAATTTTAATGATAAAATCAGAAAATTTGAAGGGGATAAAACGATTAATTTTTACACTACAAGAGAAAAGGAAAACTGTCAGAGACTTCTCAGTGATAAAAGAGATTTTTAGGAAACATCTTAAAAAAATATAGACCATTTATGAAAATAGAGGCTTGCTGGAAGCTCACCAAGCCTGAGATTGATAAGAATTTTTTGTAAGTGAGCCAGCTAGAATTCACAGTTTAAAATAACAAATAAAGGCAAAAATTTACCCATGCTGAGCCATTCTGGCTAATGTAATGAGGTGTTTGACTGATATTCTCATCGTTATCTGGTCGATATGAATCCACTTCCAGATTACAAAATCGCAGAGTTGAATATTGATAATGGTAAGTTTAGAATTGGGTTGGCAGTTCAATGTGGGTTATAAAATAAATAAATGGCTAAAACTTGTAAACAGACCAAATAAAATGTATTATAAGTTAACATCTTCACAGATTCAAATAAGTGAATTATAATTGTTAAATTATTATAATACTTGCTATATCAACCTGGCTTTATAATAAATTTTATTTAGATCTTTCTCCTAATTCTGTAATTATTAACAAAATATAAAAATTCTATTGATTTTAAACACCAGTGTACATTATTTTCCCATGAAAACATATTGATACCTAAGTACTTAATTATATTCTTTTAAACTAAGTTAAAAAATATTTGAAATAATGATTGAAAACATAAAACAAGTAAAATTAGCAAAAACAAAAAATGTTCCATATTCTCTAATTGAAAGGAATATTTTAAGCCGAGGCAGAGCTTTCAGAAAAATTATCATTTAATTCACAAAATGAAACAAAAACTAGCTGTATGTTACTAAACATGCTTTAAAACATTTCTGCAATCATATTTTTTTTTATGTTTAAATTTTTAACTATCAACAGAGATAAATTTTGAAAAAAACTAAAAGCTGAAACCAGAAATCTAAAAATATATGTACAAAACAAGTTTAAATAGTTTGAAAAAAAAATATGAAATTTGAACCAGAAAAAAGTATATGTAGTAGGCAAATATTCCAGGGCTCAAAAAACCGCCCGTCCTCGGCGGTTAAAAATTTCCCACAGACAGCGAATTTCTCGAATCAGACGTCCGTGCGGACGGCCATTTTCCCGTTAATGTTTGTGATACACTTTCAATTTTTGTTATCTTACAAGAGTCAAGCGCCTCATTTCTAAAATGACCCTCTAATCTAGAAATCCCGTACAGCAACATACTGCGCATGGTGGATTGATGTTTTTTCCGTCTGGAAGTACTGCAGCAGTTGAAAGGGACTTTTCAGCAATGAACTTACAAAAAAACACATTACGTAAGCGTTAAACGCAATTATGAAAATCCACCTAAATGGTAAACCCCTTTCAGATTTCTGTGCAGAAACCTCTGTAAATCATAGGCTTGATTGTGGAGCTGGCAAATGTCATATTTGATTCATTTAAAAAACGCAGTACCATCGGATAAATTGACATTCCAGATAATTTGACCTTTGTCATTTAAATTATTTCATAAAGGTAATAAATTATTTCATAAAGGTAATAAATTATTTCATGAAAGAAATACAAGGTTTTACTATTAGTAACCAAGTATTTCTTTTATTACTGTATAATGTAATCCTAGTAGCTACTAATTCAGCTACTAGTAGCCTAGTAGCTACTAGTAAGCTATATAAATGTTTGTAATAAATAAGAAAAAATAACATTTTTATTTATTTAGAAGCGACGGGTTAGATTCAAAGGAGGACGGGTACATTGTTGGACAAGCAGTCCTCGGGGACGGGTAAAATTTCTGAGTTTTTTCGAGCCCTGTAATATCCATAGAATATTATCAATACTTTAACAAAAAATATGGATGGTCGATTTTTTAAAAAATCATTTGAATAAGAATAACGATGTGTAATTTCAAATCTTGTGAATACAGACCACGATGTGTAATTTTAAATCGTATGAATAAAAATTCCAGTGCATAATTTTTAATCACGTAAATATGAATCCTAATGTATGATTTTAAATCACGAGAATATAATTTTAAATCCCACCTACATCACTCATAGTAAAAAGTATAAGAAAAATAAAAAAAATCTCTTTTCGGGAATTTGAAAGAAAAGTATTTTCAAAAATAAAAAAAGGATTTTTTCTTTTTAAAAAAATTGAAAAAAAGTGAAATTTTACCAAAAGTGGAAAAAACTTGACTCTGAAACAAAATAGGAGGGAGAAACATAAACAATCTGTAAAATGTGTAGGTAAATTTTAAATGGCAAATGTAAACTATGAGATATCAGGCATACAGGAGCAAAAGTCGTCACAAGAATCAACTATTAAGACTAAATGTTCTAATTTGTAATTACTCCTTTTGGATTTTGTGGGTCAGAAATTTAAATCACTTTCAGATTCATTTTACAGAAGACACAAAATGAGATTTAGTCAATTTTTGATGTTAGTCTACTATAACATTTAGAAAAAATCATCATTATTCAAATTGATAATAGAAAAGCAATATTTTTTTTAACATTTAATCGCAGCAATAGATAAAGGGTAAAATTAATGATCACTACTGGCAACAGGGTGACTAAATATAACAAATGGTGGGTTAAAATTCGTCTGTCAGTCTTCATTTTTTTATTAAAAATGCAACCATATGTGTATTGCATTATTATTTTTAAATAAATACGGAATTACTAGGAATATTTTACAAGATTCTGAAAGAAAAAAATTTTTTTTAAACTTGTTTTGTAAAATTGTTTCTCCTTTTAGAAAGAAACCTTACAACATTTATGATATTTTGAAAAAAGCTTCAAAACAAAAGCCTTATATTTCTAATATCAACAACTTTTTTAACCGTTTAAAGTGTGCAAATTTTGAAAAAGCGGCCACCGTTAAAAAATGCTACAACTGGCAAATGGCAAAATTTCAAAATTTTGTCCAAAGGCCATAGGACAGGAAATAAATTTCTATGCATTAAGGTAAAGAAGTAATTAATAGTAAATAAATTAATTACAAACATAAAATAATTATAACTATTTCAGTAAAAATAAGAGTAATATAGAAATACTTTTGATGAAGCATCAGAGGAAGATGAGCTACTGCTATCTGTACTAAGTTTAGCATCGCTGTTTATCAGTTGATCAAATATTAAATCTGCACCTGTTTCATCATTTGAATCACTTTGATTGATGTCAGGAGAAACATCACTCTAACGAATATAAAATATAATATTATGAGCAGTAAAGTACTTATAAAATTAAACAAAAATATGTATCAAGTAATTTATTCTAAAATTTATTACAAAAAAGATTTTTTTAAAAAGAAAAAAATTTATCTTCATATTAAATTTGAAAATAAAGGTCAGTCAAATATAAACCCTAAAATATTTATTTAAGCCATAAGTCCCAACCCAAATTTTTACAAAAATCATTGCATTGAGAATAAATAGAAGCAAAGAAAAATAATTTAAATGAGTTTTTTAAGAAAGTCAACCACATTTCAATATAAGCATTTTCAAAAGCAACATGATTTTAAGTGAAAAAAAAAGAGGTAAAATAAAAATTTTTAAGCAAAACACGCAAATTTTTTTCATATAATCTACACGTAAAATGAAGTATATTTTTGAAATTGGATCCTTAATTAAAGCTTGCAGGTAAATTAGTGCTTTTTTCAACATCCAGATCAGTCCATTTTCAAGAAAAAAAAATTTATATATACATTACTTTTAAAACCACTGGTTAACAGATTTAGATTTTTCAAATTATATATGTAACTTTTTTTCAAACCAAAACACCAAAGTGGGACAAACATATAATTGCTCAAAATTGAATAAGTAGTGGTAGTGACAAGCAAAATTCACTTTTATGAGATCTTGATATATGTTTAAGAATTATATATAAAATCGTAGAAGCTTAGTGTTATTTTTTTTCAATCAAATTAATTTTCAAAAAATGAACACAAAGAACTGAGACAGCAATTTGTGCATTGATGTGAACATATACAAGTTTAATGATATGCACCCCAATCTACTCATGCTTTTTCTTGCTAAAAAACAATTGCAATCTTTTAAAAAATACACAATAATCCATACACCAAAACACATATAATTAACTCGTAAAAAATACTAAGCTTTTCTTTATACTTAAGTTGGTTTTTTTTTTTACAAGCTCTAAATTTTCCCATAATCCAGGGATCTTTAACAAGGTTTCTTTAATAATAATCTTTTGTTTTTCAATCCTTAAAATTTTTCAGGCCTAAAATTAAAAAAAAATTAATAGTTTTGATCTTATTATTTCTGGATGGTTCAACAAATTCTAGTGTCTGGCTGATATAGTTTATTTAATTTTGGGTTAAATTTAGTTATGCAGTATTCATTTTCCTTCTAATAGCCAATAATTATGAGATACTAACCATACTATTAAGAAAAACTCATNCAAAATTGAATAAGTAGTGGTAGTGACAAGCAAAATTCACTTTTATGAGATCTTGATATATGTTTAAGAATTATATATAGAATCGTAGAAGCTTAGTGTTATTTTTTTTCAATCAAATAAATTTTCAAAAAATGAACACAAAGAACTGAGACAGCAATTTGTGCATTGATGTGAACATGTACAAGTTTAATGATATGCACCCCAATCTACTCATGCTTTTTCTTGCTAAAAAAACAATTACAATCTTTTAAAAAATACACAATAATCCATACACCAAAACACATATTATTAACTCGTAAAAAATACTAAGCTTTTCTTATACTTAAGTTGTTTTTTTTTTTTTTTTTTTTTTTTTTTTTTTTNTTTTTTTTTTTACAAGCTCTAAATTTTCCCATAATCCAGAGATCTTTAATAAGGTTTCTTTAAAAATAATCTTTTCTTTTTCAATCCTTAAAATTTTTCAGGCCTAAAATTAAAAAAAATTAATAGTTTTGATCTTATTATTTCTGGATGGTTCTACAAATTCCAGTGTCTGACTGATATAGTTTATTTAATTTTGGGTTAAATTTAGTTATGCAGTATTTATTTTCCTTCTAATAGCTAATAATTATGAGATACTAACCATACTATTAAGAAAAACTCCTTTTTGTTTTTATAATTAAAATACTTTTCCTTTTTCAACATCTAATAATTATGAGATACTAACCATACTATTATGAAAAACTCATTTTCGTTTTTATAATTAAAATACTGTGTTCTTTTTCATAAATAGCTCTTTCTTTTTAATAATAACAATTTCAAATAAAAGACTAACACAAAAGCCCACATAAATATATATAAAAAATTGATAGAGCCTTAGTGGAAATGTAGCCAGAACTTCAGCTGATTAGCTGGAAGCGGATTTGAATAATCAGAAATTTTTTAGTTTATGGTTCCTGGTAAGAATAAAACATCGGAGCCAGAATTTCAAAATAAAAACAGGCAATGTTACAGGCACAGACTTACATATTCTGTGACATAATTGGGCAAAAAAATTTTCGAAATTTTCAGAACATATTTCAATAAGTTGTTCATTCTTTAATGAAAACATTCTTAATGCATAAAAATTGAAAGGGGTTTTGAAATAAAAATTCTAATGCCTTAAGTTTAAGTAAAAAAGAATAAATAAAATAGGTTACTTTACAAAGCATAGTATGTTTGTCGGAATCGCTTTATAAGAATCATTCTCCCCTTGCAATAAGATTCTCAATAAACTTTCATTTTTTAGGGATTCCTTTTTTAAGGACTTATAATAATAATGAGGAGACAAACATTTTTCTGGATATTGGAACATGTTAAAAAAAAAAAAGCTTTTTCTGAAAAACAGAAAATTTTCAGAGCCTAATTTACCAAGAACACATTATTTTTTAAAAAAAAATTTTTCTTCTCTTCTAAAAACCAAAGCTTTTTCGAACGTGGAATTTTTCAACTTACCGAAAGATGGCAAAAGGTAATCCAACAGAATGGTCAATATATCATTGATTAGTGTTTGTTGTTAATATAAAAAAATTCACTTTGAAAAACATGAAAAAAACGACATTAATTATCGAACAACCCAATAGTAATAATTTATAAAACTAATTTTCAGGTCCCACTCATAAACTTCAGGAATAAAAACTAATACATAAACAAATTGACAGATGAAGTTATTTACGTCATATTTAACATAACAGAAAATATTCCTTTTCTATTTGAAAGTAAATTAATATGGCACAAAAAAATTTTAAAAATATGTTAAAATAAACTTTAAAAATTTATATTTTAATTTTTAAATGATGACTCTCTATCTTTTTTTTAATGATTTCTATATTTAACAAAATACTACATTTTAAAATTTAGCTACAAGATGTAACAGTCTAGAAGTCAATTAACATAGTTTGTTTTCATTAAAAAAAGAAAACACATAAATATTCTCAAATTGTATAAAATAAATACTTATTTATCATTCATAAATGACATCCTTCCTTTCACTTCAAGGATATTTTTAATGGGAAAAATTTTGTTAAGCATTTTTTTTTTTTTAATAAGAATTTTAGAGCAATTTTTTTTATTAATTCGAACAAAAATTTCCCTCGTTTGCGTGATTGGATATATTTTGCATCCCTGATAAAAGTTACGGAGAGTTTGCACATGAGATATGGAAGAATACATACCATTCTTGAACTACTATCTGAATTAATTGATTCACTTTCTAAATCTTGAAAAGAATCAGTTTGACAGAATACTATTAACAAACGTTTTGTCAGAATATCTGGCCATTCCTCTATTGCAAATGAAATTTCTTTAGCTTTGGAGTCTGAAAAGACAAGAACAAAAATGCAAAATTAAATTTGTAAAAGATAGTATAAAAGCAATAAAATTTAGTCTTAATAGTTTAACCTTCCTTCAGTGCAATTTTTTAATAAAATATTTTATAAAAATTGCAGATTTTTTATTTCATATTTCATATCTATATATATTTTAGACTTAATAAACAAAAACATTTTGCAGAATAATTTTTTACTCAGTACAAGAATTGGAGCATAAAAAAGGTAGTTGGAAAATTGAAATGAAAGAATAATCATATAACAGTAAATTTTGAAAATTAATCACGGTAAAGTTATTATTCATATTATGAAATTAAAAGGTAAAAGATACATAATGATGAAAATATGAAAAATTCTTAGAAACATTCATTGGAAGATTAATATGACAAACAGAACTATTATCAGTGTCAAAAATATTGACAGGAGTGTATTTTATGTCATTCATAAAAGGCTTCCTGCCAGACATCGTTGAGATTTGAAAAGGGTGTGCAAAATGCTGCATATAATGTTTGTATATTTTGCAGAAGTATGGACAACTAACACCATCAGCTAACTTAGATCTGAATAAACAATTAAACATCACAGAAAGTCTAAATGAAACCATAAATAGAAAAAGAGTGGTTTGCATAGTTAAATAGACAAAAAAATGTATCCACCAGAAATCACAGATAGTCCAAGTCAATTGCAGATATGCACCAAGAAGGTTACGTATTTTCATGTTAAAAGGCTTTTTGTGCCCCAAGTAGGGTAAACCAACCAGTGATGGAACATTTCATATATATTGATTAAAAATAAGAATTTGAAAGTTTTTCTTTAGATTGATTGGTAACAATAGCTTACTGCCAAACAATAGGAAGTCATCTAGCAATGTTTTGGATTAACTGGTTAAATAGACTTCGCTGGAAAATTTTTTGAATTTGTTATTATCTCTGCAACACCTTGCTTCTTTGAAAAAAATTATAAGGTGAGTGTTTGTATTTATATGTTTGAATTAGAATTAATTGCATGTAATAGTTTTATTTTTCTCACTTTTCACAGTGAGAGAGTTCAAAATATAGTTTATGAAGTTACGTTTTATTTTTTTTAAGCATCATAGCATAATAAAGTAATGAGGGTGTTTATTCACTGGATCACCAAACGATGAAAAACCAGTGAAGGAACAAGTGTTCCTTTACTGGGTTTTTTTTTCTAAGTTAATGAAAATAAAAGATAAACTTTAATTTTCTTGTACTTTTAGTGATGTTCCACATCAAAAGTATGTTAAAAATACGAAAAACAACTTTTAACCAGTGAGGGAACAGGCATGTTCCTTTACTGGGCATAGATTTTCCAGTGAATGAACAGTATGTGTTAATATTTTGACACTTTAATTTTCAATTCATGATTACAAAAAAAAGTTAACTTTTTCCAAGTATTTATATGTTACAATTTCAAGAATAGGCTTGTTTTTAAATATTTGTATGGCTTATAAATTCAGAAAGAGCATTAAAAAATAACCAAAATTAAGTGTTCCTATACTGGGTGTTCATTCACTGGTAAGAGATGTTCCTTCACTTGGTCTTCTTACTGCTTGTTATTTGAACCTCCAAATCTTTAAAACAATATTATGTAAGTTCTCTACAATTTTTTTACATAATTTGCAATTAGTAACAAATATGTTGACACTGTCATTTAACTAAAATTACGAATTTTGAAATTGATATGATTTTTTAAAAGGCAAGCGAAGCTTAAGTGTTCCTTCACTGGTTAGTTTACCCTAATTCATTTTAATGAAAACTATCATCAAGAAAAATTATGATCTTTTTGTAACAATTTACTCTTATGTCTAAAGTTAACAACAACACTTCTCTCTGTTAATTAGTTTTGGAGTCTAGGAATTTAAATTACTTTAGGAGTGATAAAATAGTTTATTTTTGTTATTTTTTACATTTTTTTTCGCTGTAAATAAATTTTTATCAAAGTAAAATTATAATCATTTGACAAAAAATTGCAAATAAGGTGCAAAACTCCCAATGAATGCAGAAATAGAAATCAGGTGCCAACTTTCCAAACTAGCTATCAGTAAACAGAAGTACAATGACACAAAAATATATATAGTCAGCATTTACGAAGCTAATATTAGCTCAATTTTAAGGTCTATCTTCCACATATTTCTACATAGATACCCTAAATTCTATACAGATATTATGCAAATTATGCATGAATTTAATTCTTCATCATGTCTTTGAGCCACTTAAAATTTTTGCTCATGGCATTTCAGACTTAAGTTTATGTTTTTTTTACTTTTCTATAAGGTGACAAGATTAAGCTTCAAATTAACTTGTTGGAACTGGTAAAAATGAGATTTTTTTTTAAATTTTTAATTTCTTGTTTATATGAAATTGCTTTTGTTTTTTATTTATTGTTTTTAAAATCGTTTAAGTAGTAGGAAAAAATATTATCATAGATTGGTTGCAAAAAACAAAATTTGATAACTCTTGTTAATTAAAGAAACAAAACAAACTCATTTTAAACAGATTATTATGGTTATTTTCAAAAAAACTTTTAATTACTTTTATCCTAATCTTGGCTATAAAATTATAATAATACTGATAAATCATGAAACTGGGCACATCTTCTAGAAATTAAGAAATAGACAAATATGAATTAAAAAAAAGATAAAAGATAAATTGTAAGATTATAAAAAATATAATAATTAAATGCAGATATAAATAAAATATTTTATTATTATTGTTTTTTATTATTATTATTATTGCAAAAGCACTTGACTTTACATCATTGGCCCCCATGCATCGAAAATGCATGAGATTGGAGCATATAAAACAAAAACTGGACCATTGAAGAATACAAGAACAATATAATAACAAGAACAATAAATACTTGCAAAACATGAACCACTTAAACATGAACGAGAATCAGTCGCTGGGTACCAATTGCATCAACTCCCTAGCTCGCCAATATCGACTGAATAAATCTTCTTCATTTAATGAAGAACAACTGAACAAATGATATTTGTCCATCTCAAAGTTCTGGTTGCACAAAGTGCACATAGGACTTTATTAGTATTTATTAGTAGACTTTATTAGTATTGTTAACACATGCTTAAGTAGCATCAAACACAAATAGCACATACCATATAAATGTCATTTTATATTATAGAGAGATAAACAAAAAATAAAAAAAATTCAATCAGTCAGACAATATGAAACATTTTTTTAATATCACTCAAAAAAATAACTTACCATCAAAATCATCACTTTGGAATCCTTTTTCTTTCAAATCATTAAAAAATTCCTCATTTACAGTAAATACTAATTTGTTTGGTTGCTCATCAACGTCGCTTTCAATAGCAGTTACTAATGATGGTGTCAATTTACAATAAATTGTTTGACTACCTAAATCCAAAGTAGACAAATAAAATAAAATATTCAAAAATCAAAAGCATATTAAGAAACACATGTATGTCATAGAGAAAGATTGAAACTGGTGACTGTCAACTTTCACCGGTGAATATTAACAATCACAAAGTCACCTTGTTGAATTCCCAAAATATTTGTTACATCCGATTTGATATTAATATGCATATTACCATGAATGGGTAAAATCTGGAGAATGTAGACTTTCATTGATGAATGTCAACAATCAAATTGTTAAATGCCTGAAATATTTGTTCTTCCCGATTTGAAAGTAAATTATTCCTTGATATTTTATATTTATTTCATATTTTAATATCCAATTAGAAAAATCATCAGTGCTAAGACACTGGGCAAAAACACTTAACTTTAAAAAAAAAAAAATTAAAAAAAAACATTTGTGTCGGGAATACCAGGCTAATGTAATAATCAAATTAATGTCAAATGAGATCTAGCATATACTTTGGACACTTACCAATGTTACTCTGTGATTGTTGATATTCACTATAACTGTAAAAATCGACAATCACCAATTTTGGGTCTTTTATTGTTATACATATAAAACAAAATACTCACTGTTCTGCTTAATTACATAAATTGATTATTTTATGGAAGTTAAACATAAAAGTTATTTAAGTAGGTGAAGTTTAAAAATCTGAAAATGTTATTTTTGCTGTTTTATCAGTCCTTTTATTATTACAATTTAGTTTAGTTTTATTATCATGACTTGGCCTTTTTTTATTGATTTCATAGCCTTTAGAGGGCCAAGACCTACTTTAGAATCTTTTTCCTTTCTGCTTAATTCTTAGCCGAGGTAATCCAGTATTTCTTTTTGAGTGCTCTGAAATCTTCATTAAAGAAAAAATTTTTAATTATGTTTAAAAATATTTGGCAGAAGACTGATTATTTAAAAGACAATTTTTAAAGAGTAAAAATATAAAATGTATTACTAGTTAATAACAATAAATATAACAATAAAAAAAATTTTAACTGATAAATTAATAAATTTATTTATCACACAAAAATACTTACCATTTTCTAATTGAATTGGAAATGTTAGGCCATCACTACTGATTGTAAAAATTATATTTTCAGCTTGCACAAAAGTTTTCAAAAATACAAAATTTACACTGGAACATTTTATTTCTATCGGACAGTCATAATTATCTTTAATTTCATCTTCATCATAAAACTCATAATTCTCAGCTGAAACTTCAACTACATCATTTAACTCAGGCATTTCATAGGTAACATCTTCTGTGTTATTTGAAAATTTCTGGTTTTCAATTAAATTTTCTTCAGTTTCAGAAAATTCTTCATTTTCTTCTTCCTTATTTAACTCGTGCATTTCATAGGAAACGTCATCATTCTTATTTGAAATTTTCTGGCTTTCAATTAAATTTTCCTCCGTTTTAGAAAATTCTTCACTTTCTTCCTCCTTATTTAACCCATGCATTTCACAGGAAAGGTCATCTTTGTTATTTGAACTTTTCTGGTTTCCAACTAAATTTTCCTCCAGTTTAGAAAATTCTTCACTTTCTCTCCCCTTATTTAACTCATGCGTTTCACAGGAAAGGTCATCCTTGTTATTTGAAATTTTTTGTTTTTCAACTAAATTTTCCTCAGTTTTAGAAAATTCTTTACTTTCTTCCTCCGTATTTAACTCATGCATTTCATAGGAAACCTCATCTTCGTTATTTGAAATTTTCTGGTTTTCAAATAAATTTTCCTCAGTTTTAGAAAATTCTTCACTTTCTTCCCCCTTATTTAACTCATGCATTTCAGAGGAAACCTCATCTTTATTATTTGAAATTTTCTGTTTTTCAACTAAGTTTTCCTCAGTTTTAGAAAATTCTTCACTTTGTTCCTCCGTATTTAACTCATGCATTTCATAGGAAACCTCATCTTTGTTATTTGAAATTTTCTGGTTTTCAACTAAATTTTCCTCTGTTTTAGAAAATTCCTCACTTTCTTCCTCCGTATTTAACTCATGCATTTCATAGGAAACCTCATCTTTGTTATCTGAAATTTTCTGGTTTTCAACTAAATTTTCTTCAGTTTCAGAAAATTCTTCATTTTCTTCCATATTTAACTCATACATTTCAGAGGAAACCTCATCTTTGTTATTTGAAATTTTCTGGTTTTCAACTAAATTTTCTTCAGTTTCAGAAAATTCTTCATTTTCTTCCTCCATATTTAACTCATGCATTTCATAGGAAACCTCATCTTTGTAATTTGAAATTTTCTGGTTTTCAACTAAATTTTCTTCAGTTTCAGAAAATTCTTCACTTTCTTCCTCCGTATTTAACTCATGCATTTCATAGGAAACCTCATTTTTGTTATTTGAAATTTTCTGGTTTTCAACTAAATTTTCCTCAGTTTCAGAAAAATCTTTATTTTCTTCCTCCGTATTTAACTCAGGCATTTCAGAGGAAACCTCATCTTTGTTATTTGAAATTTTCTGGTTTTCAACTAAATTTTCCTCAGTTTCAGAAAAATCTTCACTTTCTTCCTCCGTATTTAACTCATGCATTTCATAGGAATCTTCATCATTGTTATTTGAAATTTTCTGGTTTTCAACTAAATTTTCCTCAGTTTCAGAAAAATCTTCATTTTCTTCCTCCGTATTTAACTCATGCATTTCAGAGGAAACCTCATCTTTGTTATTTGAAATTTTCTGGTTTTCAACTAAATTTTCCTCTGTTTCAGAAAATTCTTCACTTTCTTCCTCCGTATTTAACTCATGCATTTCAGAGGAAACCTCATCTTTGTTATTTGAAATTTTCTGGTTTTCAACTAAATTTTTCTCAGTTTCAGAGAATTCTTCACTTTCTTCCTCCTCAGTTGAAGATTTCTCTCCCTCATCACCTGAAATGTCTGAAGCCATTTTTTCATCTGAGAAGTGAAGTTGCAATCTCAAGGCTTCACCAACATCTTCTCTCAAGGCTTCATCCAAGTCTTGCATGGAAGCAAGTTTAAACTACAGAAAGAGAAATTTTTTAAATAAATAAAAGTATTTTACTATTCACATCTTAACTTTTTCCCAACAGTTTTAAACAAATTCTTTCATTTTATAATAAATAAAATTTTATTGTGCAAAAAACAAAATACTAATTCTTTACCCAAAAAATTGGATTTAAGAATAAAAGTTAATTCTAGAGAAGACTTTGACTGTTTTTTTACTTTCTTATTTTTATAAAACTTTTCAATTTTTCATGATTTATAGGAAATCTTACTATGAAGGAAAAAAAAGCAACAACTGTTTGGATGCTTTAAACAACTATTACAGCTAGTCCCAAAAAGAACCAGCAAAGAAGCGAACCTCCGAATCAATGAAATTGTAAATTGATCGGTTCTGCAATTTTCCCCTTTATTATAAGTTTTAGTGAGTTGATGTTTTTTTACAAAATGGAAACAATTTTTTAAAATATAATCGTTGAAATTTCACCTTTTCTTTGATAAATTTAATTGCACACACTTTTTCCCCCCATTTTCTTCTTTTTTTATGAAAAATTTAATCTTATGCAACTGAGATGACAAAATATGCCTATTTAAATATTTAATGAAGAGTTTAATAAAAATAGAGTTTAATAGTTTGAGTGTTCAAAAAATCTTAGTAATAATCGTGGCTTTTGAGGAAACAACTAACACGAAGGATAATTTTAAAGTAATTAACGCTACAATGTACAGGTACACAATACTTCCTTTAAAACTATTCATTTATATATAGGTAAAAATATTAAATAAAACAATTTCTTTCAAAACTGATGTTTGAGGAAATAACTATATTCTTTTATTCTTTTAAAACTATTCTAATATATTCTTTTAAAACTGTTCTAATAAAGATCATTCTTTGAAAATATTAAAATATTACTCTCATTTTTTCAGTTTTGTAAAGTGAAAAAAAGTAATCATATTTTTTCCACACACAAAAAAAGTTTTATTATTGAGTTTCTTTTTTAAAAAACTTGATGTCCAGTTAAAATTAATGATCAAAAATTCATCATTCTAAGGCAGTATTATGCGAGTTCTGCTATTTGGCCACCTATTAACCTTATGGAGACCCTGTTTATAGTTCTTTATGATCATTCTTCTCAGAACAAATTCAATAATCTATCTTCAAACCTTTTGATTCATGCTTGGAATGATGCTTATGGAGACCCTGTTTATAGTTCTTTATGATCATTCTTTGCATAACAAATTCAATAATCTATCTTCAAATCTTTTTATTCATGCTTGGAATGATGCTTATGGAGACCCTGTTTATAGTTCTTTATGATCATTCTTTGCATAACAAATTCAATAATCTATCTTCAAACCTTTTTATTCATGCTTGGATTGATGCTTATGGAGACCCTGTATATAGTTATTTATGATCATTCTTTGCATAACAAATTCAATAATCAATCTTCAAACCTTTTGATTCATGCTTGTTCTCCTAATTTCGAAGTTAATACCCTACAGTGCAAAAAATACCCTCCTCTTTGTGGATGATAAGTGACTTAACCCTTACTCAACCGGAAGTTTTTTAAGTTTACTTCCAAGCAGGTATAATTATAATGAAAAATTATAATACTAATGAAAATGATATAATAAATTACAATAAAAGTAATTGAAAATATAATTATAACAAGTGTGATCAAAATAATAAAATCATTATAGCCATCATCTGCTGAGCATTTGGCCTAGGAAGGAAAAGTGCAATGCCGCTTATACTACACAGGGATGAGATTGGCCATAAGGCAAAAAAGCTGAATTTCCATGCAAGCAAAAATTTTACGCTCATGCAATCGTTTAATAATAAATTCCAGACAATTTAATATAATAAATAACTATGTGTTGACATAAAATTGTGTACTTATCTATTAATCTATGTATAATTACATGGACACTTAATATTTAGTAAAAAGTAAAAATACCAATTGAAAAATAAAACTAGAAATTATATTCTTCTTCAGTTCACATAAAGTAGACAATTATTACTTGAGAATCTGCCTAGTTTAGCAAAATAAAACTACTGAGAACATACTTTAATATTCAATTTCTTTTAATAAATACTGTTACATAATTTGTAACAAAAATATCAGTAATGAGATTTTTTTAATTATTTAGAAAATAAATTTAAGTTTTACAATTGGAATCACTATGTTCACATTATAATCTAATCTAGCTAGAGACCTGTGAATCATATCAATAACTATAAAGTATAAATATATAATAACTCCTTAACATACAAAAATTACTTTTCTAGTTTGAAAAATTACATGATAATCACCAACTGTTTAGATAATTATTTTCCATTTTATAGCAAGAATAACAGCAACATTATTTTTTAAATTTTGGATTTTTTTTGCTGAGTTTACTTTTTTTTTTCATGAATCCCTTTTTAAGTGAATGCTTTTGCTTGTTATATCTAGAGTAATAATTTTTTTCTGGAATTTTCGATTGCTTCAAATGCTTCATGTTTCCCAAAACAAGCAACAACAAAATACTTTAACAAGGTCAAATTGCCTGTAATGCAGCTTGTGAATGAGGGGTGTTCCAGTTTGGAAAAGTTTTATATTACTATATTTTTTTTTTTTACCTGCCTGTGTCAGATTTTTTTTTACAAGCAGAGAATGTATGTTTTGTATACATTCCCTTCCAGTTTTGCTGATGTTGTGATGCCTATATATAGTGTTAATCGGGCTATAGTTAGGCATCATATATAGAGCTACTGCCTATATAATCGTCGATAGAAAAACAGTCACCTTTATGGCAACCAATTCAAGAAAAAACTTACTTCTTACAAGAATCACGATAGTTGATAACGATAATGGATTTTGAAATCACGTGAATAGAGGAAACTCGATATACATGATTTTAAAAATGAGAAACTACAAACTGCGATATAGAATTTTTAAATCTTGTAAATACAAATCACGATTCAAAATTTTTAGATCGCGTAAATATGAATCATAATGCGTAATTTTTAGATCGTGTAAATACGAATTCCACAGCCTTATTTTTAAATGCCGTATAAATACGAAAATCGATGTTTGATATTATAACCGAATGAACGAATCAAGACATTGGATTTTAAATTCGCGTGAATACGAATCGCTACATTGGATTTTAAACTCGCATGAATACGAATCGCTACATTGGATTTTAAAAACGCGTAGATACAAATCGAGATATTCGGAATTTTAAATCTCGTAAATAAGAATAACCAATGTACGATATTTAATTCACGTGAATAAGAATCGCTACGCACAACTTTTAAATCAGGTAAATACGAAACTCTATGTTTATTAAAATCTGGTAATCGAGATATTAGCAGATTCCGGACTTGGACTAAAAGACGATGTCTAAATTAAGAAAATACAAGTCATCTGGAAAGTGGGAAAATTGCAGAAAATCTTATCTTCTCCGCCTAAAAGAGGAGAAAATATAGCTAAAACAAGTAGAAATGGGGAAAGGCTGGCAGCTATGTAATTTGAATTTTCTGTTTATTTTTGAAAATCGAAAAAAATATAATTATTTAATTTCAACGGCTGAATTTTCAGAAAAAGCGGAATATTTATTTTTAAAAAAAAGTTTAACCTACACTAGTATACACTAGACGGCACTAGACCGTTAAATTTAATATTTGAATTGTATGTGAAACTAGTAATTAATGCTTTTAAATGAATTTCAAAAAATTGTTATATAGAAATAAATCTTAAAGTATTAAAAAAAGTTCTAAAATTTTTAATATTTGTAAAATAGTTTTCATACTTACAAAATTTTTTCTTGGTGGTATATCTTCTGCCTTAATTTGTATATTATGCACATTTGATGATAGTTCTAAAAACCTAAAAGTAGAAAAGTTATTGAGAATCAACAAATTACTTTGAATAACATCACACTAGTTGAGAGACAAGAAAAATGTGTGATATAACCGAAAGTGTGATAAAACAAATTTTATCATGAAAAATAAAAAACCTAAACACAAGGAATGTTTACTTTTTGGTATTTGATTGCTTTAAAAATTTATGTGAATAGTACAGCATAGAAACATTTTTACACTTGAGTATGACAAATTTTTCGTGTTTGCTCGATTTTTCACTCATACTAGTTTCCATTTGCCTAATTTATGAATAATTAAAATTCTACTACATAAGCAATATTTCATGAATAATAATTTTATAAATACGAAAGGAGTGAATGAGTCAATTAATACTCTATAAAAGAGCCAAAAATAAATCTTTGCAATAAACAAAATTTAATTCATAAATAAGTAATGCATAAAAATAATTATGAAAAATAATTACCTTTTGTTAAGAAATTTTAACTTTTTTACTACATCATGAGACTTATAACGATCAAAGTCAACATAACACTTCAAGCAATTTTCAAGATTGTTTGCTTTCCATTCATATTTTTTCATATATTCAAAAAACTTGTGGTCAGAGAGAAACTCCATAGCAAGCTTTCTTTGAGCCTAAAAATCAAGAATAAATTTTTAAAATAAAATGAAACAAAATTAAACAGTAAACTTAACATGTTCACCATTCATTTTGGTAATTTAACCCTCTGGGGATTAGCTACGGTATTCCTAATTTTCTGCAACAGCTTTGTAACACAAAAATCAGTTCCTCCAATGATATTGAATAATATCATTGGAAAATAATCTATGGAAAATAATCTATAGTAAAGAAATTTTTTCACAATTTTGCCTAGGGGTCAATGTAAGGATTAAGAACGTTAAGATAAAAACTAGCTATACAAAAGATCAGTCCATAGATTTGAAGTTCACACTTTTCTGTTAATGTACGGATAGCAAAACGAATTTAAATAATTACTTATTCGTCAAAAATTAATAAAATTACAATTTAAATTTTAATACTAATGTAAAAAAATATACTACCTATATAAATACATTTTAGCACTATTTTTTGTAGGGGCTCAATGCTTGGAGGGCAAACAATGATAAAATATGTTTATCTTCTTCTTGTTAACTAAGTTCACAATTACTTAGTAATAAATTATCACATTTGAGTAATTGCTTAGTTGTAAAAAATGTATCAACCTATTATTTGATTTTAATTTTAAAATGTTATAAAACTACCTTTGGCTTATTTATTTCTAATAAGCATGAACATTTGGGCAACTAGATACATTAAAAAAGTTTTTATTGACAATATAAAAATAAAAATTGAGCCACTTATGCATGTCTGGGTTTATGCCTTGATCATAGCATTCCTGATAACATTTGGTGACACTTCAAGATGCCATGGTACATAATTTGGGAAGAATTGATTAATAAGAAATAAAAGCTATAGCTTATTCTTGATTTTAAATTGAGAAAAAAAATTTCTCTACATTTCAAAATTTATAAAAAAGTAGAAAATGAAAAAAGCTTAAATTTATTAATGTAATTAAAAAGTCATTTACCTCACATTGGATTTTAACTAATGTGGACAAACATACATATTTCTGTAGTAACTCTTCGGTGAAAATCAAATCATCACAGAGCAATTGTATGGCCTCCTGAAAATCATCTTCAGTAATATATTCTTTAATGAAAGCGGTTAATGCTTTCTTTTTACAGTCGAATCCCGATACAAATTTATTCCAATCATTAAAGACTCTTATTATCTGTAAATAAATAAAATAAAAATACATTAAATTTTTTAGGAGAGCTATAATATTTGAAACTGCCTACACAACAAAATAATAGTAATTTTATTCTAATTCAAAATTTCTTTATATGAACAAATTTGTGACTTTCAGATTCAATAACAAAACTGTACAAAGAAATAAATGTAGTACATAATTTATACATTACTTTCCAATGTTGAAATTATAAGAATATCTATGCATAAAAATGGGAATTTATTAAAAAAAAAATTAATGACGGCCTACATAAGAAAAATTTTCTTGAGTTTTAATTTTTTTGCATTATTATTGTAGAAACTTATCACCAGTTATAAAATTATTATAATACGAATTATAGTATATACTACGTAATATATAAGGATTAAATCACAGCATAAAATAAAACAAATACACAAGCACAAAATAATGAATCTTTACAAAACAATACTTCCATCATTGAATATCTAATTGTATATCCTACATCACAAGCACTGCATGGAAATCATAATTTTCTCATCTTTCTGCAGAAGCCTCTGACAGTGTAATACCACAAGCTATAGGGCAAAATTAAGGGGAATTTTGCTTCTGGCCAGTGGTCAATTGTAGCATTTTCAACAGTGGTCACTTTTTAAAACATACAGCAAAAATTAAAAGTTTTAACAGGGTATGAAGCCAAATCTTTCAAAAAAAATAAGCACCTTTAAAGTACTTTTTAAGCACTCGAAAAATGTTTTTAACACTATATAGATTAACAAAATGAAAAATATCTGTCAAAGACTTTACATGATCATAATAAAATAACTAGTTTCTGACAAAGAACTATTTTCCTGATTATATTAGCCACCATAAGAAGATGGAGAGATTTTTTGATTCAATTTCAGAGGGTGGAAAATGAAGCCTGAAATTAAGATTATTTTGCAAAATACAGCAAAGTTGCACTTGAGAGTGCAAGAATCTCACCGCACCCAGCTCGGTATACGCACACGCGGACTCCCAAGTATTTCATCAAACATGTAACATAATTGACAATTGGTGCTATCATACGCTACGAACCGAAGGTAAACCGAAATGGATTGTGAAAATGTTAAATAGAACAATGTTTAAACCACGCTTTTGCATAATATGCAGTGAAAATTGACATGGTAAAGGAAAAAAAATTATTTTTCGAAAATTAAGCACGTTTTGAAAACAGCCCATGAAAAGAAAACAATTCTAAAGGCTTTTAATTAACGAAAATCAAAAATAAATACCTTTATGGATATTTCAAAAATGCTACGCACCATGTTTAAATAATTAAAATAACTTAATATGTAAAGGCATTTTTTTAAGGATTTCTCAATGAGTGGTAAATACTATAAGGTACATTTTTAAAATGATTAAACATTAAAAAAAAGAATGAAATAAAGTAATTTTCAAAATATTACAAAATATTCATAATTCTATATTTTGTTAAAGAAACATAAACTGCAAATAGGGTGCATTTCCGACAAAGAAGTGGTGATTGTGTAGTGCCCATTAATTTTGCCATGAATCATAAGCAAAGGGAGAGCTACAAACTACTGTTACCAGTGAATCTGCAAGAGGAAAATGCGGGTCTTTAGGTACTAAGAATTCTCTATTTCTGGGTCCTTTTTTAATAAAAGTGGGTCCCTATTAAAAATATAAATTCTCAACCTCTTTATCCATCTATAAATATTCACATTCATAATGTTACATCTATTGATAAACAAAACAAAGAATTTTAAATTAAAATGGTGCTAGAACTATCAAGTCTTTTAATTATAAACAATTATGTAGTTTGATACTCAAGATAAATATACTTTTATACGCGAGTTTTTAATAACAAAGTAAAAGAAATTTTTTTATTTATATTTAAAGCTTGATATTTATTTGGATCATAGCAGGTCGTTGCAAATAATAAAGAATACATTTACCTCAGTAATCAATGTAATTTTTATTAAGTTTTAAAAAAAAATTCTTTCATTTCTTTTACNTTTTTTTTTTTTTTTTTTTTTTTTTTTTTTTTTTTAAGGAAATTTCACTTGAACTATCAGACAGCCATTATTTTGTGCTGACAACATATTGTCTTTGTAAAAAAAATACAAACAGAATGTTTTTAAGGTAAAAAGTGTCTACACCAAAATTTATTTGTATCATAGCAGGTCATTGCAAATAATAAGGAATACATTTACCTCAATAATCAATGTTATAAGTATTTTAAATAAGTTAAAAAGATAAATAAATAAATAAATTTAAAAAAATAACAATTTTACTTTCAATAGTGTAAAAATAAGCAAAATAACTGTAGTTCATTAATTGGGAGCATTTATTTAATTTCTTTTATTGTTATTTTCATTCGAAAATAATAATTTAAAAAAATGCCAATGATTCAAAATCGGAACATTGTTAAAAACACATTCAAAAAATTTTTCACTAAACTTCTTGTTTTATTGCTTTTAGATATGCTTTCATAGCATACTTTTCTATTTTCAAGTGAAACGATTAATCTTTTTTTTATTCGATGTTTAAAAGGTTAAAAAAGCACATTCAGTTTTTTTCATACAAAGTAAAAAACAATAAGTGATCTCATAGAGCAGATTATATTGGCATATGTTTTAAGTTTCATACTTTTAATACTATAAGAAATCAACAGACTTGGTTTACTTTTATTGGTAAAGATGAATTTTCGATTTCCTAAGTAATTTTTTTAAAAAAGTCTATTTTAGCTCTTAATAATTCTGAGTCTAGTCGACAATAAGTGATCTAATAGTGAAGATTACACTTGCACTTTATTGGCAGAAAGCTCACTTTTATTAGTACGTTGGTACAAAGCGGACTAAAATGGACTTAGCACTAAAGAACGAACTTTGAAGGAAAAGAGGACTGTTTAGGAGCAATTAATAGTCAAGTAACCATTGAAGAAATGCAGTAGCAAATTGAATTATTTGATCTGTTAGTAAAAAAAGGTTAGATGAGCAGTAGTTTTGAGATAGGATCAAATAACGCATTATGATTGCATTTATTACTTCAGACTGCAAAAATAAGAAGATAAACAAGTGCAAAAAAAATAAATGTCAAGCATTTAGATAAAACTATGCTATATTCTGCTCGAATAAAAGTTAATAATAATAAAATAATAGAAACAAGTTAAATAATTTATATGTTAATTATAAAGGTTCTTTTAGTAATTAACAGATAATTTTTCCAAAGTAATAGAAAACATTTGTAAATACTAATTATAACACAAAATACTTACAAGTATTTTGGGTGTTGAGTCATCTTCAATGTTTTCAACTTTAACAACACAGCGTTCAAAACTTCCACTTTCCTGCATTTTAATGCTAGTCTAAAAATAGAAATACTAATTAGCTTTTCAAATGTATATTGATAGATATAATTTTTTAAAAATAAATGATATGGAAGAAAAATTTTATTCTTATTTATTATTATCTTAAATATGCATTCCTTTAAAAGCTTTAAGTGCTTATACAAAAAAAGAAGGAATTAGCTCTGAAAGTATTCTTATAACCATAGTTTAAGAGAATTTCTAGATAGAAAAATGTGAATAGATTACAGAACAATTTTTTTAATATGGACAAATCAGATATATTTTGATAAAAAATATTCTTAACAAAATGAATGTGTAGAAAGAAAAAAAAACTTTTTTTTTATCCTTTTTGCTTATAATAATTATTTATTAATGCACAGATTAATTATATAACCTAACCTTAACTTATTCTCTAATACTATACTCACAACAAAACTAAACATAATTTTAAAATAACGTTTATGCTATGATTTATGCATAAATTAGGCGCACCCTGTTCATTCTAGGGTTTGATCTTCCATCAGGTTAACCTAGCATCTGCCATAGGGCACCAAAGAAAAAAAGGCAGAAAATCCACGTTTATGATTCACCAAAAAAAAATTTAAAACAATTTTTAATGACTTTTGTAATTTTTTTTTCAAAAGGGTATAATAAATTAATCAATTATACTTTTCTAATTTAAAATTTTTTTACTCTTTCTGCAAAATATTAGTTCTCTTGCATGGATTATTTTCAGGTTAAAATCTGTAACTTTGCATTTATTTAGACACATATTATATTATTCATCATAAATGGCTATTTGGAACCAGATAATTTATTTAAATGCTTATTGTACATTTAATGTTCTATTTTAATTGATACTTTTAAGTACATCAACATTAAAAAAATATATATAACATTTGCAAATATATAACATTGTTTATATAGCATTGTTTTGTTGAAATCAGTCCAGTATTTTTTTAGTTATAATGAAATATTATGGTATTGCGCGCTGGTAATATAATGTACTCAAATTATAATGTCTGTTAATCTTCAGTAGATCAGGAACATTTTATCAGAGTGTAGACTGTGTGTATATATACATAAGGGGTGATGCCCTGTTATTAAAGGGGTATGGGTGTAAGAGAAACACTTTTGCTTAAATTTATAAGAACAAACAAACAAAATTAACAAAAAACAAACTAAACACTCATTAAGAGTAAGAGTTTTAGAAAATGTTATATTTTTCAGGAATCTTTAAATAGTTCTTAGATAAAAATATCGAGCAAATATTCAAGTAAATCTCAAAAATTATACAATCTTCATAAAATAGTTTTGGCACACATTGATTCAAAGTCATTTCAACCCTAGAATAAAATTTTGGTGGTCAGTGTAAAATTATTTATATGAACAGCCTATGACATTTTTTTTCTACTCCTATTATTATTATACCATTATTATTTTCTATTATCATTATTATAACCTAAAAATATATGACTGTCATAATTATTCCATTTCCTTATCAGTACAGGGAAATTATGACCATATTTTACGTTTACTCAAAATTAATGTCTTGACATGCTCTGTAGCAGAAAAATGCCTAGAACATACATAAAAAAGAAGCCTGCTCCTTCCTTAACCATTAAAGAGCCTGCAGGAAAATAAAAAAATAAGAAAACTGAGTCAGCAAAAATTTGAAACCATATTTAACACACTGAAATCAAGAATCCAGTTTCAAATTTCATTTGAACTATCAGGCAGTCATTATTTTGTGCAGACAACATATTGTCTTTGTAAAAAAAAATACATAAAGAATGTTTTTAATGTAAAAAGTGTCTACACCAAAATTTATTTGTATCATAGCAAGTCATTGCAAATAATAAGGAATACATTTACCTCAGTAATCAATGCTAATAGCATTTTAAATAAGTTAAAAATAAATTAATTAATTAAAAAAATAATAAGTTTACTTTCAGTAGTGTAAAAATAAGCAAAATAACTGTAGTTCATTAATTGTGATCATTTATTTAAATTCTTTCATTGTTATTTTCCTTCGAAAATAATAATTTAAAAAAAAGGCTTTGCCAAATGCTAATGATTCAAAAATGGAACATAGTTAGAAACATATTTTAAATTTTTTCCACTCAATTTTTTTATTTTATTCTTTTTAGATACGCTTTCGTGGCATACTTTTCGATTTTCAAGTTGTACGATTAATCTTTTCTTAATTCGATGTTTAAAAGGTTAAAAAAGTACATTCAGTTATTTTCAAACAAAGTAAAAAAAATAAGTTATCTCATTGAGCAGATTCTATTTGCATAGGTTTTAAGTTATATACTTTTAATACTATAAGATATCAACAGACTTGACTTACTTTTATTGGTACCAAGATGAATTTTCGAATTTTTTTAAAAAAAGTCTATTTTTGTTAGAAATAATTCTGAGTTTAGCAGAAAATAAATGATCTTATAGTGCAGATTACACTTGTACTTTATTGGCAGTAAGTTCACTTTTATTGGTACAAAGTTGAATTTCGGCTTTCCTAAATTAAGTGTAAAATTGGTTTCAAAGAATTTGCATTGCTCCCGATCTTGAATTATTTAGTAACAGTTATAACTAAATCTAAATAGCTTGATAACTACTTTTGAAGAAATTCTCCATATTTTCAAAAATGATATCAGAATTCATCATGAAAGTGAGGAAGCCATTGGATACAGTTAGAGATACTGACAATTCAGAGTTAAAATTTAGTATTAGTTTTGATGTTTTTGCATAAATCTGAAAAATCGATTTAAAAAAATAACATGAGGTATAGAGATTTATGTTTTTACACTACATAATTCTTTTCTTTTGCTTAAAAAAATGGTTTTTTTTTTAAACCAAACCAAATTTCTAAGTAACCTCCACTTATTAAGGGGAAAAAAGTTGCATGATCTTTCATGACAGGATTCAGATAGGAGAAAAAAGAAGGAAAAACTCTTCTCTCACTAGAATTATGTTGTAGAATAAAATCTTTAAAACTACTTAGCTATTTATCCTATTGATTCTAATTTCACTTCTTTCACATCGGTTGGGTCACAAAAATATATAGCAAACAATACCTCACTTGGCTAGATATCAATATCAGATGGATAAATATGCACAAATCAAAATTTGTACAATTTGTATGTAAATTTTATAATTAGAAAGAATATTTCATTGACCTAGATAACAAAAATTACACCCCATTTTCCCAAAACCTGGCATGTAAGGTTGTTCAACTTTTTACCGCTCACTAAGTTTGTTGATTTAAATCAGCTTGGTTAAAATTAACTGATTTTTTCTTTTTTTAGCTGTGACGACTCAGGGGATAGACCCTCCTAATGAGGTGACCCAAGTTTGAGTCACAGCGGTGGCTGATTGATACGAATTTTGTTCCCGGCACCCAGCGACCACAGTGCTGACATTATATATGTATCTTCAATGAAAGAAGGCTAGTGAAGCAAAATCCACTTGCTGATGGGCTAACCAGGGTGGTTTTTGTTGATTATTTCTCCATATAACGCAAATGTGGGATAGTTCTATCTAAGAGTCTTTCGAGAAGGCTAGTTTGACCCAATGCTTGTTACAGGAATCACCTTGTTATCTGGGTAGGGTTCAAAATTACAAAGCCACGGAGGTGAACATTGATAGTTGTAAACTCAGAATTGGGTACACTATTTAATGCTGGTTATAAAATAAAATTTAAAATTGTTTCTTTTAAAGAAATCATCACTTTAAAAAGACTTTGAATATGATGATAGTTTTTATATTCATTATAAATATATTAATGTGTTATAAATTTAAATTGGCAAATTACATTAATACTCAATGTAAAATAAATAACAGTATTTTTGAAGTGACATAAAAAAACGCTACAATTCCTTTGTATTTTTTAAAACAAGAAAATTTAAACACTTTTTATATATAAAAAAAAAATTGTTACAGAATATGGAATTTTTCTCTAACCATGATGGCAATGAAAATCCTACAATACCAAGTTCAAAACACTATCTTATAAACCACATTTTGTTTTAATATTGCAAATCTATCTTTGGATCTTGAAATGAACACAATGGGTAAAGGAGATTATTCTAATATGACATAAAAAAACATCTATAAAATGATAAATTAAAATTGCTTTTCCCAATTATTTTTTTTTTTTTAATAAATGTAATGTGTTAAGTTATTCTTTTCTTCTATATAGATATATTTAGTTTTTATGAGGCATGAATTATTAAACTTGCACAGAAAACTTCAAAAAACTTAATCAAAAAAGTAAACTCACATCACTATTTGATAGGATTTCGTTTCTCTCGAAATTAAAATATAAGTTTGAAATTGTTCTACAGTGCTTTAATATTTCATTTTCTATCCTATTCACTACTCGACAAAATTTTGGAAGATCTTGCGGATTAAATGTTTCATTCTGCAAATCATATGAAGGAGGCAACTCTGAACTCATGAATTGAACATATTCAAGCCATCTATTCTGTTTTAAAGTTACTTCTTCGAAGGCAATAGAATCTGTAAAATAAATAAAAATAATAAATAATTTATGCAAAATGTTAAATAATAAATAATTTCACAAAATAGAAATTTTGTGATTAAAATACATAGATAAATTTCTAGAGAGTATGCACTTTATTTCATGTCTATAAAAGTATTTTTATTCTTCAAATATTAAAATGTCACAGTTTCCATACTTTCATTAAAAAAAATTATTTATTGCTGTAAGAATTATAATTGAAAAAAACAAAATATATTGGTCTAAATTACTTTTGGTCTTAACTTTTTTTAAATACAGAAACAATCACCAAAGAATTAACTTATACAAATAAGAGTAAATGTTTTAATTTTAATAAAATAGAGCAGACTACTCTAATAAATTAATCAATATTTACTACTGGTTTGTACTATTATTATTTCCAAAAGCCTGATACTTATTAACAAGCATAAGTTATCCCTCTTCCAAAAAGATATTAATGTTTTAAACCATTCATTATTTTTCTTTCCGCACTATGACTCGATCAGGTCAATTTTTAATCACATGATGATTGGATGCTTTTGGTTTCTTGTATTTTGGCTGAATGCTTTCAGTTAAGTATGCAGGTAGAGAGATTTCTGATTTTGCATTAGATTATATAGCCAAACATACTCCATTTGTAACCCTGTATTAATTAAAGAAAATAGTTTGCATGCGTTTTAACTTTAATTTATATAAATGAATCTAGAATCAGTACCAGTTAGAGCTTAATTCATTTCTAAACTAAAATTATAACCGTAAAAACTCTTTCAACAGTGGTCACTTTTTAAAACAAGCAGCCACTTTTTCAAAAATTTAAAGTTTTAACAGGGTGCATAGCCAAATCTCTCAACAAAAAATAAGCACCTTTAAAATACTTTTTAAGCACCTAAAAAATATTTTTTAACACTATATACATTAACAAAATAACTTTCAAAGACTTTACATGATCATAATAAAATAACTAGTTTCTGACCAAGAACTCTTTTCCTGATTATATTAGCCACCATAAGAAGATCGAGAGATTTCTTGGTTCAATTTCAGAGGTCAAATCAAGAGGTTTCAAAATGAAGCCTGAAATTAAGAATATCTTGCAAAATGCAGCAGAGTTTCACATGAGAGTGCAAGAATCTCACCACATCCAGCTCAGTATGCGCACATGCGAACTCGCAAGTATTTCATCAAACATGTTAAATTATTGGCGCTTTCATACGCTACTGACCGACACTACTGACCGACGCTCATACGCTACTGACCGACGGTATACCAACATGCATTGTGTTTGAATGAATTGTGAAAACGTTGAATAGAACAATGCGAAAACCACGCTTTTGCATAATACATGACAAAAATCGACATGGTAAAGAAAAAAATCTCATTTTCGAAAAGGGAAAATTAAGTACTTTTTAAAAACACCGAATAAAAAAAGCACCTTTAAGCACTTTTTTAAAATGCTATGCCCCATGTATCTACTAAAAATACAGGGAGTAACATTAATTATACTATTAATATTAATTATACTATAAATATTAATTATACTAATAATATTAATTATACTAATAATATTAATTATACTAATAATTATAATATTAAATATACTAAATATTCGAAAAGGGAGAAATAATATTGTAATAAATATAGTTCTGTAGCTGAAAAGTATTGAACTGAAATTGACAAAAATGCTGATATAGAAAACCGAAATCAACAAATAATTTTGATAAGTAATATGTAAGTTAAGTATTTAATAAGTAAGTATTTAATAAGTAAGATGTTTCAGAAAAATATTGTTTGAATTTTATAAATTCTCAAGTGATTTTTTTTTTTACTTACTATGCAGGTCAAATTCTCTCTTTCTAAATGCGTATACAGAATATTTATATGACTAAATTTTGTTTATCAAGATATAAGTAACAATGACAAAAAGTTTCATTAACTTGCTTTTTACGAGAGGTTATTTTTGAGAAGCACACTAATAATTTTCCTTAATTAATTTTTTAAAAAAAGTTTAAGATTTTTGCATTTAATGAAGAAATACAAAAAACATGAAATAAAACTTTTAAAATTAATTTCAGCTTCTTTTTTTATACAAAAAAGAAATAGTTGAATACCTTGTGGTATTTTTTTAATTTCTAATGTAAATTTTAAATGCTAACTACTATTTTAAGAATATTTTAAAAGGAGATGCACAACAATTTTTAAATTTATTAAAAAGCTAAAAACTACTAAGTTGAGACCGACATTAATATACTGAATCATATTTTCTGTCTTCATAAAAATGAAAGGTATAGTTAGATTCCTTTTGAAAACTATATGATTGATGTATAAATCATCTATTTACTTGAGTACAAATAATAAAAATAAAAATATTTAGAAAAGTTTGAGAGCATTTACAGTAATAAAATTAAAAAGCAAATTGTTATGACAAATTTGAAGATATAGAAGAGAAAAGAACCAGAAAACTCTTTAACTAACCTTAAAAATTAACTTTATTATAAGCATGTACGGGTTAATGTGATAATTAAATTGAAATTAGGTAATTTTATTTTTGCAAAGATTCTACATCAGTTTATTTAGATAAACTCATAGATATTAAATCAATAAATATAAATATTAAATCATATTAAATAGATAAATTATTAAATAGAAATATTAAATAGATATTAAATCATTCAAGATATTAAATTTCATCACAAACACTGCAAACATTACCATAAACAAAGAATGGTAAGATCAGTACTGTTTTTACAAACAGCAGAAAAATATTTTTTTCATTTAAAGAATTTGGTTAAGATAGTGCAGGGATAAAGTTAGAAGGATTCTTAAATTTATAAAATTGTACTAACCTAATTCCTGCATGCTGCAATCCAGCTCTTTTTTACAGTACTCACATTTTAAAACTTGTTTCATCAAATTCTTGCAGAATTGACAGAGAAAAAGAACTCCAAAGTTTCCAAAATTTGAAACCTAAAAAAACAAAAAATAATGCAGATTATACTGATGTTTGCATAAAAGGCATAAATATTAAACAGTTTTTTTTTTCTTATTCAACAGCTACTTATTATGTATGATTTCTATTTAAATCATTTCTTCTACATATAGCTAAACTCTCCTGACTTATACGGCACATGCAAAAGAGTATACTTAGAGAACTTAAAAAAAGAAAAAAGTAGTTTACCAAAGCATATCTGAAATTTTACAAAAACTAAAAGATGTATAGAATAAAAATGAAATAAATTTGTCTCTTGAGTAAATTCTTAAAACTTATTAATTTTGCACAGGCTTGGTACATAAATTGTATAAATTATTAAAAAAAAGGGAAAAGTTGTGATTAAAGAAAATTTTTTTTAAAACTCTTTTACAACACTATCCAGTATTTTACATTTACAATTCTCGTCTTTTATAGACTTCAACACATCTGTACAATTTTTGTCTCAAGAAAGTACCTAATTATCACAAAGTTTCTTTAATGTCAGACAGATAATGAGCATCTAAATGAAATCATATTAAATACCTAAATTAGTGAATGGTCCCTGTTAAATTGTTATTTATCATTGAAATGTTAATTGGACGCAATCACAATAACCACGAAGATTAGAAAAAAATTTAAAAGCTCGTAAATTATTAAAAAACTTATTAGAAAATGTTTCCTCAATTTCAAGATAAGAATCAATATGAGTAATTTCAATATTTCACTAATCAAAAAATTTAAAAGAAAAATAGTATTTTAATAATTTATGAAAATATATGTAAAAAAAAAGAAGTAGCATGGTTCCTAAGTACACCACATTGGTGAATCTGGCTTATTAAATTGTCAATTTTTTCAGTTGTTTTTAAACAAAATGATTAAAAAATTAATCAAACTTTGAAATGATAAATCTAAATCATATAAGATTTGTAAAAGCATTTACTAACAATATGCAGAATATAGACACATATTTAAGTGAAGATTTCCTAAAATCATACTTTTTTTAAAATATTAATCACAAAATAACTCAAGAGTACTAAAAATTCTTAAAACCACAAATTCATGAAGATAAATAAGATACCTTAATACTTTGTACAGTTAATAGACAATCCTTAGGATACAAATTTTGCAATTTTAGAACTACAAAAAAATCATACATATTTGCAACAGCATGTTTTTCTTTTGAAAAAAAATTTAAAGAAAGCTGAATTTTGCATGTTAACATAAAACAGCAGAAACAAATTTTTCAAATCACAAATTTAATGATAATAAAAATTACTATTTAAAAGAATTATTACACTAAATAAAATATAAATTAGTTTGAAAAAATATTTTTCATAAATGTAATTTGCTTAATATCCTTCAATCAGAACCTAAAATATTTAATTAAAGAGTTTTTTTCTTCTTTTTAATTTCAAATGCAGCTAAGAATGTAGCAATGGAAGTAAACAAATCAATTCGTAAATGACCCCTCAGTTTACTATTTTAAAATTTTTATAATTAATTTTTCATATGATTAAAATCATTTTAAAAAGAAGTACAGTGAGATCAGCTCAAACTTTTGAAACAACTAATCTTAATCATACAAGATTTGTTTGCAAGTATTTTATCAAACATGTTAAATGATTGGCCCTTTCATACACTACAGACCAACGGTATACCAGCATGCCTTGTGTTTGAATGAATTGTGAAAACGTTGAATAGAACAATGTAAAAACCAAGCTTTTGCAGAATATGTGGCAAAAATATACATGGTAAAAAAAAAAAACTCATTTTCGAAAAGGGAAAATTAAGTACTTTTTAAAAACACCGAATAAAAAAAGCATCTTTAAGGTCTTTTAAAAAACGAATATCAAAAATAAGCACCTTTAAGCACTTTTTAAAAATGCTACGCCCCATGTACTAATCTTCATATAATTTTAATGAGGAACTAGAGGAGTAAAATGGACTTAGCACTAAAAAACGAACTTTGAAGGTAAAAGAGGACTGTTTGGGAGCAATTAATAGTCAAGTAAACATTGAAGAAATGCAGCATCAAATTGAATTATTTGATCTGTTTTTTCGTAAAAAAAGGTTAGATGAGCAGAATTTTTGAGCTAGGATCAAATAACGCATTACGATTGCATTTATTACTTCAGACTGCAAAAATAAGAAGATAAACAAGTGCAAAAAAAATAAATGTCAAGTATTTAGATAAAACTAAGCTATATTCTGCTCGAATAAAAGTTAATAATAATAAAATAATAGAAACAAGTTAAATAATTTATATGTTAATTATAAAGGTTCTTTTAGTAATTAACAGATAATTTTTCCAAAGTAATAGAAAACATTTGTAAATAGTAATTATAACACAAAATACTTACAAGTATTTTGGGTGTTGAGTCATCTTCAATGTTTTCAACTTTAACAACACAGCGTTCAAAACTTCCACTTTCTTGCATTTTAATGCCAGTCTAAAAATAGAAATACTTATTAGTTTTTCAAATGTATATAACTAGATATAATTCTTTAAAAATAAATGATATGAAAGAAAAATGTTGTTTCTATTTATTATTATTTTAAATATCCATTCTTTTAAAAGCTTAAAGTGCTTATACAAAAGAAAAGGAATTAGCTCTTAAAGTATTCTTATAACTATAGTTTAAGTGAATATCTAGAGAGAAAAATAAATGTGAATAGATGAGAGAACAATTTTTTTAATATGAACAAATCAAACATATTCTTTGGATAAAAAATATTTTTAACAAAATGAATGTTTAGAAAGAAAAAAAAACTTTTTTTTTATCCTTTCTGCTTGTAATAAATATTTATTAATGCACAGATTAATTACATAACATAACCTTAACTTATTCTCCACTACTATACCCTCAGCAAAGTTAACTATGAATTTAATAACATTTATGCTTAAATTAGGCACACCTTGTTCTAGGGTCTGATCTTCCAGTAGGTTAACCTAGCATCTGCCTTAGGGCACAAAGAAAAAAGGCAGAAAATTCAAGTTTATGATTTACAAAAAATTTTTTAATGATTTTTGTAAATTATAATTACTGTATTTTTGTAAATAAGAGTATAATAAATTAATCAATTATACTTTTCTGATTTGAAATTTTTTTCACTCTTTCTGCAAAATGCTAGTTCCCTTACATGGTTTACTCTCAGGTTAAAATCTGTAGCTTTGCATTTATTTAGACACATATTATATTATTTATCGAAAATGGCTATTTGGAACCGATTATTTATTTAAATATTTTTTTTCCTCTTATGTTCTACTTTAATTGGTACTTTTAAGTACATCAACATTAAGAAAAAAAAAGTTGCATTATTATCAATTATTCAACTGGCATCCTGTATCTTACTAAAATATGGCATTTTATTATTGAATATAGTCTAGTATTTCTTTTTTTTTTTTAGTTATGATAAAATATTTATGGTATTGTGCACTGGCAATATAATGTACTCTAATTATAATGTCTGTTAATCTTCAGTCGATCAGGGGCATTTTATAGAGCATCAACTGGGAGTACATATACACATAAGGGCTGGTGTAGGCGACCTGTTCTTAAAAGGGCATGGGTGCAAGAGAAACACTTTTGCTAGAATTTATAAGAACAAACAAAATTAACAAAAAAACAGATAAAACACTTATCCATACTTGCCAACATAGAAATAAAATAACGGAGATTTTACTAGCAACATTTTTTAGGCTATGAGTAAAGTTTTGATACATCATGCATAATTATGTAAATTAAAGAGAAATTGAAAATAATTTAGGTACTTATATTTACCCAAGTAACAATTATGTATAAATCTAAAGAGGATTTTTTTAAACCATTATTTATAATTACTTAAACTATAATAAAACTCAACATACAACAGTACTGGCAATATCACCATCTGATGAGGAAAAAGATATGTATTTTAATGGTGAACATTTTTTGTAAATTTATTCGACATATACGTAGAAATTTGAGAATATATGGGTAAACAAGAGATAGTCGTAATATAAGGAGTCTATGTTAAAAAACAGGAGACTTGGCAGTTATGCTTATCTAAGGTAAGAATTTCAGAAAATGATTTATATTTTTTCAGGACTCTTTAAATAGTTCTTATGTAAAAAAAATTTTAAAAAAGTAGTGAACAAATATTCAAGTGAATCTGAAAAATTATACAATCTTCATAAAACAGTTTTGGCACATGTTGATTTTTAACCCTAAAATAAATTTTTTTTTATTAGTGTAAAATTATGTATATGAACAGTCTTGGATATTTTTTTTCTTCTTATAATTATAATTTTCAATTATTATTATTATAACCTAAAAATATATGGTGGTCATAATTATTCCATTTCTTTATCAGTACAGGGAAATTATGACCATATTTCACGTTAACTCAAAATTAATGACTTTGCATGTTCTGCAGCAGAAAAATGCCTAGAACATACATATAAAAGAAGCCTCTCCCTTCTTAACATATAAATAGCCTGCGGGAAGGTAAAAAAAAAAGGAAACTGAGACAGCAAGAAGCTAAAACCATATCTAGCACACGGAAATCAAAAATCTAGCTTCAAATTAGTGGAAAAGTTAGTTCAGAAAATCAAGAAGTGGGTCAGCCAAACAAAAAAATATTTAAAAAAATTTACAAATAAATAATAACAAAAACTTGTAGAACTGGCTTAATCCATTTTCAGTTATTTTTGTGTCCTTGAGGTTATTAAATCAATGACTGACTGACATACAAGCTTTATGAGGTAATACGCTCAATTAACCTCAAAATAAGCAATCATCTATCATTGCACCAAACTATCACAATTCCAGAAATTGCTAACAGCTTTTACGAAAAATTTGAAGCAGAAGAATATAGTCTAACAAAGCCTGCTTTATTTGACTTTAGTTAAGTCAGGATTCTATCGAAAACTCTGCCCTATAAATAAATAAAGTTAAAAGTGAAGAAAAAAAATAATTTAAATGGGTCTGGCGAAATGTGAAAACAATTCTAGAATGTAAAGAATGTTCTCTCACAAGTGATTAAAGATACCCTAAATTTTCACATTCTGAAAATTTCAATGAGAGTAATTATGACTACCTCTTTAAGAGCATTATTGAGTAACATAATATGTTAATTATTTTCATTCATTTTTAAAGGGTCAAAGAATCACCTCAAAACAATAATTTTGAATTGCAAAAACAAGACAAAAATAGTCATAATTATGCCAACTAAAATTGAAATCGAATTAAACTAAAGCATTTTTAATATGAGTTATATATATATATTTAAGAAAAACAATAAGTTGCATTTATTGCGTATAAGCTGCAATATATATATACATATAAAAAGAAAATGTCTTAGAACAGACTGCAATATACATCAGCTTATTAACAGATAAGTATCGTAAAATCAGTATGTGGTTGCTAACTATTTGTAGAAAAACAGATTTACTTAAAAAAAAAAACAGATTCTAAACTTCTTAACGTATACTATGTGGCAATAATTCATAATTATAATGTTAAACAACAATTAATCATGCAAATATAATTTCAAAAAAATATACTCAATATTATTTTCGCAATGAGACAATAATATCTTCTAAATGAGTCACAAAATCGAAACATATATTTCCACACCAAAGTTGTGTCAGAATTATATACTAAAGATATAAACAATGTCTTTTTCTCTGACATAGAATACCGTACACCGCATTTTTAAATAAAAATTTTATACAGTTAATGAATGACATTTAAAGAAGCAATATGTTATAGTTCGCTTTCTAAAATGAAGAAGCTTGGTTTTTTTATGTTTGTTTATATTAGGTTTGCAGTCGCTCATTTGTTCGCTTAAGGCTACTCATTTCTGTTCAACTCAACAACAACAGCATCGCTGTGGGTTGTTTTAATTTTTTTACATTTAGCGATTCGCGAAAGCAACGACCTCTACTATAAGGGGCGAATGACTGCCATCTTTATTGTGGCTCATTAAATTAAAAAATGAAAATTGTTTGATATTCTTTCTTGCTCAAGCAAAAACAAAATGGAATCACTTTTTTTTTGGAGATGGAACATCCCAAACACATCGGAAAAATTTTTGTGAATAACCAGAAAAAAAATATGTATCTTTTCAAATTCGAGTTAAAATCTAATGCATGTGAAATCACTCTACTAAATTTAATGATTCAATATGAAAGGTCTATTTAAACTTTACATTCCAATTCCATGCTTTTCTGAATCATATTACTTCAAACATTAAAATATGCAAAATTAATTACATTACTTTTAAAATTAATTACATTAATTTTTATAGAAAAATTTAAAGTTTCAATAAAAAATCATGATTTGTAAACTAAAATAAAGAATAATTACGATTAAAAAAATATGAAAATTTATTTCATTTTAAAGAAAGATTTTCTTTTTTATAGTCTTTGTAGAAAATCATTCCGATGTAGAAAATCATTAATCCGATGTAGAAAATCATTCGGTAGAGAATTATCAAATTTAACAAAAACTACTTACAAGTAAATTTTTTATTGTTATGANTATCAAGCATTTTTCTTTTTTAAATTTAATTAGCCACAATAAAGAAGGAACGTTGCAATGCTACGTGCTACATTAACGATGTCTCTAGAGTAACTGAATGACTGTTCATTTAGAAATCGCAGGTATTAGTCTCATACAACAACGCCCCCTATAGTTCGTTGCGATCGCGAATTATGTAAAGAAGAATATTCTATAACTATTATTTATACACGTTTTGAAATCACATTTATTTATTGGAATGAAGTAAGAAATGTGGCATGAAATAACTTTCCTATAGTTTATAATGATTTGAAGACAAAATATATGTATTTTACCTTAATACACACATCTTTAACAGTATGCGATCACGAAATCGGAAGTTATTGGTTGCAAGTTTGTTGATATTGGATTGGAAATGGAAAAATTTTTGAGTCATTGTTCTTTAAATGTTGGAAGCACTCTGTTTCCAAATGATTTACCAATGTTCTGGATCGTCTTTTAAATTCTTCTGCGTTTTCCTTAGGGAAATTTTGTTTCTTATTTGTTGCTAAAAAAAGGCGTTCTTCTCTACCAATAATTCTGATAGAACTAAATGAAAACTTAGTAAATAAAACCCTGAAAAGAAAGTCCAAGCTAAAGTGCGTATCCAAGGATGCATGGCGATCGCGAATACACAGACGTACAATGTTATGTCCTTTAATTTAGCAAAAAAAAAGTTTTTTTATTATTTTTGTAAATGAATTAAAAGTTTAAATATGCGAAAGTTAAAAATTAATGTCAATAAAAAATCAAAACTAAAAAACGTAAAATAAAGAATGCTTACGATTAAAAAACGATTTGCAGTAAAANAAAAAAAAAAAAAAAAAAAACGATCTTAAAATTTTATTATATTGATGTAAAAAAATTTCTTTTTCTTTTTTTTTGAAGTCTTAAAATTCTTTATCAGACTTAGATAGTCATTCTATAGAGAACTATCATCAAATTAAAAAAAAAAGAATTATTAACAAGTAAATTTTTTATGATAAAAATCATAACTCTTACCTGCCCAATAAATCGGGAGAATTCCAAAATGAAATGTTCATATATCTTCCTTGCTTAAATATTAATTTGCGGTCTTTTACGTCCATACTTCTTTACTATATTTTTTTGTAAGGACTCTAAAAACCCATTTAATTTTATGGAATCATTCTGTATAGATTATTTTTCAAACATTTCATTCTATTAAAAAAAATAATTAAGTTTTATTTGATATTTCTTTTCAGTAACACAGTGGTTTATTATTCTAATGAGGCCTTGAGAAATTTTTACCACTTTGAGAAATACTGTTCATATTAATAACACGCAAAAAAAAAAAAATACGTAAATAAAAATTCAGCGGTGCGAACGAGACCTGTTTGGCAAGTTTTTCGCGAGTAATTGCATTTTATCAACCAGGTTCTTATTGGTATCTCTGAAATTGCATGCGTTAATCTTTTGCACATACTGCCAACTGTCCCCTATGGTGCTTAATAACTGACTAGAGAAGAGCAGTGAGAGGTGCACAGATTTTTAAAGGACTTAACCGAAGGATCAATTAATGATTAATCAAAGACTCAATCAAAAACTAATTATACAGAAATGGTATATGTTTATGGAAAGAAATGTTTATCACATTAAGTTGTGTACGGTTAAAAAAAAATTTTTGCGAGGCAATTGCGAAATTCATGAGGAACTTCGAAGCAAGCGCCCTGTTTTGATTGTAACAAAATTAGCTGAAAAGCAGGAGGAAGATTTTATTTGAGTTTATCGAAGTGTGACAGTAGACTGCACCAAAAATTCTGCGCATGTTGGTTCTTCCAGCAACTGACCATGAAACACAAGAACAATCTAATGGGCCTATCCTTGCAACATTACTTACTTACTAAATAGTTGATACCCATACTTGGTTATTGAACAGCTTGGTGACGTTCTGGCCATTGTAGTTGGGCTTTTTTGTAGAAATTATTGGTATAGCTCCGATTGTGGTTCAGGGCAGTTAATGCTTGTAGGAGTTCAGCCATCATAATTTGTTCTGGCAACATTTGCTTCAGAATCTACTGCAGATGGGGACACATATAATTAGAATTATCACTAGTGATAAATCTTGGGTGCATATCTGCTCCAACTTGATACTAAATTTGCCTCAATACAATGGAAGCATCATTTTTTACCTTTCAGCACAAAACTTAACGTTACACTCTCAACTATCTAGTTAAGGTAATACTTGCAGTGTCTTGGCTTTGCCAAGATGCGATACTAACAGCTTTCCAGCTTAATACAAAATTTGACGCTCGCAAGACAACTTTTTTTAAAAGATCAGATAAAAAATCAATCTTTAAATTAACAAATTTAAATTATAGACATTAGGTTAATTGAAGTGTTAGAGTTTATGTCGAGAAAATATAATATTTACGTTGAAGTTAAGAGTTTAAAAAAATAAACTTAAGCAATAAATGTTGTGAGAGACCATATTGTATCTACATCTTCTCTTGAAACAAAATCTATTTCTCCAGAAGAAGCAAAATTAGAAACAATTTTTTTTTTTTAGAAATTAAGTTTTTTTTTTACATAGTATACATATTTAAAACAATACACACTATACCTACTAATAGGTGTAAGGGGCCGTTCAAAAAATACGTACATCCCGAAGGGGGGAGAGGGGGTTTGCTTTTTTGTACGATGGGGAGGTATTATACAAAGTACGTACATTATAAGCATACACAATCTAAATTTGACTTTTTCCTACACACTTCTTAAATAAATATTTAATTTTATTTAAAACGTAATTATTTCAATTTTTATGAAAAAGGGGGGGTAGACTAATAAAATGTACGTACTCTAGGGGGGGGATTAAGACCTTATGTACGGTAATGTACGAAGGGGGGGAGGGGTTTAAAATTTCTCTATTTTTGTGTACGTACTTTTTGAACGGCCCCTAAGAATGTTGTTGCAGCTCATTTACGTCTCACTAGAGCTGCACAATGGGCTATTGGCAATGGTCTAGGAAACATTTCTGAAGATGATAGGAAGACATGCCATCATAATTTTGATCCTTTGGAGAGGGGATGGCACCCCCGCTTCGATAGCCGGACGATCTGCAAGCGAAGTCGAGCATTTTACGCAGGGCCGGATTTAAGCTTGATGGGGCCCTTATAAGTTCAATTCCATTTCTATACATCCAAAGTAAACTGTCACTATTTTTTATTGTTGAGTATTAACATTATATTATTAAAAAATTTAATAATATTACTTCGTTGTTAAATATATTAATTGTGATGAGACTATTATGTAGAACCTTTCTTTCATTGCACATATTTTTTGAACGAGGGGAAGAAGTTACAAAAGAAACACATTTTAAGCACAGAGTAAAAATTTGGCTTGCTGGGCCACTATATATTTAGTTTTATTATATATTAGCTTTTTTTTAGATTCATTTTGAATACATTTTATTTGCAATTTTTAATGATTTTTTTCTCAATTGTTTTTACAAAATCTACAAGATTTAGAAACATGAAATTTTGAATGTGCGTAGAAAATATGCAAAGAGTTAGAAAGAAAACAAGAAAATACAATTTGATTATAAGTTTTATTTTTTTTATAACCGCCGTTGAACAATCGACTCAATTTTGAGTTTCCGCCCTATCAACCAAGCTATCCCGGCCAAATTTATTAAGTTTATTTTATAACAGTCATTGCACAGCCGACCCAATTTCGAGTTTGCGACTACTAATATTTAACTCCGTGGCCATGTCATTTTGAACCCAATCCAGAAGACAAGGGAACTGTTAGATTAGTACCCAGAGGTATTTATTTGTTATGAGAACTTGGAGGACTTTGTGACCCCTACAGATTTAACATGCACCAGTCACCATTTTATACATGGGTATTCTTCTGCCCACTGGATTCAAACTCTCACGAGCACGAGTCCAACGCCCTATGAACCAGGCTATCCCGGCCAAATTTATTAGTTTATTTTATAACAGTCATTGCATAGCCGACCCAATTTCGAGTTTACGACTACTAATATTAAACTCCATGGCCTTGTCATTTTGAACCCAATTCAGCAGTCCCTGGAGCAGGTGAGGGCCGTTATATTAATACTGTTTGTAAAAATAAAAAGAACATTTCGTAAGCTGATATTATTTAATTGATGTTTATATTGAAAATATTTCTTCATTATTTTTGCTTTCTTTTCAATTATTTAAAGTACATTCGTTAAATCTTAGTGCAAGAAAAAAATTGTCATTATTTATGTAAATTTTTGGCTTATATTTTTAAGGATTCATTAAAGGGTCTATTAAATATCAGAGAGAATAAATGTCATACGGGTTTAAAGTATCAGCTCTGCTCTTGATGGTGTATAGTGGCTAGGATGTGAAAGAGCAACAGTCCCAAGAACACACTAAAGCTTTACATCAATTTGCAATTAGTTTTTGATTATTACAATTGCAGAATAATTATCTTATTATAGAATGAAATGTTTAAAACACAAATATCTGTTAATGTTTAACATTTAATCAACGAAAAAACAGAACCAATATTGAAATCTAACGAATTTATTATTTTTAATTACTGATAAAGTTTGTGACAGAAAAAAAAATTAAAGCCTGATAGATTTCAGAATTTTAGAAACACCTTCTAGTTATACTATTCAATCCAATAGGTTTCGATGTCTTTCATCCCGGTCTCATTAGTGATTCGGCATATTTCGATATCATTTTTGTTTCGTTCTTACTTAATATTAATTTGTTTGCGACAGTTAATTTGTATACCTCTTATACTACATTTTCGAGGAGTTTAAAAATATAATATTAAGGATTTTAACTGAAATGAAATTTGCTTTTTTTGTATGACTCTTTTCTTACGTCATCATCACACCCACACGCAACTGTCTACTCTAAATAATGCTATATAGAATGAGATAGCAAAACAAACGTATGTAGTTATTTAAATTCTTATTTAAAAGTATTATTTTATTTTTTTTTGAACTGACAATTTCTGTCCTTTTTTAGATATTTTAAATTGCTATTTAAAACTGCTGCATATCACACGAAAGCATTAAATATATTATTTGTACAATTTTAAAGTAAAATAAAAGGGAATTCTGATCCTTAGAAACAGATAGTAAATAGTCTGATGATCGAATGATGGAGCACAAAAAAAAAAAATCTTTTTCACCTTTTAAACTAAAAAAAATAATTTTTTTAAATAATTTATTAATACTCAAATTGCTTGAAAGATGATATGTTCCCTACTAAAGACAACGAAGTTTTTTGTTTTATTCAGCCATTCATTTATATTTATTATGTCCGACAATGTAAAAAAGAAAAAAGTGCATTTTGGGCTTCTGACGGCCCCAGCTCCGATTAAAACTTTCAAAAAAGAGGGGGGAAAGTAGGATCAGGAGTCCTTGTCATCTCGGGGCCCCAAGCTACAGCTTATTTAGCTTATACGTAAATCTGGCCTTGATTTCACAGTAGAACAGTTTAACGAGGACCGATACCGCACATCCTCGGTCCCTATGCAGACTGAGCCAAGCGGTCATCCACACGCACACTGACCGCAGAAAGTGATGCTTGACTTTGGTAATCTGCTGGGAACCGTATCTTAATGATCAATCAACTGCAGGACAGGTGTAAAAATAAAAACGAAAAAGTTGGTAAAAAAAAGATAACAATTTTAATAATTTTTTTTCAATGAAATTTTACATACAAATTTTTGCAATATAATGTTACAATTGAAAATTTAATAGAAATAGATTTTATGTTTGTTTGTTGCTTATGTTAAGTTTTGTTACATAAATATTTGAATAATTAAATTAGGAAAAAAACAACCTATAAACCCAAATTAAGCAAAAACCAATCATGGATACATCAATCCTTCTGATTTTAAACAATATGCTACTAAAAAGATAATGAAATTAAACTGTGATAGCACTCTAGTTGACTAACTTTGATTCTACGCCAATAAACAAAATGTTAGAAATTTATTAAAAAGGTAGGTAGTTCTTTTTTGGTTGGTAGCTCACAGAAGGACTTAAAAATGGTAAGGAAGCTCAGGATCTTTGTAAGTTTGGTGACCACTGGTCCATATGATGACACTTAATTCTTTTATAGAGTTATGAAATAAAAAAAATAAAGCATCTTAAACTTTTATAACAACTTGCCCCTAACAAAATTAGCAGCCTAAAACATGTAAACTTAAAATAATAGAAGAAACTTGCTTCCTATAAAGAATTAACAGGAATTTTGTGTTTTCATGAAAAAACTTAATGCATAATCCACGAAAGCATGGTGTTAAACATGAAAACTTAAATTAACAAAAGAAACTAGTCTCAAATATAGATAAAAAATGAATTTATATATTTAAAAAAAAACTTAGTTATGAAACTTCCATTAAATGAAGCATTCCAAAAAGATATTACATGCTTGCCAATGTATTCAATTTGAAATAAAATACACGAAATTTTAATAGGTGTTAATATTACTTTTTATTTTCAAATGCAATGGCATGTTTCCTTAAAAAAATGAATTTGAACAATTTTATTCTAAGAACATTCTTATTTAGAGAGATACCCATATCTGTTCAGTCTCATTTTCGGAAGAGCTGCTCACGTCCTGCATGTAATTAATAGTTTCACTACTCCTAATAGTTACAGAACTATCTTCAAACGTTAAACTAGTTTTGGGGTTATGATAATTGTGAAAATTATTTTCTTCACTTTCTTTTAAATTTTTTGTACTGTTTATATTATAATCAAGACTAGAACTTGTATGTTCACAATTTTCTATATCATCTTTCATTTTGGTAGGTATAGTTTCCATATTTGTGTCATTTTCAAACACTTTTTTATGCTTCATAAGTTTGGGTTTCTTCCTTTTAGGCCCAGTTGAATTATCGGACAAAGAACCAAAATTTTTCAAATCAGCTAATTTTCTTATAGCTTTGTGATTGTGCAGCGGCTTATCAGTAGAATGACTTACCGATTTTTTTGTAATGTGTTTACAAACTGAGCTATTAAGTTCACAAGATAATTCTGAAATGTGCTTTGTACATTCAGAAGAATCTGTATTATCAGGGAACACACATTCTAGATTTGAACGAGATTCAGGGTCAATCACATTATTAACTGGGGTTCTTTTTTCATAACGACTTATATTACTGTCCAAATTCAAAAGATTGTCAGTCGATTTGGAACCTATTGCACTTTTATCAAAAGATTTCTTTTCTACACCAGCAATATTAACATCCTGACTGCATGGTTCAGAATCAATTGCATTTCTATTAAAAGCTTTCTTTTCATTAGGAACAAGACTAGTATCTTGTATTGCTGATACCTCAATCAATTCAAAATCAAATGAATTTTTACAGGCATCTTTCTCTTCCTCATTAACCATATCAGAATCTTGATTCAAAAGTTCATTGGTCAGTTTAGATGCAACTGCATTTGTATAACAAGCTTTCTTTTTGTCAAAAACAATATTAGCATCTTGCACTAATTCAGAGTCCATTGCAATTTCACCAAAATCTTTCTCTTCTATACTAACAATATTAGTACCTTGATTGGATGAATCATCAACTGATTTAGAGCCAATTGCACTTTTATTGAGAGCTTTCTCTTCATCAGGAACTGATTCTTCAACAAATTCAGAATCAAATGTATTGTTATTTATAGCTTCCTCTTCATCACAAACAATATTAACATCCTGATCCCATGACACATCAATCAATTCAGAGCCATGTGCATTTATATCAGGATCTTTTACTGCATCAACACGAATTGAACTTTGAACTGATGATTCATAATCAGGATAACTGACTGCACTTTTATCAGGAACTTTATTTACATCACAAATAATACTTTTACTGTCACTTAATATTTCATCATCACAATAATAAAATGAGTTATTAAATAAACCAGTTATTTGACTGCTATTTTTGCCTTTTAAAGAAACTGAACTGTCTGTCAACATACTTTGTAAGTATGTGAAAGATTCAGAATAAACAGACTTTTCAGCAGGAAATTTCTCTTTATCAACTGCAATGTTTGTCATAAGTAATTTTTTATTTTTGCTTATTTCACACATTTCAATTTGGGGACCAAAACGTACAGATTTTCGTTTAATTTTCTTGCGAACAAATATATCTTCAGCTAACACCCCTGAGTCAAGAGAGTATTTGATTGAATCTTTAGAATTAGCTTCATTGTTTTGTTCCTCCTTGATAATATCAGTTGAACATAGTTCATCAACAGAGCTAGAAAGATAAATTTTCAATTAAATTTCATAGTTTGCAGTTTTAAATTTAAAAAAAAGGAAGGTTATAGTTATAATTAATGGAAATAAAATGAATTTAAATACTTCATTTTAAAACAGAGTATTAACATGTCAGAGAAAGGTACAAGAATTATAATTACCCTCAATCCTTATACATGCACACTCCTTCATACAAGCAAAATTGGACAGTTGGTAGTTGTAATATTGTGAGTATATGAAAATTTAATTAAATTCACTCATTTATTAAACAAATTTTTTCATAACTAATAAATCTTGTACTAATTTTTTCAATGTCATGGTTCACATAATTTAGAGCAAGAATAAAAACCACAACTAGTTCTAACTTTTATTTGAACCATAACATAAATTAATCAATACCTAAAAAATTAAAAAGCCCATGAATTCCCGGTCAGAAAAATTTATCTGCATAGGAAAAACAAGAATATGAAGAAAAAAAATTGCAGCACATATTTGTTTATACTAAGTATAGTGTATAAGTTGACTTTTCGAACTCCCAAAACTTTATGAAAAATAAGGAGTTGTCAGATACACCAGTAACGAAGTCGAAATTTATTGATTGTGAACATTATTAATAATGAAATAGAAATGCATAAATCTGTATAACTTTATCTTTACAAATTACTCCATTCAACAATTATTATTAATATGTTACTTACAAGTAATTTATTAATTTTTTCTCATTATATTTTTGTTCTGCATATAAAGGTTTTTTTAAAGAAAAAATACTTCAAATTATGTTAAAAGAAATTAAAAATAAAAAAAGTTAAGAAAATTTATTCAAGAGTTTTTAAAAAATATACGAAAACTTTTAGAACCTATTATAAAGCTACAAATTTAAAGATTCAACAACGTTAGCAGTGTTATCACTTGCTTCCCATTCTGAAATGAATTCGATTTCATCCTCATCTGTTGAGACCCAAAGAAAATCATCTCCAAACACAGAATTCTAAATTCCACATTTTAAAAAAATTTTGCAAAAACATTTGAATGAAATTTTTTTTTTATGCAACTAATATCATTTGACAAATGACATCTATAGAAATAATAATCGAAATGTTGACAGCGACGTATACACAGAGATATACAATTTTTATATTAATAACATATCAAGGTAGGCAGATTACATTGCTAAAGCAAAATACCTAATAATGAAACAATTGTGCTTTTGCCTTTTTAGAAAAACGGAACCATCTCAATAGAAATTTACAAATGGGGGACAACAACACAAATAGAAATTTGTCTATTTTTATTACTAATATATATTATTGGCATATACCTTTCTGTAATATTTTCCACAGGTGGAGCATCTGGCTTTTTCAAATTATTCCTTAAGTCATCACATAATCTTCTGCATTTCAGATAGAATTTGTCATGAAACTTAACAATTCTTTCAGCATAAAATGAATACAGCTCTCCAATTCCATTGATTCCTTCACTTTGCAGGGCTGCTTCTAATAAGTCCTATAAATCATAAGCCAAATGCACAATATATTAATAACACAAACAAATTTTTTGCTGCATTTATACAAATACATATTGTTGGAGCTGTGATAGCTCAGTGGATAGAGCGCTGTTCTTCCAATAAGGTGTACTGGGTTCGAATCCCAGTAGATACGAATTTCGCACCCAGCTTGCACCGACCACAGTGCTGTTGTGAAATATCCTCAGTGGTAGACAGATCGAGGGTTAGAGTCCCCTTGCCATCAGGCTAACCGTGGAAGGTTCTCATGGTTTTCCTCTCTATGTAACGCAAATGCGGGTTAGTTCCATCAGAAAGTCCTTCACAAAGGCAAATTTCCCCCAATACTTGATCCAGGAGTTTCCTTGTCTTCTGGGTTGGGGTCAAAATTACAAGGCTACGAACATTAGTAGTCGTAAATCCAAAAACTGGGTTGGCTGTTCCACGACAGTTATAAAATAAAATAAAAAATACATATTGTTCGGGACGCGATAGCCTGGTTGGTACCGCACTGGGCCCATGCCCAAGAAGTCCAGGATTTGATCCCCGCCGGCCGAAGACTCTCCGTGTAGTAAATTGTGACTGATGCATGTTAAATCTGTCGAGTCACAAAGTTTCCCATGACAAATCATACCTCTGGGGGTACTGATCCAGGAGTTCCCTTGTCTTCTAGGTTTGTTCAAAATTACAAGGCTACGGAGTTGAACATTAGTAGTCGCAAACCCAAGATTTGATCGACTGTTCAACTTCTGTTATAAAATAATAAAATATATATTGTTGCCTAATTTAGGTGTAATGATTTCAAATCTGCAATCAGTTTCGCTCCCTAAGGTACAATTTTTCAACTACATTTTTAGTCTATTTTTGTTATTGAAATGTACAAGTTAAAAAACGTTATATATCAGGGGTCTGTCCAGCATAAATTTACTACCGTTTAGCGGCACCTTCACAGAGTCAACTTTAGGAAAAACGGTAGTTTCACAAAATACTTTTAGAAGAGCCAGTTCTCATGCAAACCTCATTCTTGTTGCAATCTATGAGAAAGAAAAGAGTTTTTCTGCCAGGTGTCTTTTTACATAAAGGTGGCAAACGTTTGGTCAGATAGTGTAATATGGTAGGCCTAACTGATCACTTACACTATATCAAAGCAAGCTTTTTTTCGTGAGTTTTTTAAAATGAAATGACGAGGCTCTCACCCTACAGGGTGCATAGTCAAATTATTCAACAAAAAATAAGTACTTTTCAAGCACTCAAATAATATTTTCAAGCACTTTAAAAATATATCATAATTAGGCAGAGTGGAAAAGTTTTTGACAATTGACGTTTTTATCAAGTTTTTACTAACATGTCAACGAAAAAAAAAAAAAACCTTTTGGAATTGTTTTTGACAAAATTTTTGAATCAAGTAAATCAAATGGCGTTTTCATACGCTATATTGGGTTGAAATAATTGCGAAAACGTTGAATAGAGCAATGTCAACTGGGTCTTTCTGCATAATTCGTAGCAAAAATCAACACGGTAAAGGAAAAATCTCAATTTGGAAAAGGGAAAATGAAGCACTCTTTAAAAACACCCAATGAAAAAAGCACCTTTTAGGGCTTTTAAAAAATGAAAATCAAAAATAAGCACCTTTAATCACTTTTTAAAAACGCTATTCACCCTGCTCTATAAATTTCACAGGAAGTTAAAATTCAAACATTTGAACATTATAAACACTATTGTAAATTTATTCAAATAGGCCTTTATTTTTTAGAAAACATATTTTCTGTATGACCCAGTCAAAAATGTTCTCATAATCAAAATAACTTTTAGCACTAGTTCTGATAGAAATGATTTTTAAATTTGGATACAATTTTAAGCCCAAAATTTTGCAAAAGCAAAACTTTTTTTGAATACATGGGGAAAAATATATAGAAATTTACCAGCCATAAATGATTTTGATTTGTAGCGACAATTTTTGGAAAATATTTTCTTACTTTACCATATTTTTGTGTTGATTTTTTAATATAATTTTCAATTTTCACAAATTATGTCTAAATTTTTACAAAATAGGTACTTTAATTTTCACAAATTAAATCTACATTTTAACAAAATAGGTACTTAAATTTTCACAAATTATGCCTAAATTTTCACAAAACAGGTACCTCCTAAAAAACCTAGACAAACCCCTGTATATAATAGGGGGTCACATAAATGTTGCGACTAACTTCTAGGGGAGTTGGGACACATTATCAAGATAATAATTGCATAGAAACCCTTACCTGGAAATGTGGTTGCACATGGTTAAGGGCAATTCTCTGTTATGATCTGTTCAGAAGAAAATGGCGAAACAGTACCTAACAGAAAATTGTACCAAGCCATGTATGACAACATTTCTAGGCTATTGATCATAATAAAGAAAACAATTTTATTTTTTAAGAGATAAGTTTGAAATAATTATAAAAATAATTTAAAATATGTCATTTAGTAATATTAAGCATTTTAGATATAATATTGTTTTGAAATAATATTAAGTATTAATATAGTTTATCAAAACTCTTCGATTGGTATAGGTAGAAAAATAATCTGATTTAAATAAATATTTTTTTTTAAATCACAATTGTTGCTAACCCTGTTTGCCTTACATGAGAAAAAAAGTTTCTTTAGATACTACAGTTATTATGTTAACAAGAATAATTTTTCAATTTTAATAATAGCATATATAAATACTTTGAAAATAAATATGCTAAGTTGAATAAGCATAGAAAAGTGCTACATCACATTTATTTATATTTTAAAATAAAACTCACCAAAGAAATAGAACCATTTATTGGTAATAGTTGTACCATTTTCTCAATCAAAGATTTCACATAATCTATGATAACTTTACTTAGCATTTGCAACAAATGAGAAGACATATCTAAATGTAAAATCATCTTTAGTGGAATAATCAATATTTTAGAGAAAAACACCATAATAAAGAGTAAAAATTTTGCATAGTATTTATGATTAGAAAGATTATCTGATAAGTAGGAATCACAAAACTATAATAAATTAAAATATATATATTTATTAGAGTTTTTTTCTTTCTTTTTTTAAAACATAAGTTACAAATTCTAAAAATGTAACAATAGGGCTATAATTATTAGTTAAAGTTAATTATTTCTTTATTTTCTTTAGAATAAATTACAAATTATAATTAATTAAATATGATGACGAAAGACAAAAAAGTCTAGTACGTTTTACAGACATTTTCAACATTAAAACAAAATATTTGGTTAAAAAAAATTATTAATAATAACGAAAACTCTAAAGCATGGTATTTCTAATTTAGTTAATGAAAAAATTCCTAGCAAAATGAAAACTTTTTTCAAAATGAATGTTCATTAAGGAAAAATATTAATTTAATTACCTGTATAACCAAGAATAAACAAAACACAAGCTATACTTTTTGATACAAGCTTCATTATACTTTCATCTGATAGTTCCATTTCCTCAAGAGACAAATTTTTTCTAAATAATATAATAAAAAAATGCATAATTACTATTAATCTTTTAGCGATGTTAAATGATTTAAATAAAAAAAATTACACATAGATAATAATAAATTGTTTAAAATTGCATTACATAATGTTAACTAATTATTAGACATAAAACAAAAATAATAATAAAATAGGAATTGAAAGATTATACAAATAATAATCAATAAAAAATTATTAATAATGCTTTATAGAAGTTGAAAGATTTGAATAAAATAGTAACTTATTTAAAATTACATGTAATAATGTTAAGTTTCTGACACTAAACAAATTATAAACAATTAAAAACACATATACTGTGAACGATACATGTTAATTTTTTTTTTTTTTAAATAAATAAATGAAATTGAATAAGAAAAAAAAATAGCATGAGTTGCTTCCAAATCTAATGAAAAATTAAGAAATTGAAATATATAAATTTAACACCTGATTGATTAGCTTTACAAAAGTGTTTTATTTAATTTTTTGGTTCAAATGCATTCAATATTTCATCTGTACTTTAACTTAAAAAAAAAAAAAAAACTTGGCTTTACCATACTAGTACACAATGTTTTATACATTAAACTGCATTTCCCAGTCACTACATTCATCAGTTTTTATCTAGACTTCGAGTTTGATTAAAGAAACATAAACCTATTTTGTAATAACTGATGTACTGAAAGACCTTTAATAATTTTACAACTTACACTATTGAATTTAATTGCCTCTCTTAATTTCTGGAATTATTTCTTGCATCCTAAATTAATCTTACTTTAATTCTGAAAAAAATTTAAGAATTTTCCACTAAAAGAGAACATTTTAATACATTTAGACATTGTATCAAACTTAAGACTTTATCTTCCTTTCTGAATCCGGAAACCTCTTAAATATGGAATATTTGTAAGTGTAAAAATAATTTTTAAAAAATTCACAATGGAATCTTACAGTTTTTCATCAGGAGTTTTCATTATCAGTTGTGGAATTTCAGGAATAGGTGGTAAGGACTGAAGAATGGGTTCTCTTTCAGAATCATCATATACCTACATTGTAAAAGAAAATATTCATAAAGAAATAACAGAGTATTTAAATTCAAAACAATAATATAATCCAGAAAAAATGTAATAGGTAGGTGAAAACTTCATTTTCATCACAGGTGAAAACTTCATTTTCATCACATTAGAGCTGCAGAATGGGCTATCGACAACAGAGATATCCTCCGATCATATTCAGGGATGATTCGAGGACACATTATCACAATTTTAACCATCTGTAGAAAGCATTGTCTTCCTCACTTTGGGAGTCTGACAACCTCTAGGCTAGGGGTGCACAACCTGCGGCCTGCGGGCCAAATGGGGCCCATCGACTAATGAAGTGCGGCCCGCGAGAGCTTCTAAACACAATAAAAAGAATTTTAAAAAATGGCAATTTTAAATCGGACTTTTAAGTCATCACGTTTTGACACAATCAATTTTAACAGATTCTTTAGTAAATGTATGTTTAACGCGCTTTCCTTAAGCCGATTTAATTGTAAATATAAATGATTTTTATTAAACAGTTATTTCCGCTTTTCTACGTGATTTCGAAAATCCTGAATTTTTATTATGACGCGAGTTTCAGATCGCAAATTTAAATAATCACTTTTCGTGCACTTTATTTGTGGCGATTTTATCTTAAACCTAAATGATTTTTTATCTTTTTTTGTGCAATTCTTTCTTTTTTTTCAACAATTTTTTTCGGCAGTTATTGCTATTTATTCCCACGTATTGTAAAAAATTCCAATTGCTCTGTTACGACATGCAAATTTCAAATCACGCACTTGACACGCTTTATTCATGCTGAGTTCAGCATAAATATATTTTTTCCCAATTATTTCTATACTTTTCTACACGATTTTGATGATCCCGTTATTTAACTATGATGTTATTACGACACGTTATTGTTAATCGCGCAATTAAATAATCACTTTTTGATACGGTATTTCGGTGCAGTTTTCAAATATTTCTTAGTAGGTCAAATATTTCTTTTCTTCAATGTTTATTTATTTTGATAAATCTATTGTTCATACAGTAAAAATAGCAAGTTTTTTTTTTGTAAAAAAAAAATATATATATAAGTTTTTTTATTTCTGAATGAATTCTAATAATGGAACACTACTAAGTTATTGATATTACTAAGTTTATTGATAAAAAAAATGGAACGCTAATATTTAAATAAACATTACTACATTTGTCATTAACATGTCTAAATACACGTGCAGCCCTTCGTTAGCCAACCTGCTGTGCAAGTGGCCCTTCACTCAAAAAGGTTTGCACCCCTACTCTAGGCGAATTTCAGCACTTTACGATTTAATGAACGATAATAGATAACGAGTTAATAAGGACTAATATGGTGTATCTTCTGTCACTACACAGGCTTATCAAAGTAATCACCCACCAACTTATTGACTGCAGCCAGTGATGCTTGATTACGTCTCTTTGTAATCAGTCTACTGCAGGACTAGAAATAATGATATAGAGAATTTTTTATTGCGTAAGCCAATGTGTGTCAGAAGATCAAACAAAAGTCAAAGTTTTATGACCTAATAAAGGCAAGTTTATACAGAGTAGTAAATCCATGAGCAGTATGATTAAATTTATTGAATGCTTACAAGTTAATTTTAGTTAAATGATTTTTATTTTTATGCTTAATTAAATAAATGCAATATTTATATTACATTTCTTTCTAAATAAACATTATGTGTCTATCAATCTAAACTACAGAATTCATTCAATCTAAACCTGTTCAATCCTCAAACAAAATTAGCAAAAAATAAATAATAATAAAAAAATTTACTTCTTTTAAATTAGCAGTCATAAGTATCAAATGCTCAATTTCATTATGGAATTTTCGTAATTTCATGCAGTGATCAAGAACAGGATCGCAACGAGATTCCAGGAATTTTCTGAAATAAAATATATTTATGCTTTAGTTACAAAAGTTCATTGAAGTAAAAATTTCGAAAATTAGAATTCCACAAAATATACCCATAATCAATATACCACACAAATTATAATTTAAAAGTATTTTAAATTGTAGTTTTAACAGATAATTATTATTTTTAAACACCGATAAATATTAGACTCCTGTATTCAAATCACAATATTACATTCATCTAAACTAAAAAAATTACATTTTCAGTTAAATTTATAACCAGGTATTGTATTTACTCATTTAATTATCTAAGGTTATTTAACTATTTCTCAATTCAACTATATAACTCCTTTTTAAAACTACTATTGTTATGATTTATTGCGTATTGTATTATTATGTATTGTATTGTCAACAAATTTTTAATAAGATAAATACTTTAATTTAGATAATTAATAAAATGGAGAAATAATTAATATTCATTAGCAAATAAGTTTAAAATAAAATTATTATAAAGTATAAAATTTGTCACCTGGGTCGAGCTTTGGGAATAAGCTTTAGTGCATCATCATAAGAGAAGGAATTCATCATTGAAGGAAAAAAATGTCCTTTTCCTAAAAATAATAACACTCAGTAAACATCTGAAACTATTTATAAAAAATTTTATTTTAAGAACAGTTAGTTACCTGAAGATATTCTCTCCAGTTTAATGCTACGTAACCATACAAGGTTACGTTGCATTAAACCGTTGCATTAAAATAATATCAATTTCACAATAAAAAATTTGAGTTCTAAAAAAAAATTGATGATGAATAATCATATTACCAAAAATATGCATGGTTGAGCAATACAGGGATGAGATTAGCCAAAAGGCAAAAAAGCTGAATTTCCACGATAGTAAATTTTACGCAAGCGCAACCCTTTAATAATAAATTCCAGACAGTTTAAGGTAATAAATAATGTGTTGACATACAATTGTGTACTAATCTATTATTATATAAATGATTACATTGATACTTAACATTTAGTGAAAATAAAAATTACCAATTGAAAAAATAAAGCTGGAAATTATATTTTTCCTCAGTTCACATAAGAGACAATTATTACTTGAAAAACTACCTGGTTTAGCAAATTAAAACTACTGAGAATATACATTAATATTTCATTTCTTTTAATAAATACTGTTATGTGATTTATAGCAAATATATCAGTAATATTACTTTTTAAATTATATTGGGAAAAAAAATTTTTAACAATGGACCAAATCATTATGTTCATGTTATAGTCTAATCTAACTACAGCCCTTTGAAACATATCAATAACAGTGAAGTAGAAATATATAGTAACTCCTTAACATACAAAAATTGCTATTTTAGTTTGAAAAATTACATGACAATCAGCAACTGTTTAGATAATTGTTTTTTATTTGATAAGAATTTTGCATTTTATAGCATAAATAACAGCAATTATAAATAAAATTTTGATGATGAGTTAATTAACTCTTTTTCCCCAAAAATTTTTTTTTAATTAAATACCTTTTTAAGTGATTGCTTTTGTTTGCTATATCTTTTATGTTTGCTATATTTAGTCGTTAGTCCATCTTCAAACATCTTGTGACAAATCCTATTTTTTCTTCTTTGCAAGCACAGAATGTAAGTTTTGAATATATTCCCTTCCAGTTTCTCTGATGTTGTAACACTTACATATACTAATAATCGTCGTTAGAAAAACAGTCACCTTTATAGTAACTAATTTTAAAAAAATTTACTTCTTACAAGAATCGCGATAGTTGATCTTAAAATTGCGTGAATATGAATAACAATTATGGATTTTGAAATCACATGAATATGAAACTAGATATACGATTTTGAAAATGAGAAAATACAAACTGGGATATAGAATTTTTAAAACGCGTAAATACAAATCACGATTCATAATTTTTAGATCGCGTAAATACGAATCATGATGCGTAATTTTTAGATTGCATAAATAAGAATTATGATGCATAATTTTTAGAATGCGTGAATGCGAATCCCAATGCCTTATTTTAAAATCACGTATAAATACGAAAATCAATGTTTGATATTATAAACCGCATGAGCAAATCAAGACATTGAATTTTAAACTTGCGTGAATACGAATCGCTACATAGGTTTTTAAAAAGGCGTAAATACGAATCACAATATCGGATTTTTAAATCTCGTAAATAAGAATCGCAACGTACAATATTCAAATCGCGTGAATAAGAATCGCAACACGCAAATATGAAAAGCTATGTTTGATATTAAAATCGTGTGAATAAGAATCGAGATATTAGCAGATTCCAGGCTTGGTACTTCTAAAAGGCTTGTCAGAAACAGCGTCGTTTGAACTACAATAATCTGATCTATCTGGAGGGCGGGTAAAAAATTCGGAAAATCTTATCTGCTGCGAGTAAAAGGGGAGAAAATAGCTAAAATAAGTAAAAATGAGAAGGGATTGGTATCTAGGTAGTTTGAATTTTCTGCTTCTCTTTGATAAAAAATGACCATTTATAGACATTTTTATTTCCAATAACAGTGTCAGATTACTTATATTCTTGTAGGTTGGCTTTTTAGCACGTAAATTGCTTTGTTAAATTTTATTTTAAAGTTCTTTCATTTTTTAATTATAATTTTAATAAAGATTGATGTTTCATTCTAATGCTCTTTACTTTTCCTTACTGCATTAGAAAATATTTTAACAAATAATTATAACCAATAAATAACATGGCTAAATATTGATACCATTAATAAAAAAAAATGTTAAAATTAAATTTTTTTACAAAATATAAACAATGATTGAGTCAATCAGTATTGGTTTTCTTTTTAACGTTATCATAAGTCCAAGATTTTTCCAAACTCTTAGCTGCAACCTTTCCTACTTCAAAAAATCCCAGTTATCCTTTATTTACTAAATGGGAAACTAGTGCGAAGCAGGGTCGTTTCTAAATGATTTTGCTCAGAAGCTCAATGCTGGGAAAATAAACTTGCACCTTGCAAATACCAAATTTATTTTAGATTCTTTCAATCATATGTTTAGATTTAATGCAGTTTTAGCAACCTTTTTGATGAAGTAATATCAAGTGTTTGCAACGAATGTTAAAAAAATATACACTAAATGAGAAAACTTCGATCCATAACCTGGGTGCATAGTCAAATTATTCAACAAAAAATAAGCACCTTTAAAGCACTTTTCGAGCACTCAAGAAATATTTTTAAGCACTTTAAAAAAATATCATAATTAAGCAGGGTTGGAAAGTTTTTGACAAATGACTGTTTTATCTTGTTTTAAGCGTCATATAAAATAAAAAAAATCTTTTGGTATTGTTTTTGACAATCGTCAGAAATCATGAAATTTTGAATTATGTAAAATGAATGGCATTTTCATAAGCTACGGACTGACAATACGCGAAATAGATTGGGGTTGAAGGAATAGTAAAAACGCTGAATAGAAGACTGTGAACTATGTCTTTTTGCATAATTCGTAGCGAAAATCAACATGGTCAAGGGAAAATTAAGCACTTTTTAAAAACACAAAATGAAAAAAGCACCTTTAAAGACTTTTAAAAAACGAAAATCAAAAATAAGCACCTTAAAGCACTTTTTAAAAACGCTACACACCCTGATAACCTAATAATTCATATTTTGGAATATTTCTCTATTGGTACTTAAAAATGATCACTAGACGTTGATGACAATGAAAGTGGCATTCATGAACTTATAGAATATTTTAAAAAATTAAAGAATTGGACGAACTCAAGAAGTCAAACACCTGGGGTCATATTTGAGCAAACTATAACATGCATTATTTCAAGTTCAAGAACTGGTAATTGACACTTGGCAAATTCTGTTCCATTGACTTTAAGTATTGATATGGAAATATCTCTACTTTTTCTAATGAATAATTTGTACTTATTTTTTTAAATTAAAAAATATTGTGGATTATTACAATATTTCTAAATTATTACCTTAAGAGAATCAATAAAGCACAATGCAAAGTGATTAAAATCCCACAAATCTAGTTTCAAACAAAGGCTTATTATGAATTTCATATATTTTTTAACAAACAAGAAATATATCAATCAAAAATGGTATAACAGTTCATTGAATTATGACATATATGGTGATTAGTAATCAATTAGTAATCAAAATGGTGATCAGTAATCATTTTTCAATTTTTTGCCACAGAACATTTTATACAAATCAGATGTTATCACTAAATTATTGACTAATTTTGGAAAGTAAATTAGTTAAACTTAAATTAATCACTTTAAAAAAATGAAAACAACGAAAATGTGTTAATAGCAACAACTAGCATTAATAAACTTAAGATTTGCAAACAAATATTCCAAGCCCAATCTTTCACTTTAAGAATAAGGCACATTAGGTGAAATGAATAAGGACTCAACTAAATTAGGACTACTTACGAATTAAATAAAATAAATCAAGTTTTTACAATCATCAATTAATAAAAATATGTTCTTATCTCAGACTAAAAACAGTTTGAAGCAACAAAATTGATCAATAACAACACCGCCAGACATTTTAAAACGAAACCGCTACACATGTTATTTTTGCTGCACGTTTCCCGTTGTCTATTTCAGCTTAACAACTTGCAGAAAACAATAGGAACTAAGGAAAAAAATAATATTTTTATTTGTTGGCAACAAAAAGAAAGTTTGTGGTTACCATTATTTTATTTTTTTCGCTTTATGGGCTAGCTTTCGCGATCGCAACGCTTGAGTACGCCGTCTAGCGGGAGCCTGTAAATATCAGACATTAATTTATCACGCTTTCATTTAGTTCCATCGAAATCATTGAAAGAATTAGACGCCATTTTTTAGCAGTAAATAAGAAACAAAATTTCCCTAAGGAAAAGGCCGAAGAACTTGAAAAAAATCTCCAGAATATTAGTAAATCTTTCAGGAACAGAACACGCCAAACATTTGAAGAAAAATTCCTCAATAATTTTTAATTTCTATTATCAACAAACTTGCAACTCCTTCTAGTTATACTATTACAATCAAATAGATTTCGATGTCTTTCATCCCGGTCTCATTAGTGATTCAGCATATTTCGATATCATTTTTGTTTCGTTCTTACTTAATATTAATTTGTTTGCGACAGTTAATTTGTATACCTCCTTTATCATTTCGAGGAGTTTAAAAATATAATATTTAGGATTTTAACTTTTTTGTATACCTCTTTTATTGCGTCATCACCACACCCACACGCAACGTGTGTATTGTTAAACGTGTGTAGTTATTTAAATTCTTATTCAAAAGTATTAGTTTATTTATTTATTTTTTTTTTTTTTGAACTGACAATTTCTGTCCTTTTTTAGATATTTTAAAGTGCTATTTAAAACTGCTGCATATCACATGAAAGCATTAAATATATCATTTGTAGAATTTTAGAGTAAAATAAAAGGGAATTCTGATCCTTAGAAACATAAATTAAATAGTCTGATGATCGAATGATGGGGCAAAAAAAAAAAAACTTTTTTTCCTTTTAAACTAAAAAATTGTTTATTTATGAATAATTTATTTATACTCAAATTGCTTGAAAGATGATATGTTCCCTTCTAATGACAACGAAATTTTTTGTTTTATTCAGTCATTTATTTATATTTATTATGTCCGACAAAGTAAAAAGGGAAAAAAATGCATTTTAGGCTTCTGAGGGCCCCAGCTCCGAATAAAACTTTAAAAAAAGAGGGGGGAAAGTAGGATCTGGGGGCCCTTGTCATCTCGGGGCCCCAAGCCACAGCTTATTTAGCTTATACGTAAATCCGGCCCTGTATTTGCCTTGCAGCCTCCTCAAGGGCAAATAATGCCTCTTTCAGCGCAGGAAGGGAACAAGCAATTATATCTACATATACAAGTAGTTGTATTGATCTGGTACAAATGTGACCACTGGTATTGATATTTGAATCACGAATAACTCTCTTAAGTGCAATATTAAGAAGACAGGAGAGAGAATCTCCCTGTCGAGTTTATGTTCCAAGATTTTCTGACAGAGACCCCAGAAACTTAATCTTACACTTTGTATCTCTCAATGTAAGTCTCGTTAATTTAGGTATTTTAAAAGTATTCATTGTTTCAAGAAAATAATTTCTATTGATAGTATCAAATATATAAATAAACAAAACATAATTACATCTAACATGCGGCTCGTGTTGCGAGCGTCTTTTCAAAAGTATGCCAGTTGATGGGGGCCTGTTATAAAGCGCCATACTGTTTAATTTAAGGTAGCCTTTTCAGTGTTGCCAAAAGACTAAACATTGTTTATTTCTTTTTCTTGGTTCCTTTTTTTTTTTTAAATGAAATTTCCGTGAAAGGATACGTTCATTTTGAAACAGAAATAGGCAGTTCTAAACATATTCAAAATGGCGTTGGTCTCTTATCCTGTTTTGTTTTCGTTTTAGTAACTTATTAAAATGTCTGAAGGAAATGTTTTGGAGCGAGTGATGAAAGGTATTTTACTGTTCTTTATCTCTCTTTTTAAGAGTGTCTTGTTGTTGTCTAATTACTGTTATAATTTTTTGTCTTAAATGAATGTACCAATTTTGAGAGGAAAATTTTCCAATTTACTTATCATTAAACTTGGTGCAGTACTTTCGGATTTTGTTAGTTTATTAAGATCAAGTGCGTAGCGGAGGAGAATTTTCTGATTTATCATCAGGATTATATGCTTTTATTACTGATGGATTAAAGTAGTTTTTATTTGATGTTCATGTTTTAATATGTTGAAAATTTAAACTGATGATAATTATCTAAAGTCTGACATATCCTAATTTTGTGTTTTATTTAGATATAGGAGATGTAGAAAGTCGCCTGTTTGACCATAGGCCATTCGTTCAGGGGGAAACTAAGTTTTTCTTGAAGGAATTTGAAGTAGTATCAATTTTTTATTTGACAGATTTAACTCCTTCATATTAATAGTATTTTTCCATTATTATTTAATTATTCCTTTTTTTATTTTGTTGGTTAAACTTGTTTTTTTTTTGGCTTTATTAAGAATTAATACATTTAAATAGTCAAATCCATCAAAATTTGTATGCTTCACATAATGTATAGCAATTATAAGTTATATTCCTTTATTATGAGTTATATTCCTGTATAAAATTCAACTACAATTTATAAGTTATATTCCTGTATTTGTAATTCTCCAAGTGTTTATTTATGTTCAGCTTCGATTTTTTGTTTCCTTACTCTTGCTTCATTAAAACCTTAATTTTTTAATATTGTATTTGTTTATTCCTATCATAACATTCTGCATGAGATTCATTTTCTATCGTTTGTACCTGTTACACCAATTTTCTCCCCATTCCTCTTATATCAAGGCAGTAGCACAGTTCTTTTTCAGCCCTCTCCTCTTAGAGAGCACATTTTCCCTCTCCATCGTGATGTCATGATCAGGTTTCCTTTTTTCCTCCAACCTTTTGGTGACCTTTTTTTAGATAATAAATATTTGTGAATATAATTATTTTTTTAAAACTGTTTAAATTGTCTTATTGTGTTTACAAAAGATCATTTTTTAAAGTACTCCATTTCTTATTGAAAGTACTTAAGAGTTCTTAAATGTTGTTTACTAATACTTCTTTAAATGTTAGAAAATTTAATATTATATCAAAATTTTAACAGGAAAAAAGAAAGGAAAGGGAAGTGAGGAGAATGTTTGAAATGCTTGAAATTGTGACTGAAATAAAAGAAACACAAATTGAAAAAGGTGTGAAACTTGGAGATATGCATCTTTGTAATTTAACTGGCCACTGTAAGTATCATGCTTTACTAAATATATATATAAAATCAAAAAATATACAACTTTTTTAAGACATTTACAATAGTCTAATTTCCTGTTAAAGAATTATTCAAAATAATTTATTCTTAAAAAATATTTCAAAATAATTTATACTTGGCCATCATTTAGTTTCTTTTGAATGCCTTTTAAATTTATGTAGTTTTCTTTTTCTCTCTCTTTAAGAATACATTAAAAATATTTATGCAGGTATTTCATTTGGCATTTGTCTTGAAATACACTAAACTTTTCTTTCTCTACAGATCGGTAATCCACTAAATGGTTTGTTTGTCAAGTTTTTCGACAAAATATTGCCAAGTGTGACAATTACATATACAGTCGAACCTCGATTTCACGAATTTTTCGATATCTCGAAGAAAAATAATAATTCCCTTCAAATTTCCTATATACTCAATGTTAAAAAAAATTTGATTTCACGAATTTTTTGTTCTAATCCCTCGATAACTTGAATATTTTTCTCCATAAATAGTGTAGATTTTTTTTCTAAAAATAAAAAAAATATTCCAAAAAAAATAAAAAATTTTAAAAATGGAAAACCAATTCTCATAATGATAAACTTTTTAAAAAAAATGGACATAAAGACGTCAGTGGCATGGAATGTGTCTCTCTCTACAATAATGAATGGCTTCAAGAAGGCTGGATTCATTAAAGATGACGAAAATAGTCAAACAATCAATATCGTTAATTCTGCTGAAAACTACACCGAAAATGATTGGGACAGATTGACCCGACTCCTGAAACTTGATGACTTGGAATTTCATAACTTTGTAAACGTAGGTGATGCAGTAACAGTGTGTGGTCAGTGGCATGACAATGATATCATCGCTCAAACAAAAGCTTCTTGTGAACTATCAGAAGAAGAGGATGAGGAAATCGAAGATTTACCACCCAATGTTACTAACAAACAAGCACTTTCTTCAGTGGACACTGTAAGGAGATTTATTTGAGAGGCAGCCAAATATGTCAGAGGAGACATTTAAAGCTTTAGTCCACTTAGATAGGAGCCTACTGTGTTTTGTCCCATGATACTTTGTCTCTATGATATTTTGCCACTCAAATTTGTCAGCTTTAAAGCCTGTCTTACAATATTTTATCAGGATAAGATTCTATTTGAGAAAGGAATGACTCATGATAGTTTATTTGTAATTCTGCACGTTGATCTCTTCTGCAATATTTTGGAACCATGTCCGAAAGTTTTTCTTTCGCATTTTTTGGTAAACTTAATTTTTTTCATTCATGAAATGCTGCTTTAAACCCAGTTGCAAATGCAATGCTACAATAAGAATTATTTGATACCTCTTATTGACATATATGCAATAAATGAGTTTCTATGTCCTTCTATCTATTTTCATTAGAAAGATTTGTTTCGTTAATTTTGGAGAATTGAAATCTTGAATATATGTGATTAAATTCTGGGAAGTGTTGTATAAATTATGTTCATTGTTGTGAAATTGATGATTGGAATTGTTTTACACCTTTTATTTAATTACATTAAATTGTTAAATATTTCTTTTGGAATATGAATGATTAAATTTATATTTAAAGTAACAATACATTGAAAATAAGTTTAATTAATATATCGGCAGATTCTTGAAGGAATTGACTGTAAAAATATTATAATTGAAAATTGTAGGAATTTTAAAATATCAGTAATATTTTTCTTAAAAATTTCCGTTCATTTCATGTTTTATATAAATCTTACTGTTACGAAATATTTTTTTTTTATTGATACATTAAAATTTTACATTGTATCAATAAAAGTAAGCTTTATTGAGTAAATAAAAAACTTTTAATTTCAGTTGAAGTGGCTTTGCGTATGTGCAATAATATTGTGGAAAGAGAGGATTCCAATAAAAAGGTAAGATGTGATTATTTATTTCTCAGAATTGTTAAAGTTGCAACAACAGTTCTAAACTCAAGATGTGTGCATTTTAAATGACCAATTGAAAAATGGCTGATAAATGTCTTTTTTTTAAAAAACAAAAATCAATGTAAATTATTATGTTTGTACATTTATTCTTACTACCTATAACACAGTGTCTCTTCTCCATTGTAAAATTATTTATTCTTTTGCTATATTTGATTTTTTGTTGTTTTTGATTCATCACACTTTTTATCTTTTGTATAACTATTATTTTTTAGAAGTTTTATACTTATTTATTCAGTTAATTTATTTGTTTTTGATGCTCTACTCTTTCTTTAATATTTATTTATAACCTATTACATTATCTTTATTGTTAAATTAATCTTTAATAAGATGTTGAATTATTGATTCCTGACTGATGCGTGTAAGGGTCAGGGAACTGGCCTTACATCAGAAAGGTTCTTGGTTCGAATTGCGGACAAGGCATTGGATGTTCTTTTAATCTCTGTGCCATCTGTCTTTATTGTGGGAGTAATGTTGTCCAACCTAATATGGTGCCTCTAACAGAGTGGCTAAAAAATATGCTCTTCAGATGCCTGTATTGATAAAATGTTCCCCAGGTGGGTGTTTGAAAAAAAAAATTAATTCCTGATTCATTTTTCCCTTTTTTAGAAAGACTTTTTAGATCGTAGGAGAGAACAGAGGAAAAAGGAGTGGATTGCATTTGTTGATGACATTCAGAATAAGAATACTGCAGTTAATCAAACATTTGCTGACAAAGAAGAGCAACTGAAAACATATTACAATAAATTAGAAGAAGCTATGCATATATCACCCACACAGTCGGACAATAGTATTTAAGCTATGTATTTATTGTATACTGGAACATCTTAATAATGGCAATAGTTTTTGAAATCTGAATCATGTTTTCAGTATCGTTATATTGTCTATGGAACTGAAACAAAAGAGTTGTTGATGAAAGTTTCATTGTTTAATAATTTATTCCCAAATTGTGTATTTATATTTTAACTTATGATTTATTATACTTATGCAACTTTGTAAAGTTTTAATGACATAGAATGGAAAATCTTTATGACTTTGTTATTTTTGTGAAAGAATGTTATGAAAAACGAATTTTGCCAAGAGGAAGAAATTTCTTTACTCATCTAGCATTATGAATAGTAAATGCATTATTAGTTGAAAAATTAATTTATTCATTGTTAGCTGTTATTTTAGAAGTCTGTAAGTATCTCAATTCAAAAATGTTTTATTTGCTGAAAAAAAAGTATTACAAGTTTTCTCCCAAATCTATAAATTATAATTCCTTCAAATGATAGCTTGCCAGGGTCTTTTATTTTTCCACTAATATTTGAACCATTTTGTTTATTTGCAGTTTAACTAAAATTGTTCTCAAACTTCTTTAGTCCCAATCAGCATAACAAAATTTTTTAGTTTATATAAAATACATAGCATAGCATTACGCCATGCTAAAAGTATTCAACAATTGACCAATGACCCATAAATGATGTTTTAATGTCTCCAGAATTATTTCATTCAGTTTGTAGCAATAATTTAATAAAGAATGAAAATGACAATTATTGAAAACAAAAACTAATTGTGCAAAATCACAAACGCATTACTTTCACTAATTATACCTACCTTCAATTTAGTTATGTATTTTCTAAACATTAAACATAGCATCAACATACAACTTATTGTATAAAATGTTCAGTTAGGAGATTTTTTTTACTGAAATTGCATATTTATTCATAAGGAATTTTTTTATTGAAATTTATTTCATGTTTTTCTGAGCTTATTTTATGTTGAAAGTCGCATAAAATAATTTCTTTTTCTGTTTGAAGTTTTAAAAACATAGAATGATAGAGGCATTTTGGAAACAATTTTTTTTAAACTTAAAATACATAACTATAATTTCTCAAATGTATTGAAAAATGTTTACTCATAACATTCCATGATGTTAAACACATGTGTTTATATCTTTATCTATATTGTTGGTTTTAAATCTGTTAAAAAAATTATAATTTAAATAAATCTGTCTTTGTAATTAAATAAAGAATTTGTGTTTATATGTCTGCTTACTGAATTGTAGGTATACCGTGAACACTAACCATTCAACCTGAAGCTAGTATATTGAAAGTTTCCCCATTTGATTTTTAGCAAATGGGGAACCGCAAATCGGTGAGTTCCTGTAGGCAAATATAAAGAGTTAATTTGTTTTTAGAATATCAATATCATAAAATCAGAACAATGCCGCCAAATGCATCAAACAATGTGGAGCAGCGAAGTGATCCGTATGTGAAGGCGGAATTCTATGATGAGGCGATAAACAATGTGGATAGCGAAGCGGTGTGTTCGTTCTGGCAAACAAACTGGCTGCTGAAGCCAACTAGTTACTAATCGAATAAAATGTAATATTTTAAAGATGTTTTAATTGCTTCAATACATATCTTGAATCAAATGCATTTTTGGAATCGTGTGCAGAGACAGCAAAACATGTGGTCCCTGATTTCTATACTCTGTTGCAGGGGGAAAAAAACTATTATCCCTATGAAGAGAGCCTGTTTGCATCTAAGTGCATGCTAAATTGATGCCAAGCTCCAACAAATATCAACATCACCAATTCCTGAAACAATGTAGCACAACAATTATTTTTTTTTTTTTTGCTTATAAAAAACAGCACAAACTAAATTTCTGTTCAACAAGTTTATTAAAAGCTTTTATATTGTTTTGAAAGCATTATTATATAATTTGATTGCTAATTAAAACTGAATTTTATGCAATTGCGAATGATTACCTAAAATCCTATATCACAATGGTCTTAACTTGCAATAGAGTATAGCCAAAAAACAATTTTAATTTACTCTTACAAAATTCCAAATTATGAAAAAGACTTATTTCTATTAAATAATTGGTAACTTTCATTAAATTAAATATTTTTAAAACAAAGTAATTTATAGTCACTCAAAAATAATACATATTATTCAATTATTTCAGTTGAAACAGAATTAAAATCTTTGAACGGTATAATGCAATTAAAAAATAAGTGTGCTACTTTTTTTTTATAATGCAAAATTTAATCAATAAGTTTCAAAATTAAAAAAGAGCTCCATTTATTCTACTATCACACTCTTAATTTTTATAGGAATAATTTTTTAAACTACTTAGCATAATAATTTTCCTTCATTAAAAATTCATTTCGATTAAACCAGACTTCTACCATTAATATAAATTAGGTTTTAAAATCTGTACGATAGATAAAAAAGATTGAGGAATTAAGTTGTTTTATTTTTATGATTAAAAAGGTTTTTTTCCCCCTTCATTTATCACTGAGGCTCTAATTTACATATTTCTTCATTATACATACCAGCCAACAATGGAGAAATAAAATAACAGATATCACTAGCAACATTTTTAGGCTAAGAGTTAAGTTTTGATACATCATGCAAGTCAAAAAGAGAAATTCAAAATTAGAAATAATATAAGCATTTATATTTAGCAAAGTGGAAAATATGAATATAAATCATAATCTAAAAAAGATTTTTTTAAACCATTATTTATAATTACTTAAACTACTTTATTTCATGACTGCCGACCCAATTTTTTGGCTTTCTCGCTAATACTAATGTTCAACTCCTTAGCCTTTTAATTTTAAACCATATTCAGAAGACAAGGGAAATCCTGGATCAAGACTAACCTGCATTGTTAGCCTCACGGCAAAAGAACTCTAACCAATGATCCATTGAAAATATTTTGTGCCAGCATTGTGGTGGGTCCAAACCTGGTGTGGAATTCGAACCCGGGTCATCTCATTGGGGCGGGGGGCATTAATAGCACTATCTGTTGAGCAATAAGAGAAGTATTTTTTTCATCAGTAAATATTTTATCACCAATTTTTTTGTAAAAAATTTCTTCAACAAATATGGAGAAATTTGAAAATATATGGGTAAACACGAGATAGTCGTCAAATACAGGAGTCATCGTTACAAAACAGGAGACTTGGGAGGTATGATTATAGTGACAGTATCACAGTTGAACTTATAAGCATTTGCTCAAATTTAAAGCAATCCTGGGGAAAAAATTTATTTGCTGCAAAGACATGTGCAAATGACAAGATTTTCGTACGTCAAAATTTAAAAATTATTTTCATATATCTTGTTGAATAAATTATTGCTAACCCTATTTTCAGCATATGTTACACTTTTCTATTGAAATTGAAAACCTGTTTTCCAATTTATTTCAGCTTAAAAAATTAAATTATAAGCAAATTTTATTTTTTTCTCACCCAATATGCATTGAATTGAACTATTAAGGTTACATTTTTATAATGATAAAATCTTTAAAGACAGTAATTCTACAATTTTGCAAGCTCTAACAATACAGCGTCAAAGTAACTTGTAAAATTCTTAAATGTTATATTCCAAACGGTTTTTTATATTTTTTTCACAATTGTGCCTTTTTCATAATCGGTGTATATATGAGCAAAATTTAACTTGATACTTATGAACTATCAACTGTAATAAAATTATCAAATTCGATAAAAAACAAATGAGATGCTGCCTTTGTACTCTGTATAGTTTATTCTGTACAGTTTTATTTCAGGTTCCTTTTCTAATTGCTATTCTCCAGCAAAGTAATTCAGCACCTAAATATAATTATGTTTTTTAGAGAAAAAACTAACAATTACCTTCAGTTCACAACAGTGAAAGTTCCTAAATGGTACTTAATACTGTGTTATATATTATCATGATAAAATTTCATAGTTTAGAAATGTATTGTAATAGATTTTAACAGAATAAAATTACACCACATTGCACATGAAGCCTATAAGAAGTAAAATAATTTGATACCATTATCTTAATATGTTAGTATTGTAACACATAATTAATTTGATTTTTAAGTCTCTATGACACTGATGTTTCATAACAGTAACAGTAAGATATCTTTTTTAATCAAAACGTTTTATTAACAAAACAAATTTAAAATTCTTTTACAGATTCTTGAAAATGTCTTCTATGTTATATACAATGTCTTCTTTACAGGATATACCCACAGCCAAATCTCTTTTATCTGGCATCAAAAACAACTACTAAGCAGAAGTTAAGGATAACAAGTAAAGTAATCTAAATGTTGAACAATTTAAATAAATCCTAAAAAAACAATTTATAAGCCACAAATAGGTATTCTAAAAACAATGAAATTTTCAGAAGTCTATCAATAAATACCAAAGGTTATTAATTAAAATATAAGAAAATTTAAAATTAATTTATGTTTAAGAATAAGTGTTTTTCAATTATTCTTATTAGTTACTTCACTTCTCGCCCTTGTGAGAAATATATTGCGATTATAATACTTAATTCTTTTCTATTACAAAAGGTGGTAAATTATTTTAAAATTATAAGTACTGCATATATATACACATACATGGTCAAATCACCATATTAGGGACCCAGAAGGAGACACTAAGAGTTTAGTGATATTGAAAAATGATTTTTTTTAAAACAATTCAGTAAAAGTAATAAAACTTGTATTTACATTTCAAATTTTGCATAGCATGAACTTACAACATTTATTTCAAACAATTTGCCAAATGCTAACCATAAATGCACTGCAAAATTGTCAAGCCAATTTGCAAGAGCTTACAGAATTTGCTATGACTTTCTGTCAGAGGCCTCAATAGGTAAAAAATCTACAAAATAATCTACTGAGGAAAAACAGAATATTCATACTTTTATTTAAAGCTATTTGATTTCATACTTTCATAAAAATTTAGAGATATTATAGGGAGAGAGGGAAATATGAAATTTAATTTGGCTTATATGAAGGTAAAAAAGCATTTTGTTAATAAAAGTAAAAGGATACATCTTTTTGTTCTTTTCTTATACATAATCCTGTAGCCACATTCTCTGCATCTGATTGGATCCTTTGCTTTAATTTCATTTTCATGATGACACTCTAGAAAAGATAATTTCAAAAGTTTACTAAATAGAAACATATATTTCTTTAAAACAAAGTAATAATTACTCCAAGTCATTTATTAAATGCTTTCAACATAGACTATTTTTTGTTTCGTGGATTTCATATACCCTCACAATAATTTGATTGATAAAGGTATAAAACCTAGGATTAACACCAATGAAAATTCAGTGGTCCCAAGGGTATTGGGTGCTTCAATACCTTGTAACCTAAAGTCTAGATTCTACATATAGACTAAGAATAAAAATTTGCACAGCTATTATTAGAAGAAAGAAATATTATTATTACCACCACAAATATAAATCATTGGAGTCTTCACATCTTTTGCCGCGTTATCCATTTCCAAGATAGAAACAGAACAGTACTTCAAACACTAAATTTGATATATAATATTTTAAATAAAGTCCGTTAAATAAAATATTATAGACAAGACATTCAATTAAACTTTACGTGATAATCTTAAAAAGGTTTACAAGATTTGCTTTAAGGTTGATTTGCTTATGACTCTCTATTTTTGCCCAGGTTGAAAACAGACACAAAGCACAAGTGATAAAACTTGAGCCTATAGGCTTTATTCTCCATAATATTTGGTAGAAGGACAATACATATGAAACCCACTCATATTGTTCGCAACCGTGCTCTTTCTTATGCTGGTGGTAAACAAAAACACGCATGTTGAAATTTGTTAATAAAGATGTACTAATCCAAGTTGTTTCAGTATTTTATTGTTAGTTTGATTAATCGCCTTGCCAAAATTCAGGTATGAAGAATAAAAAAGGAAATCGAAGAGCCTCTAAAGGTAAAGGGAAGGTATTAAAAAAAGGACAAAGCTCCAGTTCTAATCCGGAATGCACAAAACATCGTTCTGCAGCAAAAAAGCGGGCCTTCTTTGGAAATCCTGGTAAATTTTATGATAGTTTAAATTTTCTTACTTCAATGAGCAACATTTTATAATGTTTAATTCTTTTTCAGGAAATAGTAATCTCACTGTTGCTCAATTGCAGCAACACGATAAACTAACAACTGATGATATTTTAGAAGATGATGCGATGAGCATAGGTGTCGGAACAGCTCTAACAGGATTCACAAATTGTACACTTCCAACATTCAGCAGGTGTGTTTTAAAGTTTATGCTTGTTAATTTTTTTCCTTCTACCCAGTCAATGGGTTTTTCAAAATTTAGTATTTAATTGATGCAACATTTAAAGTGTGTTATATTTTTGCATCAGTGATTCCGCCAGACTTTAAGGGAAGATTTCCGTATCATGATCTGCGGCAGAATATTCGCCCTCGGCAACTTCTGCGCATAAGCCTATGAGGAACTTAAGAAAAAGAAAAAAACTATCACAGAAGTGGACCAATTGAAAGGGTATAGCCACCCCCTGACAAGCATCTACATGTGGCAGTCTGGTGATTTTAGTTGAAGCTGCAGATCACAATATGGAAATATCTCCGACTTTAGAAATTATAGATTCCCAGGATTTCCACACTTAAAGGTCCATATTTACTTTTTTAAAATACGAATTCTCCAATATTATTCTTCTGAAATATGAATTCTTGACCCAGTTTCAATTTTAAGCATCTATTTATAATTCTTCTATCTGTCGCCCGACAAAACAAGGAGCTAATAAGAATTGTTGTATTTGAATAATCAAGGTTTTTAAATAGGACTGATCAAACACTTGTATCAAAGAAAAGCAACAATGTACTTTGATTCTCAGAATTCTAATTTTTCCTTCAATTATTATTAAAGAAAACAAATTTTTGCTTATAAAGTTTTTGTGAGAATTTTGCCTACATAAATCTGTTGGCAGGTAATCCCCCCCCCCCTACCGTATTGGAGAATGCAAGTCATGACTCACTTTTCGCTTCACCTCTACAATTTGTGAAGTGTTTGACCTGTTATTGTACATAGTAAGTGGAATCACTATATAGTTTGTCTACAGAAAGAACTCCTCTAGCCATTTGACTGGACCCGTAGCGGGCACTATGGAAAGGAAATATAAATATTTCAAATAGGGGTGTAGGGTCACTGTTTAAGACAGGCTTTGGATCAAATTGGCGAGAAAAGAGAAAGGGAATATTCTTCTAGTCCTAGAGTGAAGAGAAGCAACCCTCCCTGAAACATACTATTCTTGATTCCATAGCAGTAGATGGTCTCAGATTTTGTGGCTGGGGAAGTTCTTTCGATAGACAAACTATACTTCATTATTCTGTTAGTTAATAATATTTATTTACTGGTATAGTCTGGGTCGGTCCATGACCTTCTTAATAATTCTACTCCCAAGCTCCCTGTTTGGCATTTTCGCTTTCCAATTTTTTATTCTCAATGTCCTAAAGTCTCTTTCAACTCTCATCTATTCATCTCTTTCTCATCTGCCTAATTTTCATCGACCATGGTATTGGTTATTAAAGATCTTTTTGTGCATCAGTTATCATACATTCACTATATGTGTTTTCCAACCATTGGATTATATTTGATTACAGTGGAACCCCGATTTTACGTTGTCCGTTTCGTACGTTATCCCGCTTCTTGCGTCATTTTCTGCTGATCCGTGAAAATTGCCTATACTGATAATGTTTAAAAATCCCGGATTTTGCGTTACCCCTTTTATGAAAATCCCGCTTGATGCGTTTTTCTACCAACAGATCAGATTAATTTTTTTAATTCTACAACTCTCACACAAACTTTTTTCTAGTTTTTTGAACAAGAAAAACTTGCTTTTCAGCTGTATGGAGCAATTCTTGCATTCTTTCTGTTCCATTTGTCAATAGGAGGGTGGGTAACAAGCATAAAAACTACAAAGCATAAAAACTCTAAAACAATTTTTACTTGCAAATGTAATTCAAGAAGCAAATTTGCAAAAAAATGTTAGTATTGAACGAGTTGTAGATGAAATTGTAGCTAAAAACAAAGAGGAAGTGAAGATTACTAATCTTTTCCATTAATTTAACTGGTAGGTGTCAATTTTTAAAAATATGCATAGATTTTTCTTAATCCCGATNATGTATTAATCCAAGTTGTTCCAGTATTTTATTGTTAGTTTAATTAATCGCCTTGCCAAAATTCAGGTATGAAGAATAAAAAAGGAAATCGAAGAGCCTCTAAAGGTAAAGGGAAGGTATTAAAAAAAGGACAAAGCTCCAGTTCTAATCCGGAATGCACAAAACATCGTTCTGCAGCAAAAAAGCGGGCCTTCTTTGGAAATCCTGGTAAATTTTATGATAGTTTAAATTTTCTTACTTCAATGAGCAACATTTTATAATGTTTAATTCTTTTTCAGGAAATAGTAATCTCACTGTTGCTCAATTGCAGCAACACGATAAACTAACAACTGATGATATTTTAGAAGATGATGCGATGAGCATAGGTGTCGGAACAGCTCTAACAGGATTCACAAATTGTACACTTCCAACATTCAGCAGGTAAGTTTATGCTTGTTAATTTTTTACCATCTACGCAGTCAACGGGTTTTTCAAAATTTAGTATTTAATTGATGCAACATTTAAAGTGTGTTATATTTTTGCATTAGTGATTCCGTCAGACTTTAAGGGAAGATTTCCGTATCATATCATGATCTGCGGAAGAATATTCGCCCTGGGCAATTTCTGCGCAAAACCCTACGTGGAACTTAAGAAGAAAAAAAAAAGAAAGAAAAAAACTATCACAGAAGTGGACCAATTGAAAGGAGAATGGAAATATCTCTGACTTTAGAAATTATAGATTTCCGGGATTTCCACACTTGAAGGTCCATATTTACTTTTTTAAGATATGAATATTATTCTTTTGAAAAGTGAATTCTTGACCCAGTTTCAATTTTTAAGTATCTATTTATAATTCTTCTATCTATTGCCCAACAAAACAAGGAGCTAATGAGAGTTGTTGTATTTGAATAATCAAGGTTTTTAAATAGGACTGATCAAACACTTGTATCAAGGAAAAGCAACAATGTGCTTTGATTCTCAGAATTCTAATTTTTCCTTCAGTTATTATTAAAGAAAACAAATTTTTGCTTACAAAGTGTTTGTGAGAATTTTGCCTACATAAACCTGTTGGCAGGTATTTTCCCCCTTCCCCCTGTATTGCAGAATACAAGTCATGACTCACTTTTCGCTTCACCTCTACAATTTGTGAAGTATTTGACCTGTTATTGCACATAGTAAGTGGAATCACTGTATAGTTTGTTTATAGAAATAATTCCTCTAGCCATTCGTCTGGACCCGTAGCGGGTACTATGGAAAGGGAATACAAATATTTAAAATAGGGGTGTAGGTTCACTGTTTAGGTCAGGCTTTGGATCAAGTTGGCGAGAAAAGAGAAAGGGAATATTTTTCTTCGATCTATTGTGTTAGTCCTATAGTGAAGAGAAGCAACCCTCCCTGAAACGTACTATTCTTGTTTCCATAGCAGTAGATGGTCTTAGACTTTGTGGCTGGGGAAGTTCTTTCTATAGACAAACTATACTTCATTATTCTGTTATTATATATTTATTTACTGGCATAGTCTGGGTTGGTCCATGACCTTCTTAATAATTTTCCTCCCAAGCCCCCTGTTTGGCATTTTCGCTTTCTAATTTTCTATTCTCAATGTCCTAAAGTCTCTTTCAACTCTCATCTATTCATCTCTTTCTCATCTGCCCAATTTTCAATGATCATGGTATTGGTTATTAAAGATCTTTTTGTGCGTCAGTTATCATACATTCACTATATCTGTTTTCCAACCATTGGATTATATTTGATTTGATGTATAATTGATTTGAAAATTTAGATGATTTAATTATTATACATTCAATTTTACAGATTGTTAAAAAATTGGAACAGTAATTCTTTTCTCCATAAAGAAATGCTTGCGCTTCTTGAAGCCACGGCTGAAGTTATAAAGGGTGAAGGAGAAGAAGAATCAGAAGCAAAATATTTTTCAGCCTTAGTAAGAGTATATCTTTGTATATTTGTGTTATATAGAAATATATATATGTATAATCATTAAATAAATGCAGTTTTTATTTTAAGAAATTATTTAAAATCAAATTGTATAAATTTTAATTTTTAAATGATGCAATGCAATTTTTATTGTTTTAATAATTTTATCCAAGTTATTGTTATATTTAGATAATATTCTTTATATAAAGAGTAACACATGGGATTTTAATGCTTAAAATTAATTATTAGATGTTTTATTTTGTAATTTGTTATATTTTTGAAATGTTCTCTCATTCTGAAAGTTATCTTTAATCCTTAGAAAAAAAATAGTTCTTCGGTTATGGATTGCTAACGGGTAAATACTCCACTATTTCCGTACCATCATTTATAGCTATAACACAGGGTTCCCCCTGTAATTTAAAAGTCCTTAAAAACTGCTTAATTTTTATTTTGGGAAATAAGGGCTTTTAAAAGTGTTTAATTTAGGTTCAAGGATTTTAAAAGTACTTAAATTCTAGTAACACTGGTTGATTTAAAATTTTTTTTAGTCTTACAAAAATATTTGAAACAATAAGTCAACAAAATTTGAAACAAAAAACCATCTTTAGCTTAGAAATTGACTCTTGCTTCAAAGGTAGAGCCCTTATAGAAACAAAAAGGATGTGGGGGGGAGGACTGCAGGCATGCTCTTGCTGTTCTTTCATTAAAATCTTCTTTCTTTCACCTGGAATGAGATCCCGCTTGCATTCTGAAACAAAAGAATAAGTTGTGGGGAAAGGGGGCCAGAGATCATACTATGTCAGTAATAGCATAATTAAAAAAATTTTTTTTGGAAGGGCAAATAATTGGCACTGTTATTGTGGGTACATGTATATATTATGATAAACAACTATTTTTAAGTTTTTATTTTTAAAGTCATTAATTTTTACTTTGCTAAGGAAGAGTGGGACCCATAACATAATGGCCTGCACTAGACTAGTGTCTTGACATAAAAGTTATAGAAAATTTTTGCTAGACATTCGCTATTATAGGAAGTACAACCAAGTTATTTTTTGAATTGTATTCATGGTTAGGCTGATAAACAATGGGTTCTTCACAGTGAATTATCTAATCTAAAATGTAGATCTAATTTATGTGCTAAGATTATATCTCGATGCTCTAAAGACACTGTTTAAGAAAAGATGCAGATTAAAGTCGCATCTTATCTTAAAATTTAGTAAGTAATTTAAGTTCTAAAAATCAGTCACTAATATACTTTTTTGATGGATTTGTTTTATTGACACAATTTTAGTTTGGAAAATATATTTAAGATATTAGTCTTAACTTTGATCTTTTAATGTTATTTTTATCATTTGTGTATTTCACTATCTTTAAAAATAATTTCATGAATTAAAAAAAAAAAAAAATCTTGTACTTTAATATAAAACTGATTTATAAAAGATAAGCTAATATAAATCAAAATTAAGTAATATAAATCAGAATTAAATAATATAAATTGAAAAGTAAAAAATGTAAAGTTTTCTTTTCTACAGAAATATACACGTAATGTTTGTATCATACGCTTAGATAATCATTTTTTGACACGCACAATTTACATTGACAGGAATGTAAATGGATGTAATATTTCGATTGCATTTTCGGCAGTTATTGATATTGATTTTCACATGGTTTTTAAATGTCCCGATATATTTCAAACAATATGGAAAATTTGTATCGTGCATTTGAATATTTGCCTTTTAAGACAATGATTCTATCAAATTTCTGGCAGTTATTGGTTTGGCAGTTATTGGCTATTGATTTTTCCATGGTTTTTAAATCCGATATTCTTTATTACGACAACCTAATCTCGAAACAAAACAGGCATTTGAGTAACCCCTTTTTGAGGAGTCTGATTCGCGTGATTTCATTGTCTGTCTTTTTTTCCAGCGGCGGATTTCATGATTTTTTATGCTGATGATTATTTACAAAATGCAAGAATATTATCCATAATATTAGAACAAAAATTTATTGCATGTTCAATTTAAAAAAAATTATAATAGTTTTTTCTTTGCAAACACGGCACTTTTGTTATTTTAAATTAGTAACATATATGTTAGTTTTTATTAAAATTAGCTAGCTGTAAGATACTAGTGCTCGAGAATTTTGTCGCAAGGGCTGTGTTATTGATATCTTAGGAGTTAGTGGTACTTTCTGATGATTTCACAATTCTGATGATCACATTCTAGTGATCATAATTATGATTTCATATTTCAAAGATGTCTGGTCCCTATAGTGTGCATCTATCTTTGAATTACTAACTATTTTTGATAACATACTATCACAACTAACATAAGGTACAGAATGTATATATACTGGATATTTACATCAAGTTTGAATAGCAACAAAGAGCCATTATACTGTAACATAAACTCTAAATGACTCCATTTTCAAATTACTCCTTTCTGGGATGTGGGCTCCTGGTTGGGAAGCACTGCTTTAAATCATTTTTCTGAGGAATTTAAAGGTTTAAAATGTGTCAGAAATATGATGATGAAATGTTGCTAGAACTTTCTTTAACTAGAATGATATACTAATTTTTCTTTTCTGTAGGTTGTTTTGCTTGATGATGTTACAACAGATGAAACTTTAACTGCAATAATTTGCTTGCTGTCAATGGTTGTAAGAAAGTAAGTCTTAATTTATAAATGTTATGTTACACTACATGAAATGTCAATATTCCATTATTTCAATAAGTCAATAAATTATCTTTATTAGAATGAACTAACTAAAAAAAATGAAACCAATATTACAGATATGTTGGTTGGTTAATTAATTATTTAGTTTATTAATATTGACATGAAAAAATAAAAGTTTTCATAAAAAAACTTAATTTTTCATGTCATAATTTTTCCTCATTTTTTAAAAATATTTTTTGATTTTTTTAAATGTACATGTTTTGTAGACAGTGAAAAATGGCTACATTATTTAAAAACTTCTGTTATGCTCTTTTCAAAATGCATAAAAACTAATCAAAATCTAATTTAAATACATAGATACATAAAAATTAAGATCAAGTGCTGCAATTTATATTTTTTAATATGGTTTATTAAGGGGTTATTCACTAATTAATTTGTCTAGAGCTATAAGTTTTTGTCAATTAAATTGATGTTTTTATGGCCAGTTTTGTCTTATACGTTTTAAATACAGTAGAGCGCCGATTATCCGAACTGCTCGGGACCCAACATGGTTCGGATAATGAAAAGGAAATGGAAAGGAAAAGGATAATTGGAAAACTGTTTAAAATCTAGTGTACATGATTATTATTTATGCACTAACTTCCCTTTGCACCTTTTGTAGGCTTAGGACTGGTAGTACTATTTAAAATAGCTTTGGCGTGTTAAAAAATTTTTTTTTCTTCAATTTTTAAATATTTTTAATTAACTGTTTTTAAAACTTTTTTTTATTTTGAATTATTTTTATCATATTTTAGTTTTTTATAATTTTTTTTGTCAATTACTGATTTTACCACATTTTTCATTATTTTCCATTGAAAAAGAAATCCAGCAAAGATTTTGTTTCAAAGAAGATGCGTTTTTTTTTTAGCAGCCATATATCCCTTAATCTTTTTAAATAAAAAAAATGAACTGGATCAACATCATTTTGACGTTCTAGCCAATTCATTGCAATATCTAATGAATTGCATGCTTCTATCTTGAACTTGATCACTTACTTCTTCATCTTCGTCAGTGGAGTTCCGATTTTCATTAAAAATCAACAATTTCATCATTTTTATCCGAAAGATCTACTGGTTCAGAAACTTCAGTTTTTCTGTTAAGAATTTTATTCCAAGCACTGTAATCACTAATCATTAAACATAAGTGACAACTACCCATTCCCCAATTATAAAACTTCAGCACTTATCTATTCATAAACTCCTTCTGCATTCCAACCATTGTAGACTATCAAAATGAAGCTCGCATTCTTGGAAGATAATTTTCAGTTGTAAAAGGGTAGGTAGGTTTAAATGTATCACCATACATGTATGTATGGCTGCTATAAGAAAACTGCTAAAAAGGTTGTAAATTAAATATGGTCTTCGAATGTAGTGGATATTATTTATTCTAATTAGTTTAGAAAAATTGTCAAGATCTTAAAAAGTATTCTAAACTTTAAAAATAAAAAAACGAATTCAGACATAGTTCGGATAATAAGGGTTCGGATAATCGGTGCTCTACTGTATATATGTTAGTAGTGTTATTATGTAGTATTTCAATCTTATTAATGTTAAGCCTTTTAATATTTTATTATCTTAAAATAATTTTAACATTTTTTAAAGACTATTTCTTTCCGACTTGGTTTATTAGTCATATGTCATTTAAAATAAATGATCATTATTAGTAATATGTCATTTAAAAATATTGTTAGTTAATTGAATTTGCAGACCAAATAGTCTTTTTAATTATTTTGATATAGGTTCTTTTTATTTTGTATTTAACATGCTCATATTTGAAAGTAAAAACTTCATTTTCTTTTATGTATGCTAATTGAGGGTAAATGTAATTTTATTTTGATTTAATACAAAATCTTTAGGAATGTAATAGCTTAAAGAGATAGTAAGACAAATTATAGCTTTTTATGTATATGTGGCGATAGTATTTATTCTTATTTACATTAATGTTATAAATTTTTTTTTTTGTAGAATGAACAACTCAACTTTACTAAAGCTTCAAGAATTAAATGTTCATGAAACATTTACAAAACTGTTAATCAAGTACATGAATTCAGACCACTGTGCTTTATTGAGAAATGTAAGTCATAATTCTACTTGAAGTCCTCTGAGTATTTTGTTTTTTGTTGTAGATTTTACAATAATCCAAATTTTTTAACGTTTGTGTTATAGTTATTGAGCATAATGTATGGCTTTTTGAAAACAAGAACTGTATGGCCTGAAAAATGTGAAGAGGTTAGAGTTATTCTTGAGTTTGTTACTCATCATAAACCTAAGGTATATAATGTCTTTTCTGATTGCTCTTTATATATTTAATTTTTTATTTTATTTTAATGCTTCCGGTTTTTTTAAAAAATTTTTTGAGTAGCTTCTAATTATGACCTAGTTGTTAAAGTTTGATCATGATGCTTACTTGTCCTATATTTATTATTTTTTTTAATATCAATTGCTAACAGTTTTATTATAAGAAAGTAACAGTTTTCAGAAATGTTATTTTCTGTATTTCTTGACAAACTATATAATTTTATTGACTTGCATAAATTATTTACTTATTTTTTAATATTTATAATATATTTCCTATTTATTCATGTCAGTTTTATTGAGACAGTATAGTAATATAATGAACATATTTTTATGACTGTGTAGTAATAATTTGAATATATTATGTAAAGTGAAACCTCTAGTTTTTTGTTAAAAGAAAATAATGTGCAGTCATTTTGAGATTGCTAAATATGGGACTTAAGAAAGCTGGAAAAATTATTGGTTTGATAAATAAGCTAAATGGCAACTTGACACCTATGGTTTTGTTTGATACCATGATATTAGAATTAATGTGTCATGGTAGGTGGTGCCACAGATTTTTTTACCTTGTAGCCAAAAAAAAAAATTACTTTTATAGTTAAGTAGTTCATTTAGGTTTATATCTTGATATCTAGTATTTACTGTCTATATTTCATGAAAAATTATAAAATTACATCAAGAAAAAGGCATTTTTTTATTAATTTAGAATATAATAAATTGGGTTATTATATTATGGTGGAAAGTAATAATGTTTTTTATAATTGATTTAGGTTCGAAAAGTGTCCCATTCTATTATTCGCAAACTTTTAGATCATTGTGTTCCAGAATCTGCTTCTATTCATCCTCTTGCACCAACCATTGCTGATTTCTGCATTAAAAAGCTAGAAAGTAATCATTATTATTATTATTTGTTTCGAAATTAAAATTTTATCTATTAACTTAAAGAAGAGTGACTATCTTCTGAATTTATAATTATACATAAAATGAATCTCCAAAGACTCTGTATTTTTTATTTGAAAGTTTTATTACATTGTTATTGTGACATCCCTTTCTTTGTGAGATGGTTTTATTTCGGTACGTTCATTTAGTCACTTTAAATGATGACAAGGACTTTTTATAATATATATATTTATTTTAGGATTCTTGATTATCTATATATTTAAAATTAAATACGAAAATATACATGTGCAACATAACATACAAATTCCAGAGCTCCATTGCTTCTTCTCATCTTTACTCTCTCAGCATCCAATCTCTACTCTCTCTGCATCCAGTTTATATTATAAATCCTTTTTCTCACCAAGAAGAGTCCTTCGCTTCATCTTAATCTATCCCCCACTGTAGAGGGACACACTTCCTGTGTCGCTTAGGTCAGGTGTCAATCAAATGCGTGAGAGAGGAATCAGAATCCTGACAGTTATGGTATTTCTTTTATTTTCCATTTAAAATGTGGTTTTTATAAAATAAAAGAATTAGGTTTTTACACTGAATTAGTTTTGTAACTTAAAGAGGTGTAAACTTTATTGATAAGATTTTAATGCATGTAAAAGGAATTGTTCTCCTAGAGATAATATCGACAATTTTTATATTAAACCTGTGCTAACATATTTACTGAAAATAAATAGATATGGGCATTCTTTAGCTTAATATACTTGTTATTGTGGATAATAAAAATTTATTATTAGGGCTTAAATTTTGATGTCTTTTGTATTTTTAGAGATTTTTGAATATTTTTAAGATTTTAGGATTTTTTTTTTCATTTTGTGAAATTATATTTCAATAAAAATTTTTTTTGATACTGCGTTATTTTTTTTTATATGAGACTTCTTTATTGTCATTTTTTATAATTATACTAAATGCGTCTTAAAAACCTTGTTTCACCCATTTAACATTTTTTTACAGAAACTTTTTTGATAATGCATCTGAATTTCTCTTGTCTTTTTAATATAATTATGTGTATATTTAAGGAGCTAATATTGTGCATTGAATTCTCTATACTTAAAGAATATGAACACTCTTTTTTTTGTTAAATGCCAATGTATGTTTGTTAAATGCAAAAGTAATATTAAAGTAATAAATAATACTTTTGTTTATTCATGTCAAATTATTGCAGAGTAATTTCATTATTGTGTTGTGTATGTAATCATATATGCATTGATTTATCTATACTTAATAATATATAACTGTTTATAATAAAATTGACTGAAGAATTGTAATGAAACTTATTATGTCAAGGGATTAAACAGACAATGAGATGTTTTACCTAAAATGTGTTTTGTAAACATATATATGTAAGAACTTGGTTTAAGTTCAATTTTTTAGCTAGATTAAAAATTTTTTCAGGCAATTCTCCAAATTCAAAGGAAACTTTTTATATTCTTGCTGTCTTACATGGAATTCTTGGATTGTTTTCAAAACCAGATATAAAAAAAACATGTGAAACCATAATCAAAGTTATGACTCTTAGCAATGCTGTAAGTATTATTATTTGCGGTTATCTTCATTGATCATTTTTCAAGTTCTTATAAGGTACCTTTGATTTTGTGGAATTCATTAGTATTATTAAATTGTCTTAAATATAGTTGTTCATTATTTCATTGTTGTTATTGGAATTGCGTTGTTGCCAGTCTACAGCTGTTTTGGCGAATTTTCGTTGTTGCTAATTTTGCATATAATTATAGAGATTTCATGTTTTAAACATGTAATTGCTGAGATAGAAAATAAATAAATAAGTAAAATGGTAAGTAGGGTGAATAATAATGTAGAGTAGGTACTACTGGAAGTGGATATTTGGCATAGTGGTGATGAATGCAACAGATTTATAATTGCATAGATGGAAAAATGATGCAATTAGTATGAGGAATGTGGTAAGAGAAAGCATAATTTTTAATTTATTTTCATAAAAATGAATTTAGTGTTTCTTTTTATTTTATTGCGTATTTACCATTGTCACTGACCTAATGTGAAATACCCAGTTCCAAAAAGCCGGTTTGGAAATATTGACCATGAGTCGATAAATGTATTCTTCATTATTTTTTTTAACTGACTTTTTTTCTAATTGACTTGTATTGATGAGCAAAAGGATCTTAGTTTTATGAATTTATGTATTTTATTATTATGAATATCATAAAACCACATGCGAACATAGAAATATTACTGAAATTCAATAAGAAATACTTTTATTGCACGCTATTATTTAACACTTTTATTTTACACAACAATCAAGTGGATTATGCTAACAATATCATCATCCATTATTCTCATCCATTCATAACATTCTCATCCTTTTTCACATTTTTAATCTCTTTTTTTTTCCTTCTTTGTACCATATTATCGATAACTTGAACCATTGAGAAGAATTTTTAAAAAAAAAAAAACTTTCAAAGAAATTGTATAAAATTAACTTTTCAGTTCAGATAAACGTAAATCAACACATTCCTATTATTTAGAAGAAGTTATAAATGACTATTATTGTGCTGCTCCCAGCCGATGATAGAGAGAATTACCTTCGAGGATATAATGTTTAGGTTAACATTTTTTTTTAAAAGCAAAGAAAATCATAAATTTAAAAATTTAATTATTTAAATAATTGTAAATGGAAATATATCAGTTGTATATGCATCAGATGTCTTAAAGTAGCCAGGTCATATTTTATAAGAGAAAAAAGATTTAGTTATTTGAGGCAGATTATTGTGCAATTCAAATGTTACTTCAGATCAAAATTTGTATTGATTACATATTTACTTTAGCGTACTTTTTAATATATATTTAAAATAGTGTGTATGTTTTTAATTTTATTAACAGTTTTGTTTTATGGGTAAAGGAAATTTAAAATGCCATTTGTTACCTGCATATTTAAATATTGTACATTATTTTGCCTGTTCATCTATGTGAACTATTTTTTATTTATTGGGCAAGATCTAATGAATTATATTCTTTTTTAAATTTTATATTTCTTTCAAGCATCAATTGTATTTTTTTTCCTTTAAAAAAATAAATAAATAAAAGCTTGTTAAATTATTTAGAATCTTTATTAATATTCTTACACACTCTTACAAACTTGAATTTATTAATATTCTTATACATTCTTACAAATTTGAATTTATCAATAATAAATTTATAAATAATGAATTTATTAATAATTTACTAATAATTATTAAAAATCAAGCTTGAGTTTATAATTAATTTGAATTTGTTGTTGTCTGTTGAATTATGCTTAAAGTTGTGTTCGAATAAAAAAGTTTTTTTTTTTGGTATTGTTTTAATACTATACATTTGATATTTGAAATTCGTTTATGTGATATTTGTTAATCATATTTTACAGACATTAAAATGTGGGTAACATGAAAGTTTAATGTTATTAAAATGTTCATATTTTTCTTTTCTTACAAACCCTGAGTAAAGTAAAAAAGAAACTTCTTATGTAATTATATTTTTTTAATAATTTCTTAAGGTCTTAGCAGTATGGTTTTTATTTTGTTGATCTTTATTTTATTTTAATAGATGGTAACGTCATGTTGTCTCAAAGCTTTACAAGGACTTTTTAAATCTTCAGAATATACCTCTGAATTAAACGAGAAGAAAATTAAATCCTCAGAAAATATCTCTGCTGAATTAAATGCAAAGATCATTAGTGTAAGTTGCTCCTATTTATAATTTACTTTTTTTTAATTCAAAAATATTAATTCTCGATAAATTTTAGTGTATATCATCGTTTAGGAAGTAACAAATCATTTTCAAATTACAGGCTATGTATCCATATCAACCGAATGTCAAAGAAACTCAGAGTTTGATAGAATGGCTTATGTTGATGAAATCTGCCTTTATCAATCTTTATAAGTTTGTTTTGTTTTATTTATCTATTTACAAGTTTGTTTTGTTTCATTTATTTATCTATTTATAAGAATTTTATTTGAAATTTTGTGTACTTGTTAGGCTTGATGCAAGGCTCTGCATCGGACATTTTCCTAACTTTTTTGCTACTGCTGTTAAATGTTGGCTCAGTGACAGAGAAGATACAATGCAAGCTGTTGCTGTAACTCTATATGTAAGTTACATATTTAAATTAAATGTAATTTTTAACATATTTTAAAAAAAAAGAAACTTCTTTAATCTTTTTTTAATCAACTTTAGGATTTATTACATGAGTGCATTGTTACAAGTCATGAAGTATTTCAAAATTTTCTGTTTGATGATCCGGTGAATAATCCCATGCACAAAATGTTTAGCCATGTAGAACAAGCTCTTAGTTATCAATATCATAAAGCTTGGAAATATGTTATTATTGTGCTTGCAGGATTTTTTGAGGTAAGGATTCTATGAACCAATTATATGCATTTAAGGTAATTACTAAACCTTTGCCAAAAGAACCAATCTGGTTCTCAAAGTTCAACTAATTTATATTTATCGAAAATCAGAAAAACATCTTAATTCTGTTAACTAACTTATCAAATCTAACTGTTTTTCAAGATTAGACTATGTCAATATGAAAAGTTTTCATTTGTAATTTAGCATAATTCTTTGGCTGGGTTTGACAAATAACTCATATTCTATTTTGTAATATTCTATTTGTAGCAGTAGTTTTCTTATTTTCTCACCATTAAATTGTTTAACACTCTCGTAATTTGTGAACAAACATGTTAATATTTGTGGCCAACATTGTATACATGTTATAAAACTATGTATACAAAAATTTTAACAATTGTTACGTTGCTATTGCTATTAACATTGCTATTGCTTGTTACGTTGTAATTGCTAATCGAAATCAAGCATTAAAATTTAATCATTATTTGAATTATCAATTATTTGAATGTCACATATTGCATTTTTTAGACAGTTTAGATAGGATAGTTGTTAAATAGTGCAATGTGTAAACCAGTAGGATTTCATATGTACTAAAACGCTGCAAACATTAACGTCGTAATATAACAAGTTGTTAAAATAAATAAAATAATAAAGACAGTGATCACAGATTAAAAAGAATCGAAGACAAGATCTACTTTGGATGACTAGTATTGGTTGATTGTTTGCTGTAGGATCCCACAATGAATTGATCATAAAACACTCCCATTAGATCAATGAAGTAAAATATCATTGACTGCGGTTAGTGAGCGGTTGAGTGTCCACTTTGATCAGCCTGAGATGATATTTAGTATTGGTCCTAATCAAGCTGTTCCACCATTAAGTACTCGACTTTACACACAGTTTGTTGGGTTACCAAAATAGAGCTGTCATCCCCCTGAAGGGGATCAAAATTGTATTGTTATGCCAGTCTTTGTATCATCCTCAGAAATGTTTCCCAAACCGTTGCCAATAGCTCATTGTACAACTCCAGTGCGACATAAATAAAGCACTACTTCTACTGTCTGATCTTCGATTTTCTTTCTTTGATTGTCGGTTTTGCCTTGATTTGATAGTTAAATAATAGGGTATAATAAGAATGATTATTGACAATATCACTTAGCTTAATAAATCTATTAGAATTGTCTCTGAAATTTTGAGTAAGACATTGTCTATTAGTATGATATGAAAACAGTATGGTTTTCCATCTCATCACGTCATTTTGTTGGAAAAATAATTGCTATAAGTACATGATACATTAAAAAAAATATCAAGGGGAACCATAATAGTTATATTGGGTTAATACTAAAGAAAAAAATTTTTTTCTTCTAATTTTTTAAAAAATGAAGTTATCAGAATGTTTTAAATGGTAGAATAAACTAAGTTATAAATTTATAAAGGGAAACACCATTCACTTAAAGATCACCACTTTATCTTTTTTTAAAACTGACTAAATTAACATATCTATTTTGTTTTTTAGACCATGGGGAAACATTGTCATACAGCTATGATGAAAGTAAGTATTAATATAAAATTTGATTGAAGTTCATGTTTACTATACTATATGGTGTATTATATCCTTATAATAATTTATCTCTTTTTTTTGTTTTAAATATTGCTTTTTTAATTCTTATTATTGAATGTATTTTCTTTCTTTGTTGGGTCATTAGTATCATTCTTTAGCAAAGTTATGGTCATTTGCTGAAGAATTTAAGTTTCTTATATAATTTTTGTTATGATCCATATTGCAAATATTTAAAATTATCTACATAACTGTAATGTAATAAAAAGGACAATGTAATACTTTTTTAAGTAAAAAATCAAGAATCTATACACAGTGCACAGCAGTTTACCTTCTACCTTTTTTTTGCTTTTCTATTTGTTATAATTTTGATGACATTTTGAAGGTAGAAAATAAATTTTGAAAAAAAGTGGTATAGCTCCTCTATTTATAACAAATTTTTCATCAAACAAATGTGAATAGGTAAATGTTTACATTTTGTTAAAATACCATATCACACAAAATATATCATGTGATATTTAGTGCGAAACAAGTAACAGGTTAATCAAAGTTTAATGTGTGAAAATAAAGTATTTTATTGTTTAGTTATAAGTTTGTATTAACAAATTTCTTTATTAATTGAAAAAAATGTTGTTAGACTGTTGATATTATACTCAATTTATAATTTTGTATTTTATTTTCAAGTGTCTTCAGTCACTTGCTGATCTACATGACAGTTTTAAATTCCCACATGTGAGTGATGTTGAGAAAGCTCTTGGCATAGCTATTGAATACATGGGACCAAGAGTTGTATTGACTGCCATACCATTGCAGATTAGTGAAGAAAAGTAAGAATATTTTGTTCTATACTTTAAACTCTGTTATTGTAGTATTAAAAGTTAATTTAGGGTTGGGTTTTTGCCGTCAAAAACTGGTGTTTGACATGGCAGTGGTAAAAACCGTCAAAAACCTACTATTTTCTTTAATTTATGGCATATAGCTGACAATATATTATTTTCCCATAATTGCCTTTATAAATGAATGTTGTAAATGATTGCTATTGATTTTGCAACTATATACATGTGTTCTTATAGAAGGATATACATTCATACAGAAATATTGTAATATACTTATTGAAAATAGTGATACTTACTTTTATCATTATAACTTGATTTGCAAAGGATTCAAAATTTTTCACTTCAAGAAGAATTTAAAATTTGGCATCTCTTATATATTAGAAATAAACTAAACAAAACTTTCAAAACTTGTAACTGCTAACAAACTCTAAGTCAGGAGTTACTGCTATTTTGTCAAGTTAAAAACTTTTATTCAGTTGAAAAAGCACATTAAACAAAACTTAATTACGAACAAAATTACATGCTCAGTAGTCGGGGTCACTGTGCCAAAGCATATGATAGCAAGTCACTAGTTTTGGCATTTTTCATTGCCTAGTCGATTTCTGAGTTTAGTATGGATAAGTCCAAAATTGGAGAAGATTCTTTTAATGGATGCGGAACTGGATGGGCAGGACATTAGCACTTGAATTAATTTACTATGGGTTTTGACATGACGGTAAAAACCGTCATGTGTCAAAAATTTGTGAGATGTTTCCGTACCAAAATAAAAACAGTTCTTTATTTTAAAATCAATTTACCAATTTTCTTCTTTGCTCTTATTTTAATATTTTTATTTGTTCATGTTTTGTTACGTTAAATTATAATTTCTTTTTGCATTTAACATCATATATATACATATTTCATTATTAGACCTGATTTTCCTCGAAGTTGGCTGTTACCTCTTCTAAGAGATCACATAAAAAAAACAGAACTGGGCTTCTTCAGTAAATATTTCTTGCCTTTAGCTAAGAAAATAAAAAATAGAGGTAATTTATGCTATTTATCTAGAAAGCTTTAAACTTATGCATCCTCTGTTTGTTTAATATAGTAAATAAATCTATTTTTCTTTTTAAGCCTTGGTTTTGAAACAAGAAGAAAGGATTGTAGAGAGCAAATTATTTGAAGTTATATATTCTCAAGTAAAGTACCTTATTTCTCTACAAACAATTGTTGTAAAAGTATTTTATAAAAAAAATATTAAACATTATTCTTTGTTTCTCCTTAATAAGTTACAATTTTTTCAAAAAATTATAGATTTGGTCATTATTACCTGGATTTTGTACAGAGCCTACTGATTTTGAAATGGTATGAATATATTTATTCACTTGCTTTTTATTGAAAGTTAACATTTCAAAATATTTTATTAATTTTTAAGTATTAAATATTTATTCAAATCAGTCATTTTGAAATGCTTAATTTATTCAATGTAAATGATTAACTTTGGGAAGATGGTATATTGTATCATAAAGGATTAACGGGCATAATTTAGATGATAAAACAATTGTCCAAAGCAATGGAAAGCTGCTTGTTATGATTTTTTATCACCATAAACAAAATTTTTTTATAAGCATTAGGATAAAACTAGTATGAAGTTTCTTATTTTGTGAAAAATTGAATAGGGTTATAGGTTTTGCTGGACATGTTTTTCCCTTGAATCCATAATAGACAACAAAAACAAAAAAACTAATCTTTCTTATGTTTAATTATTTTTTAAACTATCATCATTTTTTTTGTCTTATAATTTTGCTTGTTTAAGTTTTTTCTTAAAAATTTAAATTTATACTTGTTAATAAATTACATATTCAGCTTTGAGATTTTATGGCCCATGAGAATGCATAAATAATTGTTTAATTGGAAGAAATTATAAAAGTTATTTTATGTAAAGCATTTTAACATTTCATATTGCATATTCAAATTTGTTATTTATTATTAAAAACATGGTACCTGATGGGCTTTTTGCTTGTTAAGTCTTAGTGTGAAATTCCTAAAGTTAAATAATGCAGGAGAATAGAACCTAACAAGTGTTTTAAATTGGGGGAAGCACACAAATTAATTTCTCCTAAATAAACAACTTTCTCTTTGAATAACACGACAAGAAATTGGCACATTATCTGGAAAAACAACAGGTAAAGTGATGTCTTTTGGTTATCAGAATCACTTAGGGGGTCACTAATCACTTAAGCCATTAGAATTAGATGCTAAGTGACTATATATTAAAGATTAATATAATGTATAATAGTAGTGACATTCAAGATTTCATTACTTATTTATCATATATTCTAAAATATGAAGGCAATTTCATATTATTATATTATTTCAGCATCTTTTTTTTTATCGATTTATATATATATGAATTTTTAACGACAAATAGTTTTTAAAAATTTTTTTTAATAACTTAGAAGATTGTACAGTTTTGATTAGAATTGAAATCGAGGAACAAAATTCTTGCTTCTGATTTTTGTTATCACAAGGCAGAACTTGCTAAGACATTTTTTGTAGCTGTGTATTTATTTATATAAAAAATTAATAAGATTTGTATTTATTATTTTAATTAGTATTTTTTCTTTAAATTTCAAAGTGCTGGATTTATTTTAATTTATTTTCAACAAATGTTTAGAGCTTTACGACTGATGGAACAAGTGGTAAAGGTTTACCTCCAATGCTTGCGGATGTTTTGAAGACAGACCCGCCATTACGCTTGACAATACTAAGTGCCCTCAGGTTGCTGATAACAAAAAATGCAAATAATGGTAATGCTATTTCTAACTTAGAGTTGAATATCAGGGTTGATATTTTTTTTCCTGTTAGAAAAAACTGCCCTGAAGGACGTAATTTTCTTCTAACCTAAGTGTAAAGAATGGAAAAATTTCTTTTTCAAAATGAACTATCAGATATTTAAACAACTTTTATAAAAAATTTAGTGACAAATCTAGTTTAAAAAATATTGATTTTCAAATATTAAATACAAATTTTTTAAATAAGTGAAAATTAAACAGAAAAATAAATAATGAATTTCTTATAAAACTTAAACAACTGTAATTTTTCCCAATATTTGACATAAAGGAGTTTATTAAAATTTAATATTATAATTATACAAAGAGCTGTTAAAATATTATAATCAAATTTTATATTTCGAATTAAATTAACAAATCCCATACTAAACACATACTTTACCTGGGCTGCTAACTTTCGACAGTTTTTGAGAAATTTTCTTCCTTGTGGTAGCTAAGTGGTTTTAATGTATTATTCTTTGTTTTGAATTTGATTTAAAGTTATTTTCTACAGCACTACTTGTAAATGATTCAAAAGTTTTTCTTGGCAGTCACATTGTTCCACCTTTCTCATTTTGAAAAAAGCTACCACCTTCCATCTTTCTCATTTGTTGGTAAAATTAAAAATCTTGAAAGTTTTATATGAAATATTTTGCGAAAAGTGGTTGATGATTTTTCTGGGTGTATGCATGTGATATTCTGTCTGTAGTAAATGATTTTTTGTGTATGGCCAAGAAAGCACATTTTCAAAAGATCAAATTTTAATTAAAATGCCAATAAAATTTGCATTTCAACTAAGAAATTAAAATTGATCTATATCTGGCATGTTTAAAATATATTTATAGATATTGCTTAGTGACAGAATTAATCTGAAGTGAAAATTTTCAAATTATACTCTCTTATTCAGTACAGAAAAAAACAAACATTTGTAGAGCTTTTTAATTGTATATCGGTCAGCAATATTTTGTTATAAAATAAAGTTTGTACTATGAAATGTATGGTGTTGATTTGTTAGTTTATTAGCTGTTTATTATCTATTTCTTAGAAAGACAAATTGAAACCATGGTCAAGTATTCAAGTAATTATCTACCAGTACTTTTTAACCTTTACTCACCCGATTCTAAGGACCAAGTAGAAGACAATGTTCGCCTTGCCACTTATGAAACAATTAAGATTTATCTTCAGATCGCTAAAAAAGAGGTAAATATGTTTTAATGTTGTTTTGTTGTTCAAAATCTTTTTTTTTTTAATAACATGAAAAGGAAACCTTGAAAAATTTTAATATGAGTTAGGGTCTTCATTATGCTCATTAATTTTATCGTTTAACAACATTTTTATAAAATTTAGCAGTTTTTTCTTATTATTGCTGTTAAATTAAGTTGTCTAGTCTTGAAAGGTTTTCGGAAACATGAACTTCATTGTCTTAATAAAATATACTTTAATCTGATCCTTAAAGTCTGACTATTCATTTCAAGAAAGGAGCATGTTGAAAAAATGATTCTTGTTTTGAGTATGTTAAATCTGTTCTGCTTTTTTAAAAAAGTGTGGCAGTTTTATGTAGCGCTTGTAGACTTTGAATACCTAAGTTAAAACTAAAAACTATCAAGTGCTTTTAATATTTTTTTCTAAAAGATAACTCATGGAGCTAGTTACTTACATTAACTGCAATTCTTGTGAATTTTTCTTAAATTTGAGAAATTAAGAAATTGCTACTTTAAAAAGCTGAAAACTGGTCCCATATGATTTTGATCAGTGTTTGCAATATGTATTTTGATAACATATGATTATCATTATTAATACTTTGTGAAATGCTTTGTGAAATTTCCATTTTTAGTAACAGTTTTTAAAAAGCATTTTTTTTTTGTAAGAGGCTAGCAATTTTTTCATCATTAGCTGCCTGAAGCATAACTAACTTATAAGTTAGTATTAATTTGAAATTTAATTATTCCTTAACAACATTTTATAACTAGTTTCTAAAATTCTTCCCTCGAAAGAAAGTCTTGCTTTGTTACAAACAGCAGGTATCCTTTCATGTAAGGTAAGTGAAATGTTAAGATTTTATATGAGCTGTATTGTTACAATTTATAAATGTAAATTATGGTTTTAAATTAACTGAAATATGTTTCTGAACAATAAATAAAATATAAGTTTATAAAGAATTAGTATAAAACACATTTCTGATTTCTCAAATATTTGTAAATTAATTTGGTGTAAAAAATTCATATAAATATAAGCTGATGTTTCTAAAACAAATTTTAAATCTCACACTTAGGCAAATCCTTATCAATAAATCTTACAATTTGGTTGATTTTTTAAAATCTTATGTGAAAAGCAGACTTAGGAATTTGATTCAAACTATATATAATCTAACCACAGTCACAGATTTTAATTTGAGTTACTTTTAATTTTCACATTTAATCATTTTTCATTTTCTGTTTTAAATCATCTTTTTTTAATGAGTTAAATAATTGTGCGAGAGCACAAATTTGTTCTTTGGCAGAAGTACCAGAGGTTTCAAAAACAAAAAAAAGTCATTTTTTTGAAAAGTTTTATTTATCTCACAATTTGTTTTGACATTTAATGTTAAAAGCAGACTTAGCAATTTTATTCAAACTAATTCTAATCTTACCACTGACAGATTTTATTCAAGTTATTTCTAATTTTCATATTTAATCATATGTTTTAAATCATAAACAGGGATGAGATATTTCCGCTTTTTAGCTGATTTCCGCTTTTTTCATTTTTATCTCTTGAATTTCAGCTTTTTTTTATCAAAAATTCAGATTTTTCTAAAAATTTCACTTTTTTTATAAGTATTCCGCTTTTTCAGAAAATTCACCCATTTTCAAAGAGAAACAGAAGATTCAAACTACATAGCTACCAATCCTTTCTCATTTTTACTTATTTTAGCTATTTTCTCCCCTTTTACTCGCAGCAGATAAGATTTTCCGAATTTTTTACCCGCCCTCCAGATAGATCCGATTTTTGTAGTTCAAACGACGCTGTTTCTGACAAGCCATTTAGAGGTCCCAAGCCTGGAGTCTGCCAATATCTCGATTCTTATTCACACGATTTTAATATCAAACATAGCTTTTCATATTTGCGTGTTGNATATATAATTTTTAAGAAGTGTTATTTATCTTAAAATTTGTTATGGTTTTTAAAATTTAATGTGAAAAATAAACTTAGCAATTCATTTTAATAATTGCTTTGTGTGGATTAATTCACTCTTTTTAATTTTTAGGCTTGCATTTCATTTTTTACTAAAGCATTGGAAAAACTGTCTACAATTAACGATGATGTTTTCAAGCAGTATGTTTATCTTTAATTCTCTCTCTGTTTCTTTCTTTTTTTTGAAACTGTATACACTTCAGGAATTTTAATTTGTTTTATTTTAAAATTTAGGACCACTTTAATTGATATTACTAAGGCTCTTCTTCCTTATATTGACGAAACTCTCATAGAAAAATTGTATGAATTCTGTAAACCATTATTAAAGGTAAAAGGTTTTATTTAAATTATTAATATGTATATTTTATTCTTATAGATTCTTAATTTCTACCAAACACAAAAGCATTACTCTTTTGCTTTAGATCCTTTGAAAAATTAGAATAACTCTATTTTTGTAAATAAAGAATATGAAAACTCTCTTATACATATTTTTGCTTTACAAAAATTTCTAATGTTATAAAATGTATTAAATTTCTAATGTTATAATATTAATAAATTTTTTCCCCATTTTTTAAAATTTTGTAAATAGGAAAATTTTTACATAAAATAACTCAAAATAAAAACCTTTTGTTTAAAAATGAACAAAGGGACAATGTTTTATTCATTAGTAATTAATATAACTGCCGGTAATAAGTAAGAATTATACCACTCCTAATTTTTATTAAAGTATAATTACTTGCAATGATGCTATCATTAATTAAGAGTCAATTATGGAAAATATTAAAAAGGATCCGCCAAGTTTATTACAATGCCCGAAATTGTATACTGAAAGTTGTTCACTTGGAGTAAAAGTTATGAGCTCATTAGAGGTCCACAATAATCCAAAGCTTTGATCTGGATAAAACCTTAGTTTATGTTCTACTATTCAATATTTACTAATACAGTATGCCTAGAACCAACATGTTACAAAGGCTATTTTTATAATGTTAATAATACCTGTTTAGAAATTAGCAAATTCCTACCCATATTGCTTAGAAGTTCTACCGACGTTTGAAAATATCAAAGTTAAATTATTTTGAGGTGAAAAGCTAACTATTAATGCTAATGATGAAGAAGAAAATAAGGTTTTGTTAAAGTTTAAGAAAAATGTCTTAAACAACACATTTGATCTTCATGCAATAGTTGATGAAAATGTTGAAACTATTAGTTGATGAATGTTGTCCCGCTTTTGGTTCAAAAAAGAGTTGCAATAGCTGGAGTAGTAAAGTTATGCTGATGAAGATTGTAAAATGAAACTGCAACCAGATGCTGAAGTCTTCAATGGCTAAGAAGTAATGAGCATCATTCTGTATTTACGTGAGCATACAGGAAATAAACAACAATCTGTTACAAATGTCAATTTTTTGTTTTGTTTATTTATTTATTTTTATAAATTTTTTTTTTCTTTTACCGAGAAAGAAAGAGTATTCAAACCAAAATTTTTCAAATATTTTAAGTAAACAAATGTAGTCATTGTTAAGTAAGCAAATGTAGTCATTTATTATTTACATAATTTTTTCAATGAAATTTTTTAATAATATATTTATTAATTTTCAAGCCCATTGCCTCTTTATTACTTTTCATTGATTTTTAAGTCATAAATGAATTTTTATGTTGACCCACATTCAACGTTTTCCAGTGTCGATCGTTTCCAATGAATGATCCCATTAAATATAATCGATCAAGTCTGTACTGTATATAAAACTGATCTAGTTGATTATGAACATAGGATTCAGTGAAAGAAAATTTTGAGTTAGATCTTGAAATGCAAGATTTGTGGGTCTGTTTTATGGATATAATCAATTCAACCAAGAAATCATCAGATGATTTTTGCCAGCGTGTATGTCACAAAAGTGCACAAAACAAAGAAACTTTCGATAACAGAACTGTTACTTAGTTTCCAATTAATCGCAAAATAGCCTTCTTTGTATGACAACTTATTTTCATTTTGTATGATCTGGAGTATGATGATTTTATTTCCCCCCATATTTAAATCCAAATAATGAATGAGTCTTAATTCTATTCTATGATGAATTCTGCATAAGATCTTATTTTCTTACTTCACAAAAGCAGATTTTCAATAATTAACATTTAAAGTGCAACCATAACAACCTTGGTATAAAAACAACCTTGTTTCATAATAAGTCAATTTTAAAAATGTTTTCAACCCTTCTTTAAAGCCATTTTGCATGTTAAACACTAAATTTAAAGTATGTTTGGTAGAATCATCATATAATGTTGGTTTATTAATTTAATTTAAAGTTCTGTAATTTCTTAATTGAAAAAAAAAATCACTTTCATTATGTTCATATTTCTGTTTTGTTGCATAAATAAATTGTTTGCATTTATGGGTTCCCTAATAATTTTTCTATGAAATATTTATCTGCTACTTTGTTTTTGAATCTTGAATTTTTTTTAAAAATTGTACTTTAGCATTCAAATCATACTGTACAAAAGAAGGCATTTGGAGTTATAAAAGAAATTTGTAGCTGCAACTCTGAACCCTGCTTAAATTTTATGAAGGCTTCTAGAGATGACCTACGTTTAGTCCTAAGTGAACCTATTACAACTTTGCCACCAGCAACAAAAGCTGTAAGTCACATTTATCATAATTAACTTTTGTTATGTTCTTTGAGGCATACCTTCTGAAAAATATAAAATATATAATTTGTTTTTAATAAAATTGTTTTGTTTTAAATTTTTAGTTACGTTTAATTTGTCTTCAATGCATGGTTTCACAATTTACTATAATCGAAGTGGAGTGTATCAAAGAAATAATTCCTGAGGTAAGTTGATTCTTAAAAATATTTAAAATCTATAATTATTTCCTGAGTGTTTATGTTCTAGTTAAGAAACCTGTTGAAAATATAAAGTCAGCTTGTTTCCTAATATCCATATGTCCAGAAAAAAAAGTGGTTAAATAAATATAATATCTGAAAAATTTTGTTCTGTATCTAAATTAATATTGCAATGCTTTAATTTTAGTTAAAAAATATATTATTTGTGATAATCTGTTAGTTATTGAGAAGTTACTTTTGAATGATATGAACTTATCAAAAACAATGCTTAAATTATATGTCAATTTAGAGGGAAAAAAACTTTCATGTTTTTACAGGAAAATGCTAGGCATTGTCCATTAAAGTATGGCTTTAATAGCCGTTTTGCACTCTTTTAAATGTTTATTAACTATATCTTGTAAACTTTAAAATGTAAATTTTTGATAGTATTTTCAGCACAAGACCACATTTTAACTAAGGAATGTTTGGTAATGTTAGTAAATAAAAGTAATCTAATTTTGAGACTTATTATTAATATTGATGTTTCAGATTGCAATCTTTCTTTTCATCCATTCACTTCCAGATATTTCTTTGCATCAATTTTTGTTGTGACATAGATAGTAAAGAAGCAAGACTTACAATTTGTAATGAAATCTTACCAATCCATTAATTACCAGTCGGCAACTGATTTCTTTCTTTTTTTCTTCTTTTTTTTTAATAAACGATTTTTTTAAAATCTGAACTAATAAAAGTAAGCAAGATCTTAAATTAGGGAGCATATAAAGGAAATGTTTTAGTTTTCTATCCACAGCAGTTTTCTATTGTTTCAAAAATAATATATTCCTTTTAACTTTTGTTAAAAGCACAATGCTAGCTTATTATTGTAATTTATCTTACTAGGTAATATCCTTGAACATTTAATTTTGTTCTTTTAACTAATGTAAACCATAGTTTGAACTTAAAGGTTTTATGATTTTTATTTTGTTATTTGTTTTTCACAATGGTTTTAAATTTCACAGAAATATCAGCTTTTTATTTTATTATTTGTTCTAAAATGATTTTTATAAATTTCACAGGAATAAACTTTAAAATATAATAAACAAACACTTACATTTAAATTTGTTATACTTTTAGATAGTAATTGCTATTTTTGATCTTTTTGTTGATACTATATTAATTATTTCTTTCACATGTATGTTGTTCAGTGCATTTTTATATCCTTTATTATTTATCATTATGCTAAACCAACAAAGTGCATGTGATGCTGATTTAGAAAAGAATTGAGTAGGTGCAAGATAATGTTTAATGACCTCTCATCTCTATTCAGTATAAAAAAATATCATTTGCTTAGGCTCTTAAGTAACTGTGTGCTAATTTTTTTAAAAGTTTTTTTGTTTTGTTTTTTTGAAAAATTTAAATTAGAATATTTTTTTAAAATTTATTATTATCCATTTTTAAAAACTCAGATGTGACTTTTTTTTATTATCTGAAAACATTAAAACCTTGCTATTTGGTAATACAATATTTTACACAATTAAGACCTATTTATTTATGTAGAATTCTCCATATAAATTTAGGGAAGAAAGAAGATTTTTTTAAATTATTTTATAAGTTAATTTGAAATTTTACTGGGATACCATTTTTTTAAATAATGTTTTTAATTCATTATAGAAAAAAAATGCTTAGTGTATGTGTTTTTTCTAAAAATATATTTATGAATTCTTATTTTGATTTTAAGGTAATAATGTTACAATATATTGTTTATTAATTATAGGCTGTTTTATCTACAAAAGTAAAATCTCAAAAAGCAAGAATTGCAGCATATAGCTTGTTAGTTGCAATTGGTCATTACTTTAAAAAAATAAATCCTGATGATATGAAAGGTAATAACTTAAAATTTTTTATTTTTTAAAATTATTCTTTAATTGAATAGTTATATTATGATTATGTTTTACAGCATTAGAATCGAGCTTAATGACTTTAAAAGAAAAATTACTTTCTTGTAATTGTTTGATAAGTTATGAAGAAAAAACCTCTTTAAATTTTAAGAAATTCATTCCTAAAATTCATTCACTGTATTTTTCCATCCATTATTTGAGAGTAATTACTAAAGCTCAGATTTTGATGACTTTTATTTTTTATAAATGCTTATGCATTTTTGTACATTTAAGCTGGTCGGGTATATATATATATATTTAAAAAGATTTTTAGGACTTTTTTTTTGAAGGGTGGATATATTTTTTATTTTAGGGAATTTTTTTAAAAAACTTGATGGCTTTTTTTGAGATTTTTAGAAGCACTACCAAATTTTTGAAGCTTTCACTCATTTGTAACTCCCATAGATTGTTCTATTTGAAAATAACTTAGAAGGCTTCAGTTGATTTGTAGATGATTCAGAAGTATTGTGTGTTTAAAAAATGCATATTTTAACTTTGTTTCAGAGTTTGGTTCTTCAACAGTGTACCTCAGCCAAAGCAGTTTTCTTTTCTTTTTTAATCTTTTTTTTGTTAATATTAATTTCAAAATCTAATGAAAAGTACCTCTCATTATCTCTTAATTAAATTTTTTGACACAATTGTAGGCTATATGAAATTACAGTAAACAAACGTTTTTTCGTATTTGTTTAATTACAAGTTTTTTTCTTTTCATTTTAAGGATATTTTTTGACGTTTTTAAGGGCATTAGTAGGGATTTTGGTCATCAAAATCTGGGCTCGAGTAATTACACTATTTTCATTTAAAGATTTTTTGTTCATACGTTTTTCCCAGTTTCTTGGCTCAGAGTTACCTGCAATATAATACATAGTGCACTTGGAAAGTAATATTAATGAATTTAAAGTGAATCTTAGACTCTTTTTATCCTACCTGGACCAGTCAGAATCAGTACAGGGGGCAGGCATCTAACACATGTTAATCTAGGGATACAATCGAGGCAGTAAGAAGAGGCATTTTCATGAAGCTTATATTTGTATCCTATGCTGAACTACATGTAGCACTCAATGGATTGCCATAAAGATTTAAAGATTTTTTATGGTAAAAATAGCCTTTGATGATAATTTTGTAGTTGATATAGACTGACTTGACAATGGACATTGATTCTTCCTGGGGGCGGGCACCAATGAATTTTTTGAGGGTTGTGTAGGGAATTCTTCAGCTCTGACTCTTGGTTCGCCATGACAACTGTCTTTGTTTTGATTCACTTTTAGGTGATTTAAGAGTCCCAATAATTTCCCACCTACCTTATAATCCTGAATTGGCACCATCAAACTTCTGTTTTTGTTCCTACACTTGAAAACTTATGAAAGAACACCATTTGGGAATAATTGGTAAGCTGAAGAGGCTTGCACTAAAGCTCTAAAGAACCTTCTAGAAAAAGCTTGTCCTTGCTACTCGGATGGTCATAAACAATTGAGTGACAACAAATGTATAAACTGGTGACCCCTTTGCTAACCATGTTAGAGCAGGTATAAGTTTCACAATAAGTTCTGCGTTATTGCCTTTTTGATGTATCTATCTTCTGGTTAATTCATTTTATTATTATTATTTTGTGACATGCAATTCTAACTAAACTTTTTTTTATTTGGAAAAAATCAATTATTTAAATACTTATGTACAAAGGCATGATCAATTTCTTACATTGAATGAGAATTGGCTGTTAAAGTATTTGTATAATTTTTTTATTATTTTTGAGCAAATTTTTTTTAATTTTTTCTTTTGTATTAATGTTAGAAATTGCCTGTAAATGAGTAGTATGAATAGAATAAATGAATAGTAATAGATTAAGATCACATTTTGTTACATTAAATTTCTGAGTTATAGATTTTCACAAAATACTACTTACTCAAGTTTTTTCTTGCTGATAACCTTAAACGCTTTGAGAATTAAGTAAAATTCTTCAAAATTAATTGATTAATTTGCTATTACTTTATAAAATATTTCGTTCAAAAATAAGTTGTTTGCCTTCCAATATCAGTCAGTTAGATGGTATAAGATGGGCTAAGTTTTCTGCTTTTCTCTCTTTATTTAAAATCCATTAAATGCCAATGTTACCTATTCCCAGAACATGTGCTTTTTGCTGAAAAATAAAAAGTTATAATTGAATTATTCTTAATTTGATTTCAGTCTTAGTTTATATCAATCTACATTATGAAGTAGATCGATACATTATGAACAATGATAGCAATGTAGTTATTTGAGGGAAAATATATAATATCCAGAGAGAGCAGTATAAAATACTTTTCACTCGAAAAAGTTTTTTAGACTTAATAAATTTTTTTGTATTTTTTAATTTTAGAATTTTTTCTATATCGATTTTTAGTGGTCGACTTTTACACCTGTCATATCAGAAGTACGTTATCTTATAATCAAAAGTATGGATTGACTTATACTTAAGGATATACATTATATATATATAAACATTTAGCAAACATTAAATGCTGTCAAAATTTTGATAGTGAAGTTTGTTACCATTAAACATTAAAAAAGTGTGTTGGAATTGAATGTGTGATTAGTAAAATGTGAAGAATTATGGTGGTACACCTAGTTTGTATGAAAAAATCCCAGTTATTTCAGATGATCAAAATATTTTTTTTATTTTTTTTAAGTGTATGCGCGTTACATTTTCTACATAATTTATTCATTCGAAAACATAACATTTGATATTTTTTTGTAATTAAGCAAAATATAATTTACTTTTTTTCTTCAAATAATTTGTATTATAAATAAGAACTTTTAAATGCTGTTAATGATTCGATAATAAGTGTTTATTGAATACTGAAATTAATGTTTTTATAAATTTTTTTTGTTGTATCAGGTGTCAGTTAAATTAATTGTAATTGCTGTTCCACTAGCTCAATCTGTTTCTGGCTTTTGTCAAAAAAAAAAAAAAAGCATTTCCTAATGCATGTTTAATTTAACTTTTACTTTTTTACAGGAAGAGCGTTATGTTTTCTTGGGTTTGATTGCTGTTAAGATAAGTTTAAAAGCGTGAAAAAAAATGTTGTGCAAAGTTTTTGATAATCTTGTAACATTTTGTGTGAAACATATATTGCTTTATAGCTTAATGCTGTTATAAATAGTAGCATAATTATTAATTTTTTAAAATATTCCTTAATTAATTTTTATTTTCTTATGCAGATTAATATATAATTATGGTCTATCTAAAGATGCATACCATTATTATACTGCTTTTACATAATTAGTTTTTAATGTTTCATTATTTAGATTGAAACTTTTATTTTTTAGAGGGTTTAAAACAATATTTGGCTCTTCTTCTGGCTGGCTTAAGAGGAGATCCTCATATGATGAGTGCCACAATACTTTCTATTGGCAATATCATTTATGAATTTATGGGTTTGTGGAGAATTCTTTTATACTTCTTATTTTTGCATGAGAACTATTTTATATTCAATAAAAGTAAGCAATTTTATATACAATTCTAATAGCAGATTATATTGAGATTGTAGAAAGCTTGTTTTATATTTTATGTTGAATGTTATTTTACATATTTATTATTTTACATACTTTGGCATATATTTAATGTTAAAATTGCAATAAAATGATTAAAAAATAAAATAGACATATTTACATTTACATTTTTTATCTAATGTTGCTCACTTAAATTGCAGAAAAATTTAATTCCTCAAAAAATATTTGTAATTTCAAAAGACTAGTATTTTTAACAGTTATAAATTAAAATTTTTTGTATCTTTAATATTAGCACTGAGATGTTGATTTGGAAATTTGTCACTATATAATGTTTTTTGTAATATCCTAGACTCATTAAATCGAGCTTTTACTTTTTTATAATATAATATTTTATGAAAACATATTAATAGCCATTCTTTGTTTTCCTTTTGATTTTCTGAAAAAAATGTTAACATTTTAAAAATATCAGAAATTGTTTAGACAAACTGTTATTGATTTAAAAATTATGAATGAATAGGTAGTTCAGCACAATTATGTGCAAATCAAGAACTTTATGAACAAATGGTGCATTTTTATTTAATTAATATATTGGAATATGTATGTTTTTTTTTATATTCTAGCTGATATGGAGTTAAATTTGGTCCACCTTTTGATTGAAAATTTGTGTGAGTTGCTTAAAATATCATGTCGTGAAGTGTTAGATTCTGTATTATCTGTCTTAAAAATCATAGTTAGTAAAGTGGATACAATGATATTAGCACAACATGTGGAAATTTTGGTAAGCTAGAGTCTTAATTTTTATGAAGTTATATATATTTAGTTGTAAAAATAAGCATATAAATCCAATTCAATTGCTGTTTTAAAAATTAATAGTAAATTTTATGAATAATTTTTCTTTTTAAGTTTTAAAGCAATAACTTTATTCATTCTACAGATACTGTTTTGTTTACATTTATTATTTTCTGTTTTAATAAAAAATTCATTTAAAGTAATCTCAATGCAGTTAGGCATGAAGTATCTAAGCTAAATAAGGTTANGTTGCTTAAAATATCATGTCGTGAAGTGTTAGATTCTGTATTATCTGTCTTAAAAATCATAGTTAGTAAAGTGGATACAATGATATTAGCACAACATGTGGAAATTTTGGTAAGCTAGATTCTTAATTTTTATGAAGTTATATATATTTAATTGTAAAAATAAGCAAATAAATCCAATTCAATTGCTGTTTTAAAAATTAATAGTAAATTTTATGAATAATTTTTCTTTTTAAATTTTAAAGCAATAACTTTATTCATTCTACACATACTGTTTTGTTTACATTTATTATTTTCTGTTTTATAAAAAATTCATTTAAAGTAATCACAATGCAGTTAGGCATGAAGTATCTAAGTTAAATTAGGTTAATATAAATTCCAGAACTTGAAAAGTTCAGCTATAAATTTTTTTTATAACTTAGTAATAGGTTAGTTGTAAAATGAACTTCAACTAACCTATTATTACTACACTATTATAATTTAAAGTATTTAGTTTCCTTAAAAGTGACCAAGTTTTTTTTTTCTCTCTCTCTCTTTCTCTTTACATTAAGTAAAAATAACTAAGCATTTTGTGACATTGTTTAATGAAAATATATTTGTGTTGTTATTTTTAATATTTTCTGCCTGGCATTAAAATAGTAAGAAAACTTCAATTCTGGATACTATTCATTAAACAAATATTTTAATAATTTTAGGCCTAAAGAGCATAACTTTAAGCTAATAATCAGTAGTGCGTATTATTTTATAGCAGTGTTTCTATGCTTTTTAACTATGCTATCTCTCACTTAACTTATCTAAAATTCTTGTGCTCCTAATACTACAAAACTAAAATGTTCTCTAAAATTGTAATCATAGATTTTAAGAAGAATAACTGTAAAATGCAATAAAATCAGATCTGCTAACATGGCAGACTTAAGTTGTTTATAATATTGGATGTTTGCCCAGCCAGAATAGAGACTGAGAGATGAGGTAAAACCTAAACACCGTTTTCGAATTGTGCCCCATTATCATCACCCAGATTAGGAAACACATTTATACCTATTGCTTTTGTAAACATATCAATTTGTGAAACTTTTTGAATTTTTTTATTAAGTAAAGGAAGGTTAGATTATGCTTTATTCTTAAATTTTTGAAACTGATTTGATTAACTAGTTTTTTGAAAATTATTTTATATTTGTAGGTGAAAGGTTTGACTAATATTGCTGATGATCAACAAAGACACTTCAGGTTTACAGCTAAAGAATTACTTACAAGATTTGTTCGAAAATTTGGGTAATTTTTTCTATTTTTATTCCATATTTCTTTTTTTATTTTTAATTTTTCGTCATATTAAAATTTTCTTTTTACTTCTCTAGATATGAAATGATATTTAAATTGGCTTCTGAAAAATCCCAGAAACAGTTAAGAAACATTAGAAAATTAGAAGTTCGCAGACAGCGCAACAAAGCTTTGAAAGGGGCAGGAGCAGAATCTGATGAGGAAATGTTTGATCAGAATACAAAAGAGTATGTTTACTTTGCTTTCCTTTTATTCTTATATACATTTTAAAATACATATAGAATCAGAAAATACATTTAAGTTAATTCAACAGAGAAAAAGAAAAATCATTAATAAATAAAATGTGTCTAGAAATGTTTAAAATTTAAAAAAAATAAAAACATAAATAAAAGATAGTGGGATGTATTTTATAGCACATTCTTACTGTAGTAAAGAACAGTAATACATTTGATTTATCAATTATGTGGTTCTGTACTAGAGTAAGAATGTGCAGTACTGTACTATGTGGTTCTGTACTAGAGTAAGAATACATCCCACTATCTTCTATTTACGCTTTTATTTTCATATTTTGTAATCTGGCAAACTTGTTACGATAATATTTGAAATCATTTTTGCAAGATGCCGGTAAGTGGAAAGACATTTGAATTAGCTTCTCGCTTTATATGTTAAATTTTATGTTTTATTCTGTATTTTCCTTGAATTTATGTATTTTATTATTATTTTTTTTGTTTGATATGTTTAATTTTGTATTTTTTGCGTACTATGTTTTGTTTTCATTTCAATTTTTTTGGTGCTCCTCACATATTATATTTTGCTTTGATATATGTGTTGATGTATATGTATGTACAGTAGAGAACCGATTATCCGGAACAATTGGGACCATTGCTATTCCGAATAACTGATTTTTCCAATTATCTGAATCACTACAAAAAACCGTTTTTTTTTTAATTGTTAAACCCAACTAAAAATATATATATATTTGGAAATAATCTTAAAACTGATTTGCCACTTGCTGACATGCGTTTACAGAATAAAATTCAACAAGCTGAAAGAGCCATTTTCATTTGTGTCATTAACGCAAATTGTTTTCAATATTCCTATTTGAGCCGTGACGGCTTAGAAGATAGAGCGTTCGTCTTCCAATAGGGTGAGCCAATTTCTAATCCCAGCGATGGCTGGTCAATACGAATTCCGCATCCGGCTTGCACCAACTATAGTTTGTATAGCTTATAAAAAATTTGTTCTTGTGAAAAAACACCAATTTTTAAGGAAGAAAAACAATAATGAATTATGGAGATGATTGTAAGAAGCGAGAAAGGTATGGAGCCACTTAGTTTTTATAAGAATTGATATTTTGAGAATCAAATTGTTAACTATTGTTTCTTCAAAGAGCTTACACAATATTAAAACTTTTTGAGTTTTGAAAAAGTGATTTGCAACGACATTTGACCCAGACCATAAAACCTATGTCCAACCCTCCACTTCAATAATGCTGAATAATATATTTTTCTACTTTATAATTGGTATTATACTGTTTATTATTGATATTCATTGTAGTTCATTTGTGGCGTATATCTACCACTATAAATATTAAATACCAATTCCTGAGTATATAAGACATGTTAACTTGAATCCACTTGAGGTATCTTTTGATAGATGAAGGGTTGACATAGTCTAAAGATTAAATCCCCACATTGGTGACATGCGGACATGCCAATACTGATGGATAATCCACATTAAACAGTTGATTTGCTTAAAATATACTGCTCAAAGAAAGAGCAAAAAACAAAAAAAGAAAAAAAAGAAGAAGAAAAATTCCGGTGAGGTAAATAAAGTCTCCTGGTCAATAAACAAAAATGAAGGGAAAAAATTAACGAAATGCTATAAAAACAGGAAAAGAATTATGAGCGAAATGATATAAAAGAAATAATATACTACAATGAGCTAAATGAAATGAAGAAAAAAAAAATAGCATGAATCAACTAGGGGAATCAGTTCATCGAATTCTATCATAGATAAAATTCTGGAAGGGGAGTAATGTGGCATATATCTACCACTATAATATTAAATACCAATTCCTTAGTATATAAGACATGTTCATTTGAATCTACCACTATAAATATTGAATACCAATTCACTAGTATATAAGATATGACTTGATTCTATCTTGAGGTACCTTTTGATAAATGAAGGTTGTCACAGCTAAAATTTAATTCCCCACACATTTGTGATCCTCTAGATAAAACTTTCACTATTTAAACTTTTATAAATAAAAAATTGAGCACCAAAAATAATGAATAAAATCAAGAAATGATCATTTAATATAACTAACATTAATTGTTTCTCTTACTTTGATTATAATTTCAGCGATATCTTTCCTTCCATAGTAACAAGCAATGTACAGAGGAGAATATTTAGTTATTGGATGAATTCTGCCATCAGCACCATTTTCAAGAAGCAATTTTACAATTTCTTTTTGACCTTCTTCACAAGCCCTAATTTAAAAAGAAAAATAATAATTGTATAACTTTATGTTAACATGAAGTATGTGTCTACATGCTTAAATCATTATCAGTACATTCTAATAATTTGCCACATTAGAATACAATTAAATATAAACTAATTCAAAACAAAAGTACTTATTTAATATTAGAATGGAGTAACCTATCATAGATAAAGTGATTTGTTTTCTTTTCAATTTTGGAACAATCCTCATGCAGCTATTAGAAATATTATTGACCAATAAAAGCATAATACATAAAAGATTTTAGTAATAATAAAAATAAGAATCAGGGTGCATAACCCAAATTATTCAACAAAAAATAAGCACCTTTTAAGCACTTCTCAAGCACTCAAAAAATATTGTTAAGCACTTTAAAAAAATATCATTAATTAAGCAGGGTTGGAAAGTTTTTAACCATTGACGGTTTTATCTTGCTTTAACCATCATGTCAAAAAAAAAAAACCTTTTGGCACATTTTTTGACAATCATGAAATTTTGAATCGGGTAAAACGAATGGTGTTTTCATACGCGACGGACTGACAATAAGCCGAAATAGATTGGGATTGAATTCATTGCAAAAACATTGAATTGAACAATATGAACTGTGTCGTTTTGCATAATTCGAAGGGAAAACCAACATAGTAAAGGAAAAATCTCATTTAGAAAAAGGGAAAGTTAAGCACCTTTTAAAAACACCCTATGAAAAAAGCACCTTTAAGGGCTTTTAAAAAACGAAAATCGAAAATAAGCACCTTTAAGCACTTTTTAAAAATGCTACGCACCCTGGAACTATTAACCTAAATAATAATAATAAATGTTACTTTTTTGACAAAAAATTAGCACTTTTTAACGAAATGTATGTAGAGTGCAAAAAAAAAAAAAAAAAAAACGGAACATTTAACTAACTTTTAATATAAAAGGTAGATTTCCATCTGCTTTACATGCAATCTTAATGATTGAAAGATACCTTGAATGATCCTAATTAGTTAGAACAGATGACATTTTAAGTTACAAAATCAGACACTAATATTCACTTTCTCTGATTAAACAGACCTTTGAAAAAAAATCCAGATTTTTAATCCATAAAATATTAGCTGTAACCTTAATTTGGAAAATATTGTTAAAATATTTTAAACAAGAAAAACGTCAAAGGTTTGAGCACTTTAAAAGTAAATTTAACTTTCACCGAATTCTTTAAGACTAAGCAATTTAAAACGGCAAAATTTGAACAAAACTGATAGAACTGTTTTCAAAATGTGACAGATTACTAATGAAAAATCGAAGTATGACCATTAAAAATTGAAAATATACTTAAACGAAACATTTGACCATCAAAAATAGATTCGCTAAGTTATATGAGACTAATATAGGATAAAAACATCTGAATGGAGTCTCCCCTTACATGCATAATAATAGTAGGGAACCGATCGGGACCATCGCTATTCCGGATAACTGATTTTTCTGGTTTTCTGAATTGCTACAAAAAGCCGTTTTTTTAGTGTTAAACCCAACTAAAAAAAAAAAGAAGAAATATTTGAAAATAATCTTAAAAAGAAAAAAAAAAACGATGAAGTAATACACTGATGATTATTTCCAAAATGACGATAAGGTAAACATCTTTCAAAAAAGAAAGAAAAATCCTAAAATCTTATGAGGAAAAAAACAACTTCTTAAAAAAAATGGCGTAAAATTTATCGAATTTCGTTCCGGTTTTCTGATTTCCGGATAGCGGGTTCTGTACTGTATGTTGTACAGAATGTGTTGGTATATTTTACTTTGGCTATATTAATTAGAAAGCGTTCTTTTTTGTAAATATAATTGTGTGAGCTGACAATGAGCTTATATCTTTTCCTTATTTTGTTTTCAGGCTTTTTTAAATTTTTGTTTTAATTTTTAACAAATTTTTTTTAAATATTTTAAGAGCATTTTATAAATCATTTGCACACATTACCCTCTCATTATTTCTATGGATAGAGCTTTCATTATTAATTAAATGAGACTTGAAAAAAATGAATATGAAAGAAGAATTAGAAAATGTTAATTTATTCTACTAAAAAATATTTTTGACTATAATCAAAGAATTTTTTTAATACGAATTAAATAATTTAAATTACAATCATACCAATCCTGAAGCTGAAAATTTCCTGAAGTTAATTTTTTTGTTCAATTTATATCAATAAACAAGTATCATATTAGTTTTTGTCCATCTTAACATGTTTATGTTTATTAAATTATATAAAAGTTAATTAATAGTTTCTTAAAAAATGTTTTTATCAAAAGATTGCTTATCATTTATTAGAAAATACTGGGCCATCAAAAACAAAAATGTTTGTTTTTGTTTTCAATATTTCAATATTAAAATAGACAGTGTTACTATTTCTTTATAGACATTTCTGCTAATTGACAGCAAATGTTTTCCACAGTTTAACAAAAAATTACTTTTACAGCTACCTTTCATCTGCAATTATTAAGAAGAAAATATTAAATAAAATGTGTGAATCATCTATTATATATGCTATCTATCTGCTATCTTTTTACTTATGTTTAGTTTATTCTTGAGATAATTATTTTTCTAAATTGTTTATTTTCAACTTCGATATCAAGTTAAAGTGTTTTAATATATATTTTATATAGATGAATAAGACTGAAAAAAAAGGACAAATAATGAAAAATTAATAATAAAAAATCAGTTACAAGTTTGGTAAAATCACCCTAAAATAGTTAGAGAAAGGTTAGCAGAGTTTTTTCACATAAACTCTGAATAATATATTCTTCTTTCTATAATATTGTATTTCAGTTTTGATGCAATATTAGAGGACTCTGATGATGAAATTGAAGATTATAATTTGATGCCAAAAGTGAAAGAGCCCAAAAGAAAAAAGAACAAAGGAACTTATCTGGAAGAGCGAGATGAAGATGATATTGTTGATTTTATGGATCCAACTGCTAGTCAAAAACTCAGTAAGAATTTGTTTATAATTTCGCAACTTTATTGAGCATTTACCTAAATATCATTTTTGTTGCTTTTGCTAATATGAAATTTTCTCTGAATAACTTTCTGTTAGTTCTAAATATTTTGTTAATCTTTTTAAGCTTCAAAGCCTATCAAAGAAGATGCTTCTTCTAAAAAAATAAAGACATCTTTCCCTATTGCTGATGATGGCAGACTTATTATAGAAGATGTGGATAGAAAATCAAAAAGTAAGTTTTTATTTCTATTTAGTTGCTTGTCAATCCATCAACTATCAATTTATATAGTTTTATATTTTGTTAGACTTTTTGTGTTTTCAAATGTTTCTGGCATTATAAATTACTTTAAAGAAATGTCCCGGTAGGAATTTTCTTTAGAGAATAATTTTCTCGTTGATTTTCTAATTTTTGTTATCAATAAGGAAAATAGTTAAAATTTTAAATTCCATGGGTATAACTTTTAAAATATGTTCTTCCAAAGAAAAATAAACTTTACTAATGAGTCAACTATTTTATTTTAAATTGTAACATAAAATATGTAAAGTATATTAAATACCTATATTTTATTTAGGCATTACAAAATTTTAATTTTATCATTCTTTAAGACTTCACTTTCATCTTAACGTTTTTAAAATATTCTTTTATCCTCAACTTGAAAATTGAGTAAAAAAATATTTTTTCTGTAGTTTTAAATGCGACATATAAACTTCACTGATAAGAAACTTATCAGAATACTCCTTAGTTTTACAAGTAAATTTCACAGATTATAAAAATATTCACAACAGTATTTACCAATAAAATGTTTATGACTTTCAACTCACTTGAACATGATCACAAAAAGTAAAAATTAAAATGATACGGTAAATAAAAAATGTAATTCTCGAAATCTTGGAAACATTGCTAACAAAATTATTTACCCCCTTAAATTTTACAATATTTTTATTCGTAGTGTAAAAACTAAATAAAACTTATCTGTATGGCAACTTAATGCAAAGAAAAATTAAACAATTTGCAATATCATTATTTAACATTTGTACTTTTGTTTATTATTTAACATTGTTAAAATTTTTCTCTCCATACTTAGTATGAAAAAAATTGTGTGATATTCTAGTAAAGAGTGAGGAAAAACTAAGTTTTAATGTCATAGTGCTTAAAGCAGCAGGGTCAATGTGGGACAGAGATTTTGTGAAGTACTAACTGACAACGTAATGTGGCTTGTAAATAAGCAAAAATTATTTGACTTATGCATGCATACTAACAAATCTTGCATGTTCTGGATAATTATTTTTTAGAACATCAGTTTAATAGATTTCTGACAACATGAACTTTAGATATTCCATTGTAGTAAGAAATAATTTATGTGAAGTTATAATTTTCGTGTGTAAATATATTTATACACTAGAAAGTTTATCTTTCTGGTTCAAATAATATTTCTGTAAATTTTATCCTGATGTGTTAGATGAGTAAGCAATCTTTGCATTTATTATAATATATATATTTATTTATTTTTTAGCTCTTACAGAAGAGAAAAAAGAAAAAGATGCTCCATCATTTGAAAAATTAGTTAAGGTAAGCATAATGATTTTGCTCGTTTCTATCTTCTGCAATTATAATGTATCGCTTATAATGTATAATCAAACATTTCAAACCCAGATCTTCTGAAATCCAGATCTTCTTTTTCTATTAAGATAAAAAAAGCCACTGCAGAATCTTTAAATTTAGCTCTAGCTTCTTAATATGCTGCTGATTTTAAAGACTTTTAATGAAACACTTTTTTTGCATGTAGTATTTTTTTTTAAATAGCATCATTATGATATTATTTTTAGTTAATGATTTTTAGTGCACAAATTTATTAGTTAAATATTGGCTATAAATATGATAAAACAATAGAAGTTTCAACAAATAATGAATTTCTACTCTTAACTTTTGTGACAAAGTTATTTTTGTTTCTAAGAATTTAAAGCTTGGTAAGTCTTAGTTATCTGCTAAACATTGAATTTAAAAAGGATCTTATGTGCGAAATAAAATTTAAGATAAACATTGTGTTACTAAAATTGAAATTATTGAGGTGCTTTTGGATAATTCTGGAAATTTTATAAATGACTAAACATAATAACTAAAATTTATAAACAGATTGAAGAGAATTTGCTTCTTTACTTTAATAACATTGCATGCAATCACATGATGTATTAATAATTTATTTGTAATGTAGTGTTACTTTTCAATTTATTTTATTATACTTCGTTAAATTCTTCGCAAAAAGTTTGACTGGTGCCAGTGTTTTTATAAGTTGCCAAGTATGTAATTGTGATTTAGAATTCAGATGTTAAAATGGTTATACTCCTTTAAATATTTTATAGTTTTAATATTATTATAGTATATAGCATAGTTGTAAGTTCTTATGAAACTTTGTTTTTATCAATAAAAATTTGCATACACTGCAAAAAAAAAAAAAAATAGTGATTCAGGAAAGTCAGGAAATCTGGCATTTATTTGGTCAAAAGAAAGGTAAAATTCTATAACAAATCTAAAAAAGAATAAATGTCAAAATAGATTGTAGGAAGTAGCCAATGTTATAGCCAAGTAAATACCTTTAAAATTTATTATAATAAATAATTTTTAACTATCTACTCTGGTGTAGTTAGTAGAAATAAATATTTACCTAAAACTGAATTTGGTCTCATGAAGATAAAGTATTTCTTGTATCAAATGATCTTAAATATAACTATTTTATCGGTTAAGCTTTTGTGATTAAAATTGTGTTTGCAATACAATTTACATTCTTCATCTATAGTAAGATATGTCATGGCTGGCTGTATCAATAATTTTACTCTTTTAATACACTACTTTGCATAATCTTTTTTGTTTTAAGAAAGTTTTATTCCCTTAAAAAAATGGTTAAATCTGTGGTAAAGTGAATGAAAAGCTGTAGTAAAAAAATTTAAAAAAAAGAAAAAAAAATGTTTTTCTCTAAATTAAAATGAAAATTTGGATATTTTTCTGATAATAAATTCTGTATCACCATATATTATGATGCAGCACTTTATCTTTTGTGTTTTCTTTTTCTCTTTAGAATAGTAAAAGAAAATTTGAAGATAGTGATGATGAACAGGATTTGTCTAAATCTAAAACAGAAGGTAATACAGTTTAAGTGTTCGAGTTTGTTTTAACAATATATATATACAGTTTCAAATTTCTAATTTACTGCCATAAGTCAAGTATAAACCAAATATGAATTATATTGCCAAGAGGCTAATAATTTTAGGTATACATGTATGGACCTCAGGTTTTAACGAAGTAAAAGAATATAAATATTTCAAATGTTACTTTGTGCCTAAAGTAAGAACAAGCATGCATATTGTTATACTATGGTCTATTTAAATGAACTAAACTCAGTGGCGCCACAACCAGTGATGGCCAAGGTCTACTGTGCCCATTTCAGTTTTCTTGACCTTTGGGCTCTGAGGTGCAAGAGCAGATGTTCCGATTATGTGGTCAGCCCAGCGAGGAACCCCCAGTGTTTAGCTCCCAAGCATGCTTGGTACTCATTTTATCAACCCACTGAAGGGATAAAAGGCTGAGTCAACCTTGCTCGGCCCAAAGATGGAACCAGGGACCTGTGGCACAACAATGCGAAGCGCTACCGCTCAGCCATCGGGCGTTGGTCTGTTAAAATACAATAATAAATAAATTTAATAATTATTTAGAAGAAATTTTTTAAAAAAAATCTGAAGTTTTGTTAAGTACAATGCAATACTGCATTAAATATCAGTTTCAAAACTATTTTAATTATGCAAACTACTCAAAATGAATAATTATTGAAAAGAATTTAACATTAATTATGAAAATAATATTTTATTCTTTTGGTTAAAATTTCAAAATTATGGAAAAAAACACAAAAATTAAGATTATTAAACGTATCCATGTACCTTGAGATAAAACAAATAAAATAGATGAAAATTACTTAATAGGTATAAAATTAAGTGAGCATGATTCTATAAGATTTCATTTGATTACTGCGATGTCCAAGGTACACTTGCATGTTCCTGATTGTATTATTTCTAAATAATAAGTAAATATAAATTTAAAAGCTTCAAACAGATCACAAAGCTACTAAGGATCCATTAACGTTAGCAGTGTTGTCATTTGGATCCCACTCTGCAATGGATTCTCCTTTATTTTTATTTACTAAGTCCCACAAAAAATGCTCTTAACCCTCATCTAAAGAATTTGGAATTCTTCAATTTTAGAATATTTTATGATGACATTTGAATCCACATTTTATCCAGCATCTAATATCATTTGACACGTCAATTTAAAGTTTTATTTAAATTTCTAGGAGTGAAAAGAGGAATTCATCGTACACTTGAACCAAAATCTAAAAAGAAACGTTTTGGTGAGGAATTTAAAGCAAAAGTAAGTTTTTTTGAATAATATTATTCTAATACAATGATAAATATTGTCTCTAGCTATTTTTGCATGAATACATTAATGTTTTAATATGATATTAAATTACGCTTGTGAAAATTAGGATTTAAGTCTTAACTTCATCAGTTACAATTTATGTTTAATATTTTTTTTGGCATTTATTGCTGCAAATTTTCTGTTGGCATTTTAAATTCAAATTTTTTTTTTTAATGCCAAACGAATTTCAAATGGCACATTTGATTATTAAACTTCTTTTTAATCTAATGATTCCATGGTTTATTTGAATTTAAGGCAATTATTGCTACTTATTTCATCATGGTTATTAAATTTCTACCGTTTTTCAAATTAAATTCTTCAACACATGAAATTTGAATTGCGCTTTTAAATAATAACTTTTTAGCACGCTTAATTTACGCCATTAGTGTCGTAGATCCAATAGCTTTTTGTAGTTTTTTCAGCAGTTATTGCTTTTGACTTTCAAATAAATTTTAAAGGTCCTGATATTTTTCATACAATATAGAAAATTCGAATCGCACATTAATGTATTTACTTTCTAATGCAATGATTAGCTATTCTTTTTTAATCTGATGATTCCATGGCTTATTGGAAATTTAGGCAATTGTTGCTACTTATTTCTTAATAGTTAAATTTCTAAAGTTTTTCATTTTAAATTCTTGCGTCACATGAAATTTGAATTGCTATTTTAAATAATTACTTTTTCATGCATTTAATTTACGCTGTTAGTATCGTAAATCCAATACTTTTTCATTGTTTTTTCAGCAGTTATTGCTATTGACTTTCGCATATTTTTTAAGGATCCTGATATATTTCATACAATATGGGAAATTCGAATTGCACATTAGTGTATTTACTTTCTAGTGCAATGATTCTATTGATTTTTTCAATTTATTTTTGGCAATTATTGCTATGCATTTCCATGTAGTTTTTAAAATCTGATATTTTTAGTACAATGTATATTACACCTGAATCTCAAAATACGCATTTAAGTAACCCTTTTTTATGATCCCAATTTGTTTGGTTTTGTCATTGATCTTTTTTTCCCTAACTACCATGGATTTCATGATTTTTAATGTTTTTAAAATTAATGTAATGACCACTTACAAAATTAAATGCAAATAAATGTTGTTTTATTTCCCCTAAAAAATGTGAGAATATTGCCCATAGTATTAGGATATTCATTCTTTTATAGGTTGATAAAAAAAATGTAAATCTTTTTTTTTTAAAGTCACATTGCTTCTGTTATTATTAATTAGTAACATATAACATATATATTTATTACTAATAAAAATATCTTGTTAAAAGATGTTAGTACTAGAGATGTTAGTTGCAGAAAGCCTGAAGAAACTCTGCCACTGGATATTCATTTATATTACTGTACTTCTACTATCACTGTACTGTACTTTTATTACTGTATTTAAAAATATCATTGTAGTAAACATTCAAATTGAGAATAAAATCAATATTCATTAAAATATATGGTGCAAAATTAAAAAGGCTTTATTATTTAGAACTAAATACGTGGCTAAAAGATTTCTTTTAACAACAAAAATGTATTCATATTTAATAGAACTAAGGATTGTCTTATAAATCTTTTTAGAAAGCTGGTGGCGATGTTAAAAAAGGTAAACTGGAACCTTATGCATATGTTCCGTTCAACAGGCAAGCTTTAAATAAGAGGTATTGTTAATTAATTGCATTCTAATATTATATTTGTCTATTTAAATTAATTTTGATTTATTGGTTTGTCTGTCATTAATTTATTTGAATGTTTTGTAGGAAAAAAGTAAAACTAAAAGGACAATATCAGAGCATTGTAAAAGGTGCCAAGAAAGGAGCTGTTATTGGTCTAAAGAGAAAAGCCAGAGTATCTAAGAAGAAGAAGAATTGATTTTGTTAATTAATCATGTGTATATAACTTTTGTTGAGTTAATAAATTATTGTGGATAGTTAATCACTGAATTACTTTTTGAGAACCAGATCTTTTTTTAGATTTAATTTAGCATAAATGCTAACTTTTAAATAAATCGTTTTAAGATCCAAAAATTATAATTTTTTTATTATTCAATGATTGAAAAAAATATAAATTAAATTTATTCTGTTTTCCTTATAGGAGATTTAAAAATCTTAAAAAATTGCATAACATTGACTGTTCTTGAAAACTTCATAAAAGAATTAGAACTCTGAATCCTCAATGTACAGTATCTTAAATTATCCATTTTGGTTGGGGATGCAACAAAAGCAGGTCATTTCAGTGATTACCTGCAAAAATGATCAGAAAAGCACAATGAAATATTTTTTTAAGTGTTTTTATTATAGTTACATATTATTTCCTTTTCTACGCAAAAAAGTATCAATAGTTTTTATTTTTTAGTGTTAAAATACACCTTTTTCTTATTTGTTTAATGAAAGCTTAAGCTTATGATTAGAACATTAAGAGAATCACAACAGTGAATGCAATATACAAGAAAGCAAGAAAAATGGCGTTCGATGACTTTAGTAGAAATCAGAACTTATGACACTTGGTTAAAAATTCACTTTTTATTTCATTGTCTTGATTAGCAAGATGTTACAAGGAAGAAAACTGAACTGAACTGCAGGATTCCTTTCAAAGGAATTGCATTATAGAGTAAACACTTTACAGACCAGATAAACTTTTTGCAGTTAACCAAAAATTAATTATACCTAAACAATATTCCTAACATGGACATTATTCTCTTGCAACTATGTTTTTCTTTTAAATATGTTTTTAAAAATTTTTTTTTGAAGTTTTCTTAATGTAATTCAGTGGGAAAGTAGTACATAGCCGGGGAATTTTAATATAATTTTCCTCAATCGCTTTATGCTTGTTGGGGAAGGACATAAAGAAATTCTAAGTGTTAACTTTGAGGAAGACCTGTAACATTTTTGTTACATAAGATTTAACTTAGTCCATAACTTAAAATATCATATTTTTCAAAACAGTATTACAAAAAATCTCAGCATCAGCAGTATAATTACTGATAATTGATTTTATATAATTTTTTTTACAAGTTTTGGCAACTTTTAAATGAGTTTTTTTTAAAAACATGATTGAGGTTATTTTGCTATTGAATTGATGTTGAATGATACAATTTATTTTAAAAAATATGTTTATATTTAATATTTATATCAATAGTAATTTAATTCAAATAACATGCTTAATGCAGTAGGAGCCACATGCAATTATCCCACAAGTGAGGATATTCTGGAATTAAATGAATGAAGAAAGCAAAGGCTTTTGTTTTGTCAATATTATAAATTAGTTTGTACTATATTTTTTTCCAGGTTCTCTTTGATTTAACAAAAATAATTTTGAGAGTATAACTAGGATGTAATGAGTATTCGGCTATTATTCCCTATTCGGCCGTTTTAATGAATGCCCAGTTGGCCGAATGTTAGGCCAAATATTGAGCAAAGTATTTTTTAGGAAATATTTTTTTCGACAAACTGTTTTTCTGCTTTTAGAATTAGAATTGATTTAATAATGAATAATACAAAATCATATTTTTCTACTATGCATTATTAGAAATATGTTTTTATGCATTTTTGTTAAGTTCTAAAACTTGCACACAGCTAGCTCACTTTTGTTCTGGAAAACAAGTGGAAAAGCGAAATTTTAAGAATTGAAACTAAATTACTTTATACTGAACCATGAGTTTTGTACTGCTAATTTTTATAATTACATTCAAACAAGTTAATATCATTGGTTTTTCAACACTTCATTTTAAGGAAAGAAAAAAAAAAAACGCTTTTTTTGTTTTATTTTTGCTGTTATTATAGTGTAGCATTTTAACAGCTTTTCAGGTAGACTTTATTCTTTTAGTGTCACTTTTTTACTGTATGGACAAAATTGTAACATAGAAAACTGTCATTTACTGAATCTATCACAAAATGAGATTTGGTTTCACTTATTAAGAATTGTTCTGCTCATCTTCATGTGAGCAATTGGAGAAATAAGAAACTCGTTGCATAAATTAACATAAGTGTTATAACCTCTTGACCAACGTATTATTTGAAGCTTCAAATTTCATTATAGAAAGTCGCATCAGCCACAGGGTTCTCGCGGTGCTTGAAAAGTTTTAGTAGTGGTAGTAAATTAGAGTTAATGGTAGAAGATATTTCTTATATTAGCATACCACATTTTGTTGTTAAGTGGTTTAGAAGCTGGAATTTTCATACATATATACTTTGGAAAACAATTTTTTGTGGTAGTTACACAGAAATTAAATTATTGACATTTGTTTAATTTTTGTTACCACTTTTAAAAATTTTCAAGACCCGTTGGAACCCTGTACCCAACCACCGCGAGGCATGTAGCCTATTTTTAAATGGCCTTGGCAAGATGCCACATAATTTTGACCTCTTTCAGACTCCGTGGACAGAGCTTGATCCAGTACCCTTCCAGTCACACTTCAACAGCATAACAAAATTATAGAAAGTAATGTCTGTTAGAATGGATAAAAAAAGAGCTTGATTTCTGTCTGATGAAAAATGAACGAATTTTTCCAAAGGATACAATTAATATTATATAATATATTTTGGCTTCACTTCTCAATAAAGATATGAGTTTTTTTATCTTAGCATTTTCTGTACTAACCTGGAATTTGGATTTAACAAGTATTTTTCCATTTTTTAAGTTTCTCATTAAATATGTGATATGTGTCTTGTTATAAATGTAAGGATAAATAAATGCAAAACTTAAGCAACATGCTTATATGATTGCTTTGAAGTACAAGATGAATAGAATTACTGTACCAACTAACTCCCAACTCTTGCAATAATCAGGATTTTTCTTGTTTGTAATTGTTATGACAGATCATGAAGTTTTTGGTGTTATTTCAATATGTGATCGTGTGTAATAGATATTAATTTTTTATTACTTGAATTTTTATTTGTTTTAAGGGTAATATGACTGTCTGGTATACCCTACACTAATGTTTTTTTTTTTTTAAGGTTAAGTGCCACTGCCCTGATGATTTTACTGGTATACTCCACCATACTATAATATAGTAACTTCACCTATTCATCTGTAAAGTTACTATATCAGTAGATCGCGTATTGGGATAATACCAATTGTTTTATGTAGTTTTTATGTTAGTCATTTGTAAAATATACAAGCAATAGATAAATTCTATCCGAAACGCTTTAAAATGGCTTTGTAGAATATTGACCAGTTCAACTTCAATTCTTGCCTTAACTGAAAAGTGATAAAAAAGATAAGATTTGTGGTCCAAAACCTCGAAGAAGCCTCGGTACTAACAAGCAATAAAAATGAATAATATGATCATTTTTTATTTCTAAAAATGGTAGGTTTTTAAGACATGTAAAACCAACAGGGCTGATGTATCATTTATATTTGGAACTGAGACAAAGTTTAAAATATAAATCTGGTTCACTATGTANAACAGCATAACCAAATTATAGAAAGTAATGTCTGTTAGAATGGATAAGAAAAGAGCTTGATTTTTGTCTGATGAAAAATGAACGAATTTTTCCAAAGGATGCAATTAATATTATATAATATATTTTGGCTTCACTTCTCAATAAAGATATGAGTTTTTTTATGTTTGCATTTTTTGTACTAACCTGGAATTTGGATTTAACAAGTATTTTTCCATTTTTTAAGTTTCTCATTAAATATGAGATATGTGTCTTGTTATAAATGTAAGGATAAATAAATACAAAACTTAAGCAACACACGTAGGTGATTGCTTTACCAACTAACTCCCAACTCTTGCAATAATCAGGATTTTTCTTACTTGTAATTGTTATGACAGATCATGAAGTTTTTGGTCTTATTTCAATGTGTGATCAACGTGTGTAATAGATATTAATTTTTTAATACTTGAGTTTTTATTTGTTTTAAGGGTAATATGACTGCCTGGTATACCCTACACTAATGTTTTTTAAAGGTTAAGTGCCACTGCCCAGTATAGCTCACGCTGATGTTTTTACTGGTATATTCCACCATACTATAATATAGTAACAGCACCTATTCATCTGTACAGTTACTATATCAGAAGATCGCATATAGGGATAATACCAATTTTTTATGCAGTTTTTATGTTAGTCATTTGTAAAATATACAAGCAATAGATAAATTCTATCCGAAACGCTTTAAAATGTCGTTTTAGAATATTGACAAGTTCAACTTCAATTCTTGCCTTAACTGAACTGTAATAAAAAGGATAAGATTTGTGGTCGAAAACCTCAAAGGTGCCTCGGTACTAACAAGCAATAAAAATGAATACAGTCGAACTCGTTTATAACGAGCACAAAGGGACCGTAATATGTACTCGTAATATACGGGTCCTTAAGACAGACGTGCAACCAGAAGGGGGGGGGGGGGAGGGCTTGGGAGGTCAAATGATTGAGTTGACTTAAAATTTAATTAATACTTACTTAAGATAAGATAAGTTATAGTTAAGATAAGATAAACTTAAGATAAGACAGAAAGACTAGAAAAAAGGTTGCAAGACAGAAAAATATTGCTCGCTGAAACCGGGTCTTGCTCGTTAAAAGCAACTTCTGTTCCATAGACTTAACATTGATCCAACCAAATATTCTCGTTTCCCTCGGTAAATCCGAGTTCTCGTTAAATCCGGGCTCGTTATAAACGAGTTCGACTGTAATATGATCATTTTTTATTTCTAAAAAAGCTTGGTTTTTAAGACATGTAAAACCAACAGGGCTGATGTATCATTTATATTTGGAACTGAGACAAAGTTTAAAACATAAATCTGGTTCACTATGTATAACATTTTCCATGTTGTGACAAAATTTATTAAAAGCTACTAATAGTATTTTAAAGAGTACTGGAAATTCGTTGATATCTTTATCAGCTGATTTTCATTATAATTTAACATTACCTGGCTAAATAAAATCATTTGTGGATCTATAATTTTTTTCAGTTTAAAAACTTGGCATAATATTTCTTTTTATGTTCTTTTTTCAGAGCAAATTTAAAATTAGACAAGAAAACATGTTTTATGTCTCCAATATTTTAATTGACTATTTGCAAAGTCTGTTACTTTTTTTATTATCATTTTTGTATTTGCTTTTCTTTTTTTAACCATCTATAGTATCAGCAGACTTTTTTTAAAATATGGAATACAAATTTTTGCTTATAATTTTGTACTGTAAATTTACAAAATTCTTTTTAAAAAGAAAAAATTAAACTTTGTAGTATGATTTTTTTTTTCCGCATTTGCTATTTCATTTAGGAACCAATAGTAAGATTTTGCAACTGAGTTATTACTTTGCAAAGATGAGAAGGTAGTGACATTTATTTTATTCTACTGATAATGAAATAAATAATTTGAATTTTTAAGAATTTCAAAAAATTCAGGTATCATCTAAAAATATTCTCCAAATCCTCTTCTTTCTTAAACCAAAATTTTTTTTTTTCATTTAAGTTTCAGACAGTATTTAATCAGCATTCATTTTTTTAAAAAAAATTTATGATGAATATTTAATATTTCTTAATCATTCATTTGAATCAATACAATTCTTTCCTGGTGCTTTAGTTTATTAAGAGCTCCAAAAAATCATTCCAAATAAAGTGTGAAACATCATTAAAGCTATGAATATTAATTTTCTAAAATAGTTATCTATTGAGAAGAAATAAAAGATGTTATCATTGTCTGAAGTCAGAGTTTAATAACTAATGAGACAATGATGTAGGTAGTAAAAATCGATTCATTATCTTTAATACTATTTGAGTCAAGTCAAACTGATTGCCTCATAAAATTCCGTACGAAAACCTCTTTGAAAGAATATGCAGAAGCAACTTTTTCTATAATTTTTAACCTTTTGAAAAGAAGAAAATTAAATCAATAATGTATGTATTTAATATTTAAAATTATATTTATCCTCTACACAAAAATCAGCTTATAAAAGCAATTATTATTAATGTACGTTTTTTATATTAATACCTTTTTCTCAAATCTACAATATAAGCTTTTAACAAATTTTTAAACAGTTTATAAAGCAAATTTGTTTACAGTTGTTTGCAAAAATTGTTAACAGTTGTTTGCAACAGGTTAAGATTTGTTGTTAAAAAGCAACAAAACAACATGCATAAATACCAAAATTTGCAAAGCTGTTTGATATACTTACCAACACAACACTAAGTTAGAGAGGGGGTCTCACATAGCAGTTTATATTCTGCAGTTATGTTTAAAAAAAAGGTTAATTTAAAATAATTTTCTTCTTTTAAAATTATAAACACACTTTTTAATTGTTAAAATTCATACCATTCAACAAAATTTTAGAGAGAAATACAACTGATTTAAGTATAATCAATTTTAGTTCCCAAATTATTTGTTGATAAGAAACTGTTATAATTAATAATTACCAATATCAGTGTTGAGAAAAATAATGTTGTCCTAGCTAAAGTAATGAAATGATCGTATATTTTTTGTAGCTACATTATTATACATGATAGCTTAATTCAATTAAATTAAGCCAAAAATTTACTTTGCTTTAAAACATTCTTATGTGATTTCGAAAGTAGTTACAGAGCGTCTGCTCGTTACTATGGCAACCGACACTCAGTTTAAAACGAATCACAAACAGTTCAAAGCGTTCACTGAGTTTTTCCCGTTCCTCTGAAATTTTTAATACTCCATACATTTATTCGAACACAACAAACGTTTTCAGTTCATTGAGTTTTGAAATCACAAGATGTTGAATATATTTTATTGAAATTTTTTCTTGAAAACTGTAAAAAAATATTAATTGGAGCTAGAATATTGAGAGCGGTGTTTTAAATTTGTTTCAAATAAATTTTTAAAAATCTTAAACTTAACAATGTTTTTTAATCTTCAATGTGGTGGCATCTCTATTTCGAAGTAGTTGATTGGTTGAAAAGCAAAGCCTTCTTTTTCTTTCCCGTTCAAATTCCTGCGAAGTTTTGCCTGCGAAATTTGAAGATCCGACTTATCACCCGCGTACAGGTTACGCGCATATACTATATCCTTTCCTGAGAAAACAATATTAATGAAATGGAAAGAACACCGGTAAAAAATGGTAAATATTTACAGATTTTTAATGAAGCATTGTGAATAATTAAAGTAAGATTAAAAAAACGCAATGCGAAGCATGTTCAGCAAACTAGGAATCGCCATTGCTCCGTATGGAGTTAACTGATTCTATGATCAACCAATTCTATTCGAGAGATTTTACTTCGTCATAGTAAAAATTTGTTTAAAATAAGTTATAATATTAATTAATAATCGAGGATGATGCATCTATCTGTTGTATTTTATAAAGTTAAGTTAGATTCATTGAACTTAAAAGTAACGAAAATAAATTCTTTAGGCTTCGATCATCAGCGTTAAGAAATAGTTCACAGTACAGTATAATTATTAAAAGAAAAGCTTTAATGTAAAGATAGTTTAAGAAAGCGACATTAATTTGCCTATAAGATGTCTAAAGTCTGATATTCAGAGAATTGTGCATGCCCATTAGTTTTAACAGCAAATTCATATTAGCGCTAAACATTGTGTTTTTCCAATCTTTTAAATAATTCACATTCAATTTAGAATTTATTTTATAACATCTAATTGTTTAATTTCTCCTAAATCTATAAATTTATATAATATAAAAATTTTTTTAATAGGAATTATATTAAATTAATGTCAATTGATTTAAAAATAAATTATACTAGTTATTATGTCACCTGTCTGATATTTTTTTCATCTTTGTTTTCTTTATAGATTTTAACTTTATTTCATGTTTTTTCTGAAAAAGAAATATATGTAATTAGTAAAACATATTCATTATATGAATTTGAATAATGAATTCCGGTACTTTTAGAAACTATTGAATTTTATTGTTATTGCAGACATTATTATGTACAAAACCTGTGGTTTTCAAATAATATGTACATTCTACCAATCACATTTTTTTTGCTAAAATGTTTTGTTGAATTTCTAAACAATAATTTGAAACTCTTGTTTCAAAACTGATCTAAATTAGTCTTAACATAATAATAGCATTTGTAATGGTACAATTGAAACAAAAAAGGAAAAAGAAAAATGCGGGGATGATACTTTGAGGTTCGAATGTATTAAATACGAAAAATGTCTGTTAGCTGCTTATTTTTGTAACTTATCTTTATAAAAGTTTGTTGTTTATTTACAGGCACTCTCAATGTTAATGTCAGCTCGAAGCTGCACAGAAAATGTTTTTAATAAAAAAAATTCAATTCACACAAATACTCATTAAAAAGGAAATTAGCGTATTTCATCATTAGATTTAAATTGGAACTCTATAGCTATAATACACTATTAAAATAACACAATAATACACTTTTAATAACACAATAGTACACTATTAAAATAACAGAATAACACAACCAAAGCCATAAGTTGTGTTATTCTAAGATCTGAAGTGTAATAATCTGAAAATATTTGTTACCTTCAAGCAAATATGCAGTCAGTTACATTTTATTGATTAAAAACATACAGCCAGGCAACATCCTTTATGATTCCTTAGTACTATTTATTACAATACATCAGGACAAATTTTTTCATTAGCTTTTAAATAATTTATTGAAACATTTTAAATTTAAACAGGTGCAGAATAAGTATAAGATTGCTAACCAATGTGTAGTGCTGTAAAAATGTTTGTCGTGAAACAAAACTATCAACGACAGCTAGGAAAAAAATCCTTATATTATTACATAATAAGCAAATTTATTATAATAATTTGTTATTCTATTACAGCACAGTTGATGACTTTCAATTTACAGTTCAAAATTAAAAGTGCAAGAGTTAAAATTCTTAACATACTTTAAAAATGATTTGTCTTATTTCAAAGTCATACATTAAATCTTTCTAGGTTTGAATTTTTTTTAAACTTTCATACAGTTATCTTTAATGAAGCAGCCAAATTTTTGTCTATCATTCATTTATTAAAGTTATAAGAAAGATTAGAATTTTAACAGAAAGTTTAATATTTAGGGTGACCTGGGGTAATTCCTGATCAAAAAATGCAAACATCTATTTTGTGAAAAAACTATTCAAGATAGAATTTTAATATTTTATGGAAGTTTGAGGCTATATGAGATGAGTCCTATGCTACCTTTTGTTTGAAAATCTAATTAGAATTTAAAAGATTTTAAATTTTTAGTGATCAGGAATTACCCCTTCTCTTGATCAATTCTAGGGTAAATCCTGATCATTTCTGGGGTAATTACTGATCACCAGTTTTTATAGTAAATGGGCTGTTTAAAAATAATTATACAATGGTAATTAACAAATAAGACATTAAGATCAAACAAATAAACCAAAAAGATATTTTTAAGCAGCTAATAAAACTGTTTATTTGAAATCAGGAATAAAGATTAACACTTCAGCTCTGGCAGCAGCTCTCACACTGAAATTTTCATTTTCAATCATTAAAAGAAATTCACTATTTTTGCTTTCTAGAAGCTTAGTATCCTTTTTAAGCTTATAATTTCTCACCATATTTATATTAGGTTAATTTGTCAACTTAAAAATTATTCTAACAATGTACACACATAAATTTAAGATAGAAGCAAGGTAAGACAAGCTAGAAATGGTGCATATCAGAACACATTTTTCTCGTATACAGTTAAAAACAATTTTGTGATTATAGTTAAAATATATTTTATAGTTGTTCCACTTAATAAATATGAACTGTTATTCAAGAAAAGACAATTGACTATTTATTAGCTATTTTTTATACTATTTATAAGAAGAAATGACAATGATCAGGAATTAATTACCCCATCTGTAGGGGGCAACATTTGATATAGTTTCCAATGATCAATTATAATGTTTACAGTAGATGTGAAATAATTAAGCAAAAGCCTACACTATTTTTATATCAAAGAAAAAGAAAGTAACTCAAAATATTTATTATTAAGAGAAGGAGGGGGATCTTTGCAGAAATGTGCACATTTTGAAACCCATCTTTGAAATGGAAAATACAGAAAGCAATTTAAAAGATACTTATTTTGTTAGATTAAATAAAAAACTATTTTTAAGTAAATGTAGTTATACTTTAGTAAAGTGAACAAGCATTCTTGTCCATGTCTCAAATTTAAAAAAAATATTATTTTTTTAAATAAAACTTAGGTGATCGTTATTTACCAAAGAAACAGAGTGATCGTGAATTACCCCGGGTCACCCTAGTTGTATTTTTAAAAATATCTTTTTTCTTTCAGAGTTTGCTCACAAGAGTATCTATCTATCGACTACCGATAGTGGATTTTGCGGAAGTCCATTAGATTTTAAAGATGAAACACCTTTTTCTCGTCATAGTTTTCTAAAGTTTACTCCAGTGAAAATTACTTACAATCCAACTTATGATTCAAATCAGAATCTTATCCAGATAGGGAAATCAGATATCATTAAACAATTGAGCTTTGAAGATGCTGACATTAGTAATGATTTATACAAGCAACAGGTACAACAGACTAGATTTTGTGGAAGGAAAAATTCTGAAAGAGAAGAAAGTGATACTTCTAAGCTTTCACGAAGTCCCAGCTATTCTTTCAGAGTGAACTTTTTAGCTCGATTGAAGAAAATAAACTGTGAAAAAATTATATCAGATTTGCTGTCTTACTTACCGGCTGAAGATCTTTGTAGAGTGAGCTGTGTAAATAAAATGTGGAGGGAACTGGTGCTGGAAGATGTGAAAGCTAATGGACGGAGAAGAGAATACTTAAAATCTATAAAATCACACAGGGTAATTTATTTGCTTATTTTTTTTTTTTTTTACAATAAGTTATTTAGCTCAACAAATTATTTATAGATTTGTCTGTTTTTTTTTTAATTGTAGCATTTCACCAGATTCCTTATTATATTGGGCAGTTGGCTAATTTTTGATAATTTTATCCAGGAATAAGACTTGAAACTTATCAAATACCTTAATTGTATTTGTGAGTTGCTGAAAATAAGATCAAATATCTTAAAAATTGTATTTATGAATTGCTGAAAATATTTTCTAAATAGCGAATTGCAAGTCTTGTTTTGATTCAAATATTAAATGCCAGTTATAACACCACTATTATTTTAATGATGAAAAAAAAATGCTTTAAATATAATTATTAATGGCATTATTCCTTTACATAAGAAGACCAGACAGTATAATGAAGTTTTCATTTTATATGCAAAGTTATTATAAGAGCAGATTCTTCAAGAACCTTTTATGTTCGATTCCATTAAGAAAAAATTTCTTAATACATTTATTTCTGTTTACAAAAAAAAAAAAGAAAAATTAATCCGATGGATTTTAAGATCTTAAAATTAACAATTAAACAAACTTAAAATAATAGTAACGAAACGATTCAATTTTAATGTAATGAAAATTAATCATTTCACTATATTTCTTAATTAATTTAGCTTATTTAAAATTTCTAGAAAAAGAGAGCCCTTGTATAAGTTTATCAAGAGTAGTACAAATAAAAGAAAAAAAATATGCTTAGAATTTAATTTCTATCATTAATATATTTATTGTTTATTTTGAATTTAATAAAATATATTTGATAAATGATTCCAAAACCAGCTTTCAACATTAAAAATTTTTTAACCAAAAGACTATAAGAAACATCTTAGATATCAATACAAAAGTACATTATGCTTTTTATGGATCACATATATATCCTTTATACAGATTATTTAAAAATAATTCTTAAAACTAGTTCTATGTCACACACACAATGCAAAAGCTGATAGCCTTAAGTGTAAACTTCTGAATAATTTTAAATTTGTCTACGTAGTGCTATAAAAATTTCAGTTTTGACGTCTTTATTTTTTCATATAAATAACACCTGTCTTGTTGCACTTGGGTGAACTTGTTTGTTCTAAAATTAATATATCTTTGATCATATTAAGTCTATTTTTTTCGATAATTAATAGGCATAACTTTAAGAATAACTAAAATTCCCAAGGTAATTTGTGATCACTGTTTTCTGGAATTAAATATATTTGCTTAATTTTTATTTAATAAAAGAAAAGATGTATTTAAAAAAAAAATATAGGGTAAAAATTGGAATTTTGAAATTTTTGGCATAATTCTTTGACATTTCACACTATTTAGTGTCACTTCTCTGTTTACGAATAGGTTAGTTTTATTATAGAAAGAAAGACCATAAAAAATGCATTAAATATTTTTATTATGCTTTATCTGTTTCATTATTTGTTGATTACTATTCTATTCAGGGGTCTGTCCAAGCCAAATTTTCTACCGTTTAGCGGTAGCTTCACAAATCCAACTTTAGGAAGAGCGGTAGTTTAGCAAAATACTTTTTCATAAAATTTTATTTTTGTGTCTCGTAAGAAATGATAAATCCATTTGTTTGTGTTGATTTTTTAATATAATTTTTAAATTTCACAAATTATCTCAAAATTTTCACAAAATAGGTACCTTTCAGAAAAACCTAGACAGACCCCTACTATTGTAAAATACTATTTTTAAACTGCTCTTCTGCTGTAGGAGAGTAAAAAAAAATTAGGTGTTCAAAAATGTATAAGAAACAAAAATGTATAAGACAGCATAGAAATTATCACATTCTCTCTTGAAGTGGTTTTGCTGGAAATTGCCACTCTTATTTTTTGATCTTCGATCAGAAATAATCTTTTTGTTTTAATCTACTGTGTAGATTTAGACATTCCTTTATAAATTGTTTGGACACTTATTTGCCTTTCTTACTGCATTTTTCTGTTTCTACTTGATACTGTGACATCTTAAAAGTCCAATGTTGTAATTATTGGCCAGACATTTAATTGCAGAGTTGACATTTAATAAAAAGTTAGGTTACGAAAAAGTTAAATTGCTTTTCCATTAAAATGGCTGGTTGATTAGTGTAATTTTTAAAGTACTTGAATATAATTAGTGCTACCAAAAAGGTAAAACTAGTAGCAACTTGCAGCCTTTTTTTATAATTGTTTGTCCTGTAAAATTTTAGTTTTGTTAACTGAACTTTAAAACTCTTTCAATGTAACCCTTTTCATTTATAAATATATAAAAAAAAAAAAAATTTAAATCATATGTACATTTTTTATTATGTAAATTGTTTTTAAGAGAAGAAGTGGTTTGTAAATAATGACCTTTTTTCATGTAGGAAAACAGATCAAGATCAGGAATATCGCCATTTGATATTAAGAAAAGGTATGAACGTCTTTCATATTTACCAAGATTAGTCCTTGATGATATTAGCAATTGTAATCTAGTGCCTAAAGTTTCTACGAAATGCTGCAATTCGAAATTTGATTCATTTATTAGGGTAAGTTTGATTTAATATTCAAGGAATTTTATTCAGTTTGTTTCTAAGTATAGAAATATTTTAAATTAAAAGTTGTAAAAATAAATTTCACACATTAATTTTGCATGTAAATAATGGTTCACAAAAAGTATATTTTGCCAAAGGAATATTGATTTTCTTTTTCTTTTAAGCTAGCAATAATATGTTAACAGTGTTCTCCTTAAGCATTTTTTAGAAGGGTTGTCTGCACTGCCTGCGTTTTGATGTTTGCAAAGAGGGCAAGCTGCCATCCCACAAAGACACTGCCTTTTTTACCATTTAAAAAATTAATTCACTGTTTAAATAATAATTACACACTGGTAAAACTATCTGTGTTCATAGATTTAATTCTGATTACCTATAATTTTAGATTTAATTCTGATTACAAATTTTTACTTTTAGGATTATTCTCAACAGGTTGAATTGTTTTAAGTTTATCTTTTTTAAGGTCTATTAATGAATTTTTCAAGTAATTATTAAGTTATTTTAAACACCTTTTTTTTTTGTTTAATTTAACAATTTAAACTGAAAATTTCATTGCAAATTTTCAGTTTAAATTACATAATAAAGCTTTTAAGTTGTTTGTCAATTAATATCTTTTTGTGCACAGTGATTCTCTTTTAGCATGCCTTTAATTATTTTTTCATGAACAACAAATTCTCTTATTTTATAAAATAAGTGAGAATTACTTTTTGAAATACTATACCGTATAGTATTTTTTATGTATAATACATAAAAAATAGTATAAGAAGGTAATTTAAAAATTCTTAAGGATCAAATTAGGTAATTACATAATATTATGTTTTGCGATGCACTTTTAGTGTTAAGTGAGTGCCACTTCAAAACTGAAATTGCTCTTTTCTGTGAGAAAGTATCCTCTCTTTTTTTTATTCCATTCTGATATTAATGCTACTTATTTTAGTCATGAGTTTTTGAATTTACTGATTTATATTTTTTTAGGCAGTAATTAAAAAAAATTTCCAGTCGTTTCCATTTGGTTTTTCAAGTTCCGATATATTTAATGTTATAGCAACATGCACGTTTCGAACTTGGGCTATCACTTTTTTGAAATGTTTGATGAATTAGTGACGATACCATTGTAATTTTCTGTTTGATGACAGTTTTTTCCTGTTTATATTTTTCGGCCCTATAAGCATGATTTTTAAAACGATAAATGATTTTCAAAATGATTTAATTTTTAAAACAATATTGCTACAACTTGCAAATTTTGAATTTGCACTACCACTTTTTGACATGTTTGATTCGTAACAATTTCATATCAATTTTGCGTTGTCTAGTAGTGATAGTTTTTTCAGAAGTTATTTACCATTTTTTGGCCATTTTCATGGGACTTTTCAAGTTGCTATATTTTTAATGCAATGTTATTATGATGTTTAATTTGTGAAGATTCCATTGTAGTTTCAAATTGGAGGATAGTGGTATGTTCGGAAAGCTCATGTCGGTTCTATAACACAAGATAATGTATATATCTGTTTCCTAACTACTCAATACTCTTTTTCACATATGGTTTTTACAGAGTTCTCCCGAAAAATAAAAAAGGGCAGCGTACTTTGAGTTTTTAAAGGGCTCTCACTTAACATCGTAAATATTTATCAAAATGTTTAATACTGCGTGATAACTGAGTTTAACCTATAAATTTTTAAAGTACTCTCTCATATTATCTTATGAGGATAATTCAGAAAGTAATTCTCTCACTATCAAAATATGAGAAAAATTTGTAGTTTAAAAATAAAGGCATGCTCTGTGATTTTTTTTTTCAAAAGAAGTAAACTAACAAAAAATGATTAATTGATAAACAGCTTGAAAGTTTTTTCTATAATTTAAATTTTAAACTAAAAATTATGAGAAAATGAACTTCTAAAGGTGCATTAAAAATAATAGTTACGTATTTATTTAAAGATTAGTTTTAAAATTTAAAAAAAAATTATTATTATCCCCCCCCNTGTAAGAAGTTAAAATTTTTTGCCCATTAATGTAAGATGGACAAATACCTTGTAAAGGCAATATCTTCTACTCCGAAACGGATAAATGAAAATGTAAAAATGATCAAAACGAAACAAACACTCATTTGAGCAACCTAATGAGAATAGCTGATGAAAAAGTAGATGTAGAACATTTTGCTATGATGATGCAGCAAAAATATTCAATGCTTTAAAAATTAGAAGATGTTAAAAATGTATTATAATTAAAGAAATGATTTTTTTTTCAAGTCTCTTTGTGCTTTTTATTTTTAGAAATCTCACCCTGTTTTTGAGAAAGGGTGAGAAATTCTCACCCATTTTTTTTCTGCGATGAAAACACTGGTTCTATAACACAAGATAATGTATATATCAGTTTCCAAACTACCCAATATTCTTTTTTACACATGGTTTTTACAGAGTTCTCCCTAAGAATAAAAAAGGGCAGTGTACTTTGAGTTTTTAAAGGGCTCTCACTTAACATCGTAAATATTTATCAAAATGTGTAATGTTGCGTGATAACTGAGTTTAACCTCATCAATTTTTAAAGTATCCTCTCATATTGTCTTATGAGGATAGTTCAAAAAGTAATTCTCTCACTATCAAAAAATGAGAAAAATTTGTAGTTTAAAAATAAAGGCATGCTCTGATTTTTTTTCTTCAAAAAAAGTAAACTAACAAAAAAAAGATTAATTGATAAACAGCTTGAAAGTTTTTTCTATAATTTAAATTTTAAACTAAAAATTATGAGAAAATGAACTTCTAAAGGTGCATTAAAAATAATAGTTACGTATTTATTTAAAGATTAGTTTTAAAATTTAAAAAAAAATTATTATTATCCCCCCCCCCTTCCAAAAAAAAGATACTTATAAAAATTTAACCAGTTGAGAATGAATAAATGCTTGTTATAGTAATCGGAATGCAACCTATAAACAGATAATTTTTCCAATGTAGTTATTATTTACACAGTGAATAAATGTTTTCAAAATTGAATTTGAATAAAAAGATGACAGCATTTTTAAGGGACAGTGGCTTATTTTTACAAAAGGGGCAAATAGGACCCATTTATTGGGATCAAAGGGCAAGTAAGGCAGGTCACCCTTCAAAAAACGCTTACTGAGAATGCTGGTTTTTATATTTTCTGATATTTTTATAGAATGTTATTACAGGGTTCAGTGTTTGAATTAGAGTTATCACTCAATTTAAAATCACGTTAACAAGATATTCCTCCATTATCAACTACCCGCTATGCGTTTTTCACCCAAATTTATATTATGACATGCAAAATTTAAATTCCTCAATTACCGTCGATACAGACATCAGGGATGAGATTTTTCCGCGTTTTAGCGGATTTCCGTTTTTATCTCTCGAATTTCGGCCTCTTTATCAAAAACTTCGATTCTCTAAAAGTTTCTTTTTTTTTATAAATATTCCGCTTCTTCTGAAAATTCAGTCGTTGAAATAGAATAATTATTTCCAAATTTCAAAGACAAACAGAAAATTAAAACTACGTAGCCACCAACCCTTCCTCATTTTCCCTGATTTTAGCTATTTTCTGAGCTTTTACGCACAGAAAATAATATTTTACGTATTTTCCCCCAGCCCGCCACGGTATTATTACCAAACATCGATTTTCGTATTTACCCGATTTAAAAGTTGCGTGTTGCGATTTTTATTCACGCGATTTAAAAGTTATGCATCGTGATTCATATTTACGCGATCTAAAAATTATGCATCATGATTTATTGTATTTTCGTATTTTTGAAATCCAATGTCGAGTTTCATGTTCACAAGATTTAAAAGCCACATATCAGGATTCATATTCTCTCAGTTTTCAATCTTAAGTAATCGATATTTATAATCACATGTTTTAAAAATCACACTTTTTTTGTCAAATTTTTAGATATCATAGCTTCTACATATTATATATATATTCATTCTTGGATTTCCTCTTTTTTACTGACTACTCTCACCCCTGAGACATAAATCTCTTCCTTCCATCCCTGAGACATAAATCTTCTTATTTTTAAAATCCCTTTTCTTTTATTTTTTTTCGTATAGTATTTTAACGGAACATGGAATTCCTTTAGCACATTTGATTAGTCACTTTAATTTGATGGTTCACACCTTCATACAAGTGACACATAAACAAAGTTGCGGGTTATAATTTCTTTCAGAAGCAGATTTTTTTTGCTGATTTTTGAATGCTAGAATACTAGTATAATTGAAAGCCTTATTTAAATTGCAGGCCAACTATAATTTAAAAGAAAAACTTTTGAATTTATTGAAAAATATTGTTTGAATCTGCAACTAATCCTTTAATCAAATAAGGTCAGCATTTTATTCTATGATCTTCAGATAGTGTATAATTGAAACTGTTTTAATTTCAAAGAATAAATGTGTTTGAATTATTTTTCTAGGAAGGGAAAGTAGGTGGATCATTGATGAAATGTCCAAGTTGTAAATATCCTGCCAGAAGAAAAGATTTAGAAGAATACATTTGTACTACTTGCAATTATACTTTTTGTGGAAAGTGTTTGTCTCCTTGCTCAAAATATCACAAGTGCCCAAAGCTCGAAGTACCAACATTAGTCATTGGTAGCAAACAATGTAAAAGAAATTTAAAAAGACTATAACTCTTTTATCATGTTTTTAAATGATAAGATTTTTAAAGGATTTTATGTGATAGTAACTGTGTCAATAAAGCTGATGTGATACTGTTTTTAAAAATGGTTTCTGTTCCACAACTTCAATATGAAGTTATTTTTAAAGAAACAAAATCTAGCTATTGTAGTTTTCAGGTTTTTGCAATAATTTTTAATTCTAGTCGAGATATTCTTAAAGAAATATGATGGGTAAAAGGCAATACAAGTGATTGTTTTTGACTTTCTTAACTTTTTTTAAAATATGCTTTTAACATTAAATTTGACGGAATTTTTAAAGTAAGATCTAAACCATGTTCTTAAACACTTAATTTATTTTTAATGTGAATGTATTTATTATTTAGATGTTGTTATTGTTAATACAGGCCGACCAAGTTATGATGTTCAAAGAGTACNATACCTGTATTCTTATAGAAGGATATACATTCATACAGAAATATTGTAACATACTTATTGAAAATAGACATTCCTTGTTTTAATGTGATGATGTAATGTGAGATGTGTTTCATAATAAACGTTTTATGAAAATATGCTTATTTTTTCATCCCTTCAATATACATTTGTTGATAAAACTGCTTCTTTTCAATATAATTATAATTTGAATGGAAATATGTAATGTTTTTCTCAATAGTTCAGTTCCACTGACCTCTTTCAGTCCTGGAATTTTCTTTTTTTCTTCTTTCAAAATATGTTACAAAACAAGGGTTACTTAATATATCAAATTAAAATATGTATGTTCAAAACATGACCTACTTGATATGTCACATTAGAATAAAAAGCTAATTGAATTTAATTTAAAAAAAAAAGTTAATTTGATTAAAAAGACTAAATTGATGTTATGAACATTTTAAGATGAATAGTACTAGACTAGTAGTTGGCCCATATATGTTGAATGTTTCGCTAAAAGTTTACTAATAATTGTTGTATGCGCATTATCATGATGCAAAACCCATGACTTTTCTGGTAATTAATGTTGAACTGCTTCATGAAAATGCTGCAAAACACTTGAATAATTTTTGTGTGTGATTATTCTGATCATTCGAGAGGAATTCATAATACACAACACTGCCACCATCTATCAGGATGCAGAGTGTTTTAAAAGGTGCTCATTTTAGATTTTTGTTTTTTAAAAAGCCCTTAAAGGTGCTTTTTTATTGCTTGTTTGTAAAAAAAATGCTCAATTTTCTCCTTTCAAAAATAGAATTTGTTCTCAACGATGTCAATCACAATAGGCTTGCTTCTCACTGCTTCATTCAACGTTTTGACCATTCAATCACAATCCATTTTGTTGAACTGTTGGTATGTAGAATGCGAAAGCGCCATCCATTTTACAAACACAATTTCCCTGTGCTTCGTTCAACAATCTGACAATTAATTAAACCGCATTTCATTTTGTTGAACTGTTGGTATGTATAGTACGAAAGCACCAACCATTTTACATGTTGGATGCATTTTTTATGGATTGAAATCTGTGTACGCTGAACTGGATTCGGTAGTAAGGAGTTTTGCTTCTCTGCTTCATTCTGGGCAAGATTCCAGATTTCATCTCTGGTCCTTTGAAATAGATACTAAAATTTCTAATTTTTGCTGATCAGTTAATATTGCCAAATTTTATTCCCTTGTAGCAAGGGTGCACATATCATAATTATATTTTAATATAAAAAAAAAAGTGCTCGGACACTTAAATTTTGGCTAGCCATCAGGGGTGCCACTCTAAAAAAATTTCAAGACTGAAGTTATTTTTTGACCAAATAATACCGTCTAGCGCTGTTTACCAAACTTTTAGAAATTCATAGCTCACTGACACCAAAATTTACCTTCCCTTGATAATAGCCTACATATTAAACCAATCATTCGATTATTTTTTCAAAATTGTTTTTCTCTTTATTTTATGTTTTTTTAGCAAACAAAACGAAAATAAGAGCTAACCTTGTATATTTTTTTTTACAACTATTACTGAACAACCTAAACCAGGGCTGTCCAACTGGCGGCACGCGGGCCGCATGTGGCCCCCCAACACATAGTGTGCGGCCCGCCAACTTCTTATTCAGGCTGATCGGCCTCAGTTTTCCCATTAAAATGTAAGCAAATTGTCTTATAATCCTTTTGTTCCATTGTTTTATAATTCATAATTCAACTATTAATTGTTATTGTTCAACTTTTTCAAACTGCGGCCCGCCAGGTGATCAGTGACCGGAATTCTGGCCCGTGGGCTCTTTGCAGTTGGACAGCCCTGACCTAAACCATTCATCTCTTTTTTTCACTTAACAGTTACTTATTTTTTGTTCTAGCACTATAACTTCTTTCTTTTTAAAAAAAGTAATCTTACTTTAATTTTGGCTAGCATCACAATAGGTTATTGTGGGGGATGCAAACTCGAACAGATTTAGATTCCGCAATAGTACAAATTTAATTACACAAGTAGATGAAGTTCAATCAATTCCATTTGTCAAGACTTTAAGAATAAGATTTAGTGAAGCTGACAAAAAAAGATAAATAAAAGTCCTGACATCATTACCACATCATATGTTTTCATTAAGATATGATATAATATTTTTTTTATTTCGACTAAAAAATTTTTTACATTCCTAATGAACAAAAAAGAAAATTTAATTGGTAGAATTTATAAGTCTATCGATTTTTCTCAAGACTGATGTCAGTCCCCAGGACTGAAGAGTGGCACCCATGCTAGCCATGAAAACACATTACTTATTTTTTTAAAAAAAATTTGTGGTCCTTTCAGTCTGTAACTTTCACCTAATTGAGATGTTTCAGTTCAGTTCATAGATGTAAGTTTCATTACTGGCAAAAAATTGTTTTTAAAGAAAATTGTAAACGCAAATCTCCGGCCATTTGAAATTGTTCTTGGAATAAGTTCTTCGAATGAATTTGAGTTGTAACAAGTCCCTTAACATTGCTTGACAGTAATAAAATGATATAGGATTTCTTTCAATAATGTACGGATGTAGATCAATCAGTGTTAATTATGTGTCGTAATAGCACACGTAGATTCATAAGAGGCCTTGAAATAAACAAATTTAACATGAGCATAGTGCAATAGTTCTAGAAATCTTGCAGAAATGGACAGGGCATGCAAATTTGATTTTCAATTAATAATTCAAAACAAAGTTGAAAACCAAATATACATCAAATAGTTAAAAATTCAACTAATCGCAGGTTGAGGATATCCTGCTTTTTGTTACACAGGCAATTTATCATTTAAGGAGATAAAAATGCCGAATAGTTTTAAACTTCCTTTTGAACTAAGAACATTAATTTCAGCACTAATGATCGAAATTTAACTCAAGTGTTTTAAAGGAAGATTTTTTTTGGGCATTTATAAAATTTTTTTATTACTTAATATGACTCTGACTCGAACAAATTATGATTTAGTTTTTTCATTTAAATAAAAGGATAGATGTTTAGGAGACTAGAATTATAGAAAACCAAGCCTTAGAAAGTCTTATGATATGATAAATTTTGATTTATTATAAAATTTCAGAAACTCACAAAATATTTTTGTCTGAAAAAAAATTACGAAATCATTTTATAGATAAAAGCATAGTAATGCATATTTTTTGTTTGTTTTTTAATTTAAATAAAAGGATACTTGTTCGGGAGACAATAATTTTTGAAAAACCAAGCTTTAGGAAGTCTTACTAATTTGATTAATTTTTAAAATTGAACTGCAATACTCCACTGGTTTTATATTATGGTATGGTATGGTAAAAAAAAAAACAAACATACGCTACTTTTTTGTGGCATTAAAATATTTTACGATAAGGCCTTCAATTTTGAAATTAAATCTGCATATTTAAAAGTGTTAAAAATGTAAACATCCTTAGCAAACACTTTAAATACAAAAGAGAATATACATTTATATAAAAGTGACATTTAAGTAAATCACATAATCATGGTGCTACTAATATACTAGCATTTTAACAGGATGAATCAGAAATAGTCCTTTAAGAAAAATAACAATATGGAGAACATTTAAAGATACTTTCATAACATATTTGTTGCCAAGTTGAAAATAGGAATCCCGTGTGGTGACCTATTCCTTTATTTACTTTTTATTGTGCTCAAAATAATCGAATACAATATTAATAAATTTTATTTATAAAGTACATAGAATTTATATACTCTAAATACCTGTTACGTGATATACCAAAAAGCAATTTGCAGATACATAATTCAATTTAATGTCATATTTTACAAATAAAAAACATTTAAATATAATATTTATAATTTTAATTATCAGTCACTTCTAATCACATAGAATTTAAAAAATTATGCAGACCCATTGTTGCCATACTGGCATAAACCCTACTAATTTTGGTTTTGAGGTACTAACTGGTTTCGTAATTGCATAAATTACAATATCATTAACATGATACTGAGCTTGCACTTATAAACTTAACTAACACTAAATTGTAAATCACTTACATATTCAAAATATATAAAATGAGTACAAAAATAAAATTATTTAGCAGTGCAATTATGCAATTCAAAAAAACAGTCAAAACATAATGGAGGAGACCCTGGACATTTTTTACATTCAGTGGTAGTGTTTAACCTTTTTTTATTTTTATAACAATTTCTGCAATCCTTTCTGGATGTTGCGTTTACTGTTTTACCATTACTAAGACATCGCGGTTTGGCTTTTTCAATTTTAGTTAGCTTGTNGTTCTTAAATATCTTTTAGCAACTTTTTTTCTAATTTTATTGCCCAAAAATGAATTAATTTTAAATCATAAGCAGTTGAACTCAAATTAAAATACAGTTTTAACAAAACTATGGGTTTTTGACAGTTTTCGACATTTTTGACAGAGGGGTTTTTGACATGACGGTAAAAACCGTCATGTGTCAAAAACTTGCCAACCCTGTTTCTAATCATATAGAATTTAAAAAATTATGTAGACCCATTGTTGCCATACTGGCGTAAACCCTACTAATTTTGGTTTTGAGGGACTAATTGGTTTCGTAATTGCATAAATTACAATATCATTAAAATGCACTTATACAACAGCTGAACTAACTTTAAATTGTAAATCACTTACCTACATATTCAAAATATATGAAAGGGGTACAAAAATAAAATTATTTAGCAGTGCAGTTATGCAATTCAAAAAAACAATCAAAACATAATGGAGGAGAACCTGGGCATTTTTTACATTCAGTGGTAGTGTTTAACCTTTTTTTATTTTTATAACAATTTCTGCAATCCTTTCTGGATGTTGCGTTTACTGTTTTACCATTACTAAGACATCGCGGTTTGGCTTTTTCAATTTTAGTTAGCTTGTGTTGGTCTTGGTTTTCACATCCCTTCTGTGTTGTTTGCACGTCAGATGTTATTTCTGGCAAATAAGTTTCGATAATTTTTTCCCTGAAATCATAAAGTGTCATACTCTTCTGATTAGAATATTTGTTATAAAGTACCCGGGCATTTAGCAGACTCATCATTAAAGTATGTATAAAAATTTTGGTGTACCAACGCAATGCTTCCCTTTTGCAAGGGTAGTAACTGAGTATTTGATCTTGTAGATCAATGCCGGACATATTTTTGTTATAATTAATGATGGCTACAGGTTTCGTTCTCATAGTTCCATGTCTGGTGATCACTTCTTGCATTTTGTTAGGAAATTCAGTAGATATGTAATTTATCTCCTTCCTGTCCTTCCATTTACCTACATGGACACCATTATGACACTGTGACACATTGTCACCTTTTTTTAGTTTTTTGGCAAATATGCAGTTTGGGTTATCGTTACGTTTTTTACTCAATGTACCCGTGCAATACGTATTTTGCTCCAATAGTTTGGCAGCTAAACCATAGCTATTAAATTTTTTTTCCATGAACACTGCATGGCCAACATTCAATTTTCCCTCTAATAAATTTTCTACTATTTTTTCTGTGTGACCTCTCCCAGAAATTACATCTACTGTACTGGCCAAAACATATGCTTTTAGAATGGTACCATTTGGTTCCGCAAGAGCAAACAACTTGATTCCATATTTATGTCTTCTTCCTTTAATGTATTGGGGGAAAATAAGTCGACCACGCCATAGAATCATTGATTCACCTACTGACAAATTTTTACAGGGGTAATAAATACTTTCCATAACATTATTGAAATTATCTATTGCTAATTTGCATTTATCAATGTGATCGGCATTCTTTTGCACATCAACAAAATAGAGGCATCTTAGAATTAATTGAAATCTATTTCTCGACATGTATTGAGGGAAAACTGATTTATATAAACGGTGAATTTTCCAGTAATCAACAATCTTTGCTGAACTTGTATGTAATAGTAACCCAATGAAGATTTTCAGTTCTTCAAGAGTGAGGGACTTCCATTGTGTTATTCGAGACTGAAACTGATTAGATAAATTTTTCAAGTTTTCTGCGTATCTATTTGAGCAATCGACGATTTTCTGTAAATAATCTTCACTCACAAATAAATTAAAATAATCCCTCGGATTATTCGGCGCCGGCACTAGTAAGGTATTTGTCCGAGTAAAGGGAATTTTCTTTATAGAACTGAAGTCGGTACTCCAACATGTCGCTGCAAGTTGATTGAAAGATATTAGTTCTTCATTCACAGCCTCATTATTTTGTTTCACTTGCAATTGGGAATCTTCGTCTTCGGATTCCGAGTCACTTTCACTATCAACAAATTCATAATTTATATCATCTATATCGCTCGCTGCATAAAAGTCGTCATCCGAATTCAGCAATAACTCCTTCTCATCAATGCTTTTTAGACGTTTTTCTGCACGATCCGGCATTGCAGACGGTCTTTTCGAGGATTCTGGTTGGTGACTCATATTAAAAAGAAAAACAATACTCAAAATAAATAAAAATCAAACTCTTAGTACGCTAAATCAATGAATAATTAAACAAAAGCGTCTCATCACCGCCACTATTTGTAATTTTATTTTAAAAATTTGTAAACAAATGTACAAAAAATTAGTTAGACAGTTTCAGCTGTCTTTTTTTTGTATAGCTAAAGACTAAATTAAAAAATATGATTTTATCCTCATTTAGCTCTGTTTGTCCAAATCAAATGCACCAATCGAATCATGCAATTTACATGCACTTGAGATAATATTGAATGCAGTAAAAATGATCCCTAAGTTTCTTTTTTCATATTCGACAGCTAAACTCAAACAAATAAAAATGTAAACAACATTCTGGCGCGATTAAGAATTTGAGTTTGAGTGTGCAGAACTATGGTATAGAAAAAGTGCTGCTGGTGTGAAATTTTTTTCAAATTTCTTATGAAGTTAAGAAATATTAAATTTCAAGAAAATAAAAAAATTAAATTTGATTATAATGTCAGCTGAAGAAAATATTAATGGCTCTCGTCGTAGCTCTAGAATTAGAAAAACCAGTAAGGACATTAATTGTTTTTATCAATTAGATAATGATGTTTCAGAAAAAATCACCGAGAAAGGAATTAAAATAAATAAAACTCGAAGGGGTTCGAGAAAATCAAAAGTTCCTGTTTTTTCGGATAGTGTTGATAATCAAATTAATCATATTTCAAAGGATGATCCAGGTCCTAAGTTATTTCCTATTTTTACAACTGCTAATGTCACTGTTAATGAAAAAGTTGACAGTAAGCATAAGTTTTGTAAGATTGATGACGATTTTGATCCGAAGAGTAAGAATACCAAAAATAACTCAAAAACATCGAGTGAAAAAGCTAACAGTAAGCGTAAGTTTTGTAAGATTGATGAAGACTTTGATCCGAAGAGTAAGAATCTAAAAAATAAAGCAAATGTAACTAATGGCAAACAGAAGAGATTTAAAACTAGAAAGTCTTATCCGAGTTCTGAAACTTTACACAATTTTGAAGAAATAATTGTAAACAAAGAAGATGATGCGATTATATCCATTCAAAAAGCATTCAATGTGGATAAGTCACCCGAAAAAATTTGTAAGTTGTTCCCTATATTCTCTGTTAACACTAAGCTTGAAAATGGCAATGTGCTTCATAATTTGCCCTTTGAATGCTCGAATAAAGGTAGTTTTGATATTGAAAATTCCATGACAAGTGATTTTTGTAACAAAAATATTAGCATTGTTGACAATGAAAGTGAATTTCTTGCTACTGCTTTGATAAAAAATGAAAATAATGGTTCATCCATTGAAGAAAATATTAAAAATAATGCAAGTGGTGAAAATATAAATATTGTCGAGCAAGACAAAACATTGGAGGCCTATGCTAACTTGAAAACTAATGTGGGTGATGTAATTGAAACACAAGAAATTGTTAATAATAAAATGCATGGTATAAATATATCGATTAGCAAACAAGTTATTGAAAATCTGTCTTGTGATAAAAGTTTAAAGCTTAATGATCAAAATAAAATAAAATTATGTGTAGACAATCAAACTAATGTGATTAAAAAAGAAAAAACCGTCAACGAAAATTTAATGAAAAATAATGACATCATCAATGAAGATGGCAAGTTTGACACGAAAGATGATGAGGATATGAAGAAATTGAATGATGGCAGTAATATTTCAGTTTCTGCAGAAAATAGAATAGCTTCTCAAACAATTTTTAAAAATGATGAAGATTGTAATAATGATGATGTAATGAATAAAGAAATCTTACTTACTGATAACTCTATTTCAATTGGAGACAAAGTGAAATCCAATCGAAAAAAGAAGAAAAATAAGGGTAATATTTTGAATTTAAAAAATAATTTATTTTCTGGAACATCTGAAGATATGATAGAATCAATAAATGATTTTCGCAGAGTTACTCGATCTAGCACAGGCAGTATAAAGGTAAAAGGAAATAACGAACAAAATGATACAGCAGTGGACGAGGCATCAAAAATTAGCATAGATATAAAAGAGCCCAGTTCTCTAAAGCAAAAAGGAAAACATAAGTCAAAATCTTTGTTTCAAATACGTAAAGATCACATAAAACTTAAGGCAGATCAAAACACTAGACTAAATCAAGAAAAAACTAAAAATACAATGAAGTTATTTCCTTTGTTTACTAAATCACATTGTACAGTAGATAATAAACATTCTATAAATGAGACAAATTCCAAGAAGCTTGTTCAAAGTGACTTAACTAATAATAAAGTTTCTGAGAAGCCCACTACTAAGCGCTTAAAAGTGTCAAAAAAATTAAAAGTACTAAATGATACAACAAATGAAATTGAAGTTATTGAAAATAATTCTTCAAGTGATTCAATTAAAGATGTTACACATGAAGCAAATGAACCAATACCGTGTAAAAAAGTTGATGTTAGAAAAAGCAGTTTAAAAACCGGAGCTGAAAAATCTTGTGGGGAAATTAAACGTATTGTGAATTATCCACCTTCAAAATTTACTGATGCTCTCCTATCTTTTCCTCTTCATTCACATTCAAATTTTAGTGCCACTTCCCAAATAATTGTGGATAATATTCGTCCGGAATTCAGTGAGGAATACCAGCAACCTAAATGGGATAAAATAGTTGGTTTAACTAATGTAAAAAGTTTTCAGACTGTTAACTCTCCTGAAATATGCAAAACTACTTCAGGTACAAAAAACAATACAAATAAGGAATGTGGCATTGAAAATAATTGTCTTTTGTGGACTGAAGCATCTAATAATAGTTTATTTAAAGAGTCTATTAATAAATCTTGCATTGAAGATTTGAGAGAATGGCTTGATGGTTGGAAATACAAATTTGCTAATTCTAAAAGAAAGCCTGAAAAAGATGAACACTTTGAATATTCATCAGATAGTTGTGATTCAGATGATGGATTTTCTAATAGTATCATAATAAGTGGAGTTCCTAGTTCAGGCAAAACCAGTTTAGTATTTTCTTTGGCGAATGAGCTGGGATTTAAAGTCTTAGAAGTGAATGCTTCATCCAGTCGAAATGGGCGAAACATAACACATCAGTTGAAAGAAGCTTTAGAGTCATACCATGTTGAAAATATTAAAGTTGATGTTGCTGATGAAGAATCAACAAAGACAAAAGATCAGAATGACTTTTTTGCTAAGCAGTTAAAAAAAGTAAAGCACCTAGAAAATTCAGAGAAAACATCCACTAAAGAAATAAAAATCCAAAAGAAAGATATCTCTGGTTTCTTTCAGCCCGGGCAAAATTCTGCCAAGAAGAGCCAAGATCCAAAGCAGCCTAAGCACTCCCAAGTTGATAAAGAAAAAACAATTGCAGATTCCAGTCATTGTAAAATTTCGAGCCAAACAATTATTTTGTTTGATGATATTGATGTGGTTTTTGAAGAAGATGAAGGCCTTTGGAGTACAATCAAGGGATTCTTAAAAATATCAAAAAAACCTGTAATATTTACAGTGAGTCGTAATTTATCAGTTGTAAAGGCTAATTTAAGCTCAGATATCAAAGTTATACATTTATTGCCTATGTTAAATGATACAACCGTTAAGAGTTTAAAAAATCATTGCATACAGCATGGTAGGATTCCAGATTCTATTGATTTGCCATTGTTGGCTACTTTAAATGCCAACGATGCACGCAGGAGTCTGTTGTATTCTCAGTTTTGGACACTACCTTCATCAAATAAGTGTGACTTGGAGGATATGTCGGAATCATACTCTTCATCAAATGATCAGAGTTGTGCATATGATTTTCTTCAAAGTTCTGTTTCATTTTCATCTCACATTCTTCAAGACTATGTTTTACAAGAACCTTATAATAATTGTCTAAATCTTATTTCAAATCAACACAGTTTAGGTTACGACTTACTCTACAGCAATTTGTTTTCTCTCTTTAATATAAAGAATGAAATGGAAATAAAGCAAGAGTGGAAGACTGTAACTGAATCACAGAAAATGCTTGAAACTAAGGAGAAATCTGTCCTGAATCTGTGGCAAGAAGCTTGTGCAGTCTTGGAGTTTAAAAAGAAGGTATTAAAAGCTGGTACAGACTCCAATTCCTTGTTTGAGATGTCTTCTCTTCTTGACAGTTTCAGTTTTTGTGATTCACTTAAGGGCCATTTTTGCAAAAGCATGGAGTTCTTGTCACTTCCCGAACGGATTGATAAATGGTCATCAGGTTTGCCAATGTGTAATGAATGTGACTTTTTCCCATTTAATCATACTGTTTTGGAATTAATAAGTACTATACAAGTTTTAAGTCTCCGTGAATCAAAAAAGGAATTGTTTTGCGATGATTTAGTTAGGAATGGTAAAAGGAGACTATTTCTTGAGCATCCTTTCTTAAACATTGATACTTTGGTTCAATGTAAACTAAAGACTTTTTTGGAAGATATGGCTTTTATTTTACCTGCTGCACAGTTTTTAAATAAAAATATTCTCAACATTGATTATTTTAGCACTTTAAAGATAATCTGCCATTCTGAATTATTAAGACAGACTCAAAGCAATAAAAGAAGCAAACGTTTTCTACATTATTTTGATTCCATATCACTGTATTTTGATATTTCTAAAATCGAAATCTTGTGAACTATGTTTTTATATATTTAGGATATATTTCCGTATCGTGATCCAAGCCAAAATAATCACTAAGGTTTGGCCACATCTGGGCAGTGGGCTACAAAAAACTTAAAAAGAAAAAAAAAAATTTCTGAGGAGGATTAACTCGAAAAAAGTAACTCGTAGCAAACCTCTAGCACACATCTATTTATTTTTATTTATTTAATTTTTTTGAAAAATTAAAAGTTTAACATTTATTTGGTGTTTTGGAAATTGTAGTTGTCGAGGCAGATAACCCAGGGTTCATAGTTGACCTGATTTTCTTGATTTTCCTATTGAAAAATATTTTCTCCTGATTTGCAGCTTTTTGTCCTGATTTTTGTGTGTATCAACA